TAAAGGATAGGGATCTTTTTAAATAAACGTGTGCGATTAGATAATTCATGGCTCCCCCCCCCCCCCCCTTCACGTCTGGGAAATCTAATTCGAAAGAATAATTCTCATAATTTATATCTGTTGACGGGGTACCTGAAACCTAGTCTCTACTACGAGTGGAAATGCATCAATTAACACATTTCCCACACAAAAGTTCGGGAAAAGGCACATGTAAATGTGCTTACAGGGGTACGTCTGTTGGAAATGGATACTTTTTTCCTTTACATCCCTTTTACTGTGGCATTTCCTGTGTCTTTTCCCACTGTAGACCCCGGGATCCAATTTATGTCCTTTTTGTGTCCCTTTACTGTCCATTTACTGTCCCTTTTGGATCCATTTGCTGTCCATTTTCGCTAGATCCCTTTTTCTCCCTTTATTCTCCCTTTTCGATCCCTTTTCGATCCCTTTTCAGTCCCTTTACCCTCCCTTTTCGATCCCTTTAATATTTTTTTAAAAAGTTACCACATAATTCCTGGGCCTATAGGTGTTCCAAAACGGTCATCTACATCAATTCAGCTAGTATAGTTGATATAGTCCTAGCTATGTCAGCCTAAGTTAGGAGGTTCAACCCTTATCTAGGTAATGATCTAGATAGACATCCATATATTTTTTCGGTTTTTTTTTTTTTTTGAAAAAATTCGGTCGAGGAAATGGGATAATTAATGGATGTAAATTGAATGTAAATTGGATGTAAAAGCGTGTCATTGCACTTAAAACCATTTTCCATCCCTTTTCCTCCGGTGCACAAGGACCCATATTCAATCACTTCCCCAAACAAAATATTAACTACATGTATTTTACCACACGATTTTAATTATTTCCACCACACGATTTAATTATTTCTACCATACAAAGTTTAATGCATTTCCCGATGCATTTCCCCACCAAAAATTTGATGCATTTCCTGATGCATTTCCACTCGTAGTAGAGAGTATTATATCTCAACCATACATGTAGTTACATTAATCATGAGTTTTCGCCCCCCCTCCCCTCCCCCGCTACTTATTTTAAAACTGCCCTCGTTCTCAGAATTAATACCCTAGTCTAGGCATGAGATCGAGACTGTATGTAGTACAAATCGCCACACCTACATACGTCTTTTTTTTTGTTGTTGTTTAATTCGTTAATTGCATGCAACCTTACGGTTATGGCAATATCGCACCATCCCAGAACTACCCTACATCCACCGCCATCTCAACAGTAAAGAAAGATAAGAAAAGCAACCACCCAAAAACAATTTGTGTCGTCTCTCTTTTCCCCCTTTCCCCTTGGGCCGAGTATGTTCTTTTCCTCGTAGTCTCTGGGCATTGCATCATAGTCCTCCTCGGACCTCAGTAGTCCCCTAAACATTTTATCTTCCTACACACGCCTCATGTGTATCCGGTGACGGATACTACGTGTACCGATGGTCATAACCCAGGTTGTACTTCTATTGCAAAGCGGGGTTAGACATCTTCGGACTTTCGGGCTACTATGTGTGGACTATAAGCTCACCCGTATAAGCTGGGGGAGCTTACAGGGGACAGTAAATAGTTATTTAAACCTGGTCTACTAAAACATAGGAATTAATGGGAACGTAAGGAGAAACAGGCCAAACAATTTATTTCTCCGCCCTTAATGCCTAGCAGTCCTATTACCATTGGGTTTGGGTTGAGGGCGGGCTTTGGGAGTATGGGCCTATGAGTGGTACTAAAGATGACGGTGACAGTATACCCAAGACACGAGCAAACACACATGTACTTCTAGGATCGACTACATGATGTATAAACCCCACAAGAAGCCATACATACTTGTATCTACGTGCGTATCGAACTTCCTTCTCGACATCTTCGGAAGTGCTAAGAATATTCCTAGCTACGGACTATGATAGTCAATGTCCCAACTAAGGGCCCGTTCGGATAACCTAATAATCTAGATTATTGGCGATAATCTGACGGATTATCGACTTTTGGATTGTCACAATAATCTATGCTGTTCGTGCAATTGAATAATCCAACATTCGGAACTCCCGATTATCCTAATAATCCGCCAAGAAAACCATCACCTTCGGAGGTAATTATTCCCACACAACACAGATATCCTAAGAGCCTAATGCTATTTCATCGCTATCCGGACATGTAGATTATCCACTTGTTATGAGTACTATGATTACCATTTTCGCTACCTGATAATCCAGTCTGTCCAATAATCCGAAGAAATAATCTAAGGTTGTCCGAACGGGCCCTAAGTTAGCCGCCGCCCTCCGAGTGATAGATGAGGTGATGATGTAATATCGCTTGGCGCGGCATGACGTTTCCGAACACGACTGCTATTGCATACCATACAAAAAAGCGCCAAATCCACCTTTTCGTATGTCGTGCAATATTGGTCGTGTTCGGAAACGCTATGAAGCTACGAGTATATACTCTACTCTTGGGCCGGTCGTTATTGAATACCATAGAAAATCGTTATACTATGGCGGAGCCCCTTATGATGCCAACGAGAAGGCCGAGCCGTCCCGACCGGGACAAAATATTGCGAGAGTATTTGAGCACGATGCGAGTATAAGGCCGATAAAGGCCATGGCCTTTCACAGTTTGTCACTCGCGCCAAGAGTACGTGTCACTTGTCATTTTCAGTGAGCCTTGATGATTGGCTGTCACACCTAACCCTAACCCTTTATACTGATAAATGCTCGGTCATGTGGCTACATGCATTCAACATCCACAATACCGCTGGATATGGAGGCTCGCGCCTATATTGGAATAAACTAAGAGGATATTACTCGGGTTTGAGAACTATATGTAATACTACATATATGTAACTACTGACTATATGTATAGGATGCAATAGCAGTCCAGCTCAAAAACGCCAGGTACATGTAGGTAGATACGAGCACTTTAAAGTATCTAGGGTGACGCAGTCGTCTAAACTGCCCAAAGAGAAATACTGGATGTCTTGTATGACCGTTAGGCTTGGTACTTACATTTAGGTAAATACATCTAGGTACATGCATGTAGAGTACTCGTATTTTCCTGACGTTTGTAAAAGGAACCGCTATTGCATACCATACAAATACGTGCCAAGTCCAAATTTTAGTATGGTATGCAATAGTGGCCCCTTTTACAAACGTTAGGAAAGTACGAGTACTCGCATCTTCCTGACGTTCGTGGACGCGACTAATATTGCATACCGTACAAAAATACGCCAAGCTCATGATTTTTAGTGTATGTAATAGTAGCCCAGTTCAAAAACGTCAGGAAAATACTAGTAGAGTACAGTAGATACAATACGTAGGCGGCTATGTAACGATCCCTGCTTAAGCAGTCTACTTACGTGCACCTACATGTAATTTGAGGCAAACCACATGTACATGTAAAGATTCACTATCATCACGAGAGAGCGAATACTTGATAATGTGGTAGTTGTCATTAAATCCCCACCATCATTAATTAGTCAGTCATCAGATATACTTGGTGCATCATTCAGAAGACCTTTCTACACGTTATCGTTAGTTTGATGGCTTAATACCAGTAAAAGGAAAGCCGGAACCAAATTTCAACCCTTGATGCGTGTATGCGTGTTTCTATTTTCGTTTGAGGGTAGGTTTGAAACCTTAAGCTCCTTGTAGTACATACATAGGAAACTGCCTAAGGAAACTGCCTATCTATCCCGCACTCCGGTACTCCGCAAAGTTACTTCCAGCTGCTGAAGATCGCGTTCCCGCCCTGTGGCAGATAACCTAAATGAAAATCTCGGGAGCCAAGATTGGGCGATGTCTTCTTCGTGATAAGCATAAGGAACAAAGAATGGAGTGGTGGAACCGCGCGGCACCTATTTTGACCCTTGTCTCAACATATGATCAACCGTTTCCGGGCCAAACAAAGCCATGACATGAACCATGTGAGTAGACACTTTACTTGCTCTATTTAAAAATGTTTCACTACATGTACGTACCTACATGTACTTCCACCAGAAGTCAAATCCATCTGTTCCCGATGCTACATTATATGTTGAAAACCTCAGCCCCAACATTTTTTATCTGATACGATACGAGAAGAGGCGAAGTGAGGATGTGTGTGCTATGCACTTGGAAACGCGTCATTGTCCGCTGATATCTGTTGTCAGTTCAATACTTACGTCAAAAGGAGGCTTGTGTGTCGCACGAATAGAATAGAGTTGTCGCGTAATGTCATAAGGCTGACGAGCAAAGCGTTGCAACGTTGGAACCCACCCACTTCATCGTTCATCACTCGTGCGTTTCTTCACAATTCATTTCGAACTGAATCATGTTTGATGAATTTCCTTGAGTGAAATTAAAATGAAAAACACCTGGCGCCGGAACTTCAATATTGCTAGCAAATGCCTCAGCTACATACTCTATCGGCCTAGGGCCTCGTTAAAATGTGTCCGGGGAAAAAAAAAATCGTGAGATCGTATTCGGTCTTCGGATTCCGGAAGACGGACAATTTTCCTCATCAAAGATGAAAAGTCTTGCTCGGAATGCCCAGGACCCGGTTTCAACAAGGTTGTAATTTGTGAAGCGAGTGATTTACCGCCAACGAGTTGCCGAGGCGTAGTGGGCGTTACCTTAAGGGGGCGGCGGGAGATTGGACATTTACCAGCACTAACCAGGGCTGGCCGTTATTTATGCGTAAGCGGTAACTCGTGGCGCAGGTTGTACCACCTCGTACCTTATTCTGACCTTTGTCGCCCAGCCTCCAGTAAATCCGTTCCGCGGCAGACAAAAGCGTGAGTTCCACGCGTCGACGGTGTTCCGGGCCAGTCAGCAGTTGCATTCATATATCTTCATTATTCTCTTCACCTTCACCTTTTCTCACTCCTTCCATCTCACGTCAACCCCCGAGCTAGCATTCTGGTCTAGCAACAACCATCCATCAACAAACACTCTCCCTAGCAACCATCCCAGGACTCTCCCATTCGACGTGATGAAGTCTCCAACCTCAAAACTTTTTCCTGCAATGTTGGATACTCACTCTAAAACATTCACCAAACAAACTTTGGTTGGATGGCCGTCGATACCGGGTCTCAAGAGGATGAAGAGGAAAATTGGATCTCGAATGAGAAGTGGTCAGGCGCCTGGATCTTCTTTGGCAGCTCTGGAAACCTCATTTGATCCAAGGGATACCCTCAAGTCGCTAAGGGCGCATAAATGGTCCATTTATGATGGTCAATATGTATTCATCATTATTCTGGGCATTTTCTGTTTGTCCATCATGGAATTCCCGGGTCCGCTCATCAAGACTGGAGTAGCAAGTCTTTTGATGCTTGCTATGCTCATGCCTATTACAAGGCAGTTTTGGTTGCCGTTTCTTCCAGTAGTAAGTTGGTTGGTATTTTTTTTCTCGTGCAGGTAAGTAATTAATTTGTTTCCCCCCAACGGGTCACGTGCCAACATCTAACTCTCAACAGATTTATCCCAGCCGAGATTCGTCCACATATCTGGGTCCGCGTTCTTCCCGCACTGGAAAACATCATATATGGTGCAAATCTTAGCAACATCTTATCGGCACAGCAGAATGCGGTCCTTGATGTTTTGGCGTGGTTGCCATATGGGATCATCCATTTCGCTGGCCCCTTTCTTACAGCGGCAGCGCTTTTCGTCTGGGGCGCACCAGGAACAGTGAATGTTTTCTCTAGCAGCTTTGGATACATGAACATTATTGGTGTTTCAATCCAATTGTTTTTTCCATGCGCACCGCCATGTACGTTGTTTTTGTTTTTTATTACTATTGAAACACTGCTGATCTTTATTACCAGGGTACCAAAATCTGCACGGGTTCTCCCCGGCGAACTACTCCATGCCTGGCTCTCCCGCGGGACTTGCTCGTATTGACAAGCTCTTCGGACTTGATATGTACTCATCATCATTCACTGCGTCTCCTATGGTCTTTGGTGCCATGCCATCCCTACACGCTGGATGTGCTACCATCGAAGCTTTGTTTTTAGCACATGTCTTCCCTCGTCTTAGATGGGTCTTTTACGGCTACATCGCGTGGATTTGGTGGGCAACACTCTATCTCCAGCACCACTATGCTGTTGATTTGATTGCTGGTAGTTTGCGTATGTTTAATCTCGCCCTTATCACCTAATTGACAATAAACTAATGGTCTTTGCAGTCGCTGGTGCTGTCTTTTACGTTGCCAAGATAAAATTCTTGCCCCGAACCCAACTCGATAAGGAGTGCCGCTGGGATTACGATTTTGTCGAAATTGGCAACAGCTGTTCCTACGATCTCACCTACAGCCTTCATGATTTCGATGGTGACTACCACTCTGAAGATGACGAGTGGACCTCGGCATCTTCTTCGTCCGTTTCCTCCGGGTGCAGGACTCCGGTGGATGACACTGCCGGATTCTGGGAGTCTGCGAATGAAATCTCTAATATTGAGGAATCGGATCGCGTATGATAGATGGTGGCTACAATCCCGTATCATACGCGGCCTTGGTCTCACTCGAAATATGAAAGGGTTCGAGGCTAAGTCTCTTTTAGTTTTCTTTTTGTCGTTAGACCCCTTTTTGTTTTCCGAGTCCGACCTTCCTGTTGTTTTGTGTTTACGGGTCATGGCGATCATGGGATGGTGTTTGGGTTTCTCCAACTTCTTGTTTATATTGTTCTATACCTTTCAAGCCCTTTTTTAGTTGATCTTTCAGGGCAAGATCTAATGAGCCAGTTTATCTATATAATGACATTTTAGGGATTTTTATATCTTACGTCTTCTGACGAATGAGTATCGGAACATCATTCCTGGCACTCATCGTTATTTTTATTTTATTGCGTTCTTTTTACTGTGGCACCAGCTCTTTATTATTCCTGATGCCTATTGTTCATCTTTTTCTTCTCTTATATCTGAACAAAGGTGAATCAGTTTTAATGTGTAGGGCCTGATATTGGTTTTTGGTTTTTGATTGGGTGCGCAGTCTGAGTTGCATCTCACGCAAAGGAGCAGAGAATAGGTGTGCAAGATATCCCACGATTTACTTTTCTTCACTTTTTGGCCGGTGTTTCATATCTCGAGAAAGTTATGTAATTGCTAAAGATAATGTAATCACCGGGTTTGCCAGTGACGAGCGAACTTCGCCAGTCTATGGTATCCTCATCGAAAAGAACAAAAAAGAGCTATCAAAACATGCGCAGAGAAGACGAGACCAGTTAGAGCAGATCTTAAACAGGACAGGGATAGGATAGGAGGCTAAGATAGAGTTACATGACGTTGAGTGGCTACTCAAGGGTTACAGCGCGATAAGCGGTAGTCCGCTCCATTAATTGGGCCAGATAAGCAGTGGAACAGATCGATTACGGATCGTACTCTAGAGTGGGTTAAAACAGCATCTCTCCCTGACCTGTGGGTAGGCATTATGCAGAGTAGACACTCTTGCATATGTCTAGACTGTCTGTCTGCCCGTCCGTCTGTCTGTCCAGGTTAGTCTCTCTCCCACCCTCCTGTTTGCTGCAATGCACCAGGCTCGTTCGTATTTCTGCTACATACATTCTCTGCCTATGGTGTTGCACAGCAATAAACCATCAATTGGATTGGGGTTGATGTTCAATGTTGAAAATTTCTTCCCTGTCATGTTCCTCATCCTCCTTATCACTGATATGTCCTCTGGCTGGCATGCTGCTGCTCGTGGTTGCTTTTGTTCGCCAATCCCCAATCACCTCCAGGCCGATGCAATCGCAATCAGGTTAATGGTATTTTGGGCATACCGGGGGATGGAGGTTCTTGGTTTGCAGTTCTCATAGGTGTTGTTATATGCCTGGGACTTACCGGGGGTTTGTTTTTGGCTGCGATTGTGGTTGGCCTCGAAGCCCGGCGGTCTGGGTACCGATACCAGACGGATCTCCTGGAATTGGAAACTCCGTTTTGCAAAGCTACAATGCAGCTCTGATAGGCCAGTATCTGAAACTGTGACTGGCCAGATCAAAATTTTTCTTGGCCGGTCCCCAAATATACAGCTTGCGGTAAGATTATTGTAGAAATATGGGAGGAGTCCTATTGGCTTGCCCAGTCACAGAGACCCTGTTTTTAGACCCCTGTTTCTACAATAATTTTACCTCTCGCTGTAAAAGTCGCCGTCTGCTGTGTTCTAGAGAGTTCCCTGGGATTGGAAATTTGTTTTGAACCTCTGATAGGCTTTCACGGCCCGAACGGCAGATATGGGACTGACTGGCCAGAACCAAGCTTACTAAGTGCAATCCCACCGTCCTGGTTGGACTAGGAAAGTAAAAAAGAGAGACATGCGTACCGGGTGCATGTATGCATGTCATGTCTTAATTCTGCTCCTTTAAGTACCTGCTCTATTCGACTACTTAACCGCACCGGCACACCAATCGGTCTGCCAATACCTTAATAATGCTCTAGGCAGATGCTTCCTTTTTCATACTGCTTTCTGGATGGTTGAGGCAGCAGCATGGAAGAAAAGAAAGAAAAAACTCCCCAGGATGCTCGCCGCGTATAGTTATACGTGTTCGAGATCACCTAGTCGTATAAAAGCATCACTCATCATTATGCTCGCTTATGGGTCTTCGATGCCGCAGGAAGGCAGGAAAACTAGGCACACAGGCAGCAGACAGCAGACAGCAGCAGCAGCAGCAGCAGCAGGACATCTCAAGCGGCAAGTATGGGGAGCGAAGTGCATCACTACATTTCCACAATTTATTTCTCTCGCCTAATCAATGGGCAGATAAAACAAATTTTTTTTTTTTGAAGAGCCAACGAAGAGTTGTCTAGAACAGTCCATGCTGATATATTGCGAGTGATGGTTTGTGAGGCAGACAGGAATGATGCGATGTTCCATATACTACATGTCATATCGTTTCGTTAATGTTTAATAATTTTTCTTATGATTCACAAACAACACTCCAACTTATTATGAGATCCTAGACGTGATATAGGTACATGTATGCTCTCAACTAAGGCTGATGATTATAAATCCGATGCATGCAGGAAAAATCAAATATCCTAGGGCCAATTAGGACCTGTTTCGGGAAACTCCATTAATACATGTATAGTAGAACAAGTCGCAACTATCAGCCGGCAGATGTAGATGCAATAACAAAATAATATGTTATATAAATCATTCAATCAAAACGAGTTTATAACGCATAAGACAATCAGCAACTATAGAATGGCTTCTCTTGGCTTTAGCTATGTTAGATCTCGTAGTACAACCCAATATTCATCGGACCTATCAAGTAGCTACCGTCGACATATTTTTTCTCCCCTTTCGAGTGAATTCCATGAAGTCTATCATACAAAACCAAGTTTGACAATTTGAGAGTATGAAGTGGGGCCTAAACAAAAATCAAAAGGCGACAATAGCAGATTACATGTCGCCCGCCACCGTAGGATCTGTATTTTGCTAGCTACCAAGGTCGGAAATGGCCTGGACAGAAAATAGTATTTTGTTAGTACTGTTGCACAGTTAAGGGCCGAACAATGTATTGTAGAGTACATACCTGTGTCTCCAGGATAAGTTGATGACCCATTAGATCTAGGTGGCACATCAAACCCCCCAGGGGGCGGAATGTCAGGAAATTGCTGCTGTTGCTGCTGTACCGAGTTGCTCTGTCTCCCTCTGTTTCTCTTTAGATGTCGTCGGTTTAATGCCCAATCTGCAAACCAGTCCGTCTCGCATTTTTCGAATACCAATGGTAATCTCTTGATCAGATCCGACTTCGCTTCGGCGAGAATGTGTTTCGGGATCCTGGTGAAGCCGGTGTCTTGATCAACGAGTCTATGTTTATCATAGACCTCTTGGACAACTATAACCTAGGAATTAGCAAAGTAGCTTGATATCAATAATGATCCCCACCATCTAAAATGTTTGCTCTCTCTTCCATTGTGACACCCAGAAGAATCCAGACTGCGAGGGGCCTTGCATTGAGCTTTTCTCGTGGTTGCCTTATTTTTTCGGACTCCATAGCTGCCATGCTGTTCGGTCAGAAATTGAGGATCTGGTGAGGGGTGTTGATGATGGCGATAGTGATAATCAACCGGCTCGTGCCCTCCTAGAAGTCCAGGACGTGAGAAGGGGTAATATCCATATGCCAAGATATAACTCAAGGCCTATGCATTTCGTGCTGCGATTCACGAGCTGTCGCTTGTGGGCCAATAGTAGGGTATTCACTAACTTGCTGATTCATTGGTCGTCGATACACAACCGCCAGATTGTCAAATTCCGCAGCTCTCCACGGACCTCCTGGAGACCCCGGCTTGCAGATGGCTGCCGTTGCAAAGTTTGACAGCAACCCCAGAACACCGTGGCACAATCCTTAACGCTTTGTGGACATATGCAACAGCTAAACCTGTAGTCGAGTGAGAAATAATGACGCCAGATGAATTTGCTTTGCGTAATTTGTATCGTCGTTTCCTTAAAGCGCACTATTAGCAAACGGATTTAGTAGGATTCAAAAGTAGTGTCTATTCTCTGAGATTCATGTATGAAAGAGTTCTGGATCAATGTGAGTCACTTAAGTTGCAAGGCCGTGGGGTTGCCTGCGGCTTAGGATGAATTAGAGATCATCAACTGCACCTCGTCCCACAGCTTGAAATAGAATCTGCTATTGGCTCTTGTATTTTCCTTCTTCATGATTACTTCACATAGCTAGCATTTCAAACGAGCCTTAAAATACCGGGCGCACCAATGATGACTTCCATCGCTCCTTTCTCCCATCATATTTATTCCCAAGGTCCATTTCTTTGGACGAATTCCTTGAAGCTCGTGGGGGGTTGGTTCAAAATCTAACGAGTAAGGATCAGATATACAGGATGTAAGAGGATAGAACGCCGTAGCTTCTGTCGATCGGGTAGTGATTCATACCTTCAGTGATTCTTCGAGACTTTCTTTGGCATTTGGGCCATAATATTGATAGTCTCGGATCAGTGCGAAGTTCTCTAGCATCTCAGTTGCAAAAGCCTCAGGTAGGAAGCCTCTGAAAACTTCCTCAGGTAGTTGTACATATTTTGCGGGTTGTCCCGTAACTTCCTCAAATGTAGTTATGATTTCGTTGGGAGTGAACCAGCCTGATGCCCCCAAGACCTGTTTCCCTCTGGGCTTTGCATAGTCTGAAGATAGGATCGCTGCAATAAACTTGCCGGTATCAGCTGATGCTTCGAAAAGCGGGACCTCGGTGTCCCCTGGGAAAGTGAACGCCAATGTTTTTTTCCCATCTTCGCCCTAAAATCATAGTGTTATTACGGGCTGGTATATTTAGAATAACATGGAAAAGAAAAGGTTGGACGGCTTTACCAATTTGATAGCGCTCTTTAGGTTCTGCATGTAGAATCCTGCCAGAAAGAACGTTGCCGGAACCCCGAGTGCATTGATGTACTCCTCGACTTCAGCTTTGCCATCAAAATGAGGGACATTTGACAATTTCCCATCGGTTACTGTGATAGGTCAGGGTTAAGAAGAGCTATGGGCAATGTAGATCTTTAGATGACGTACATTTCGTGACATTGGGTAGTGAGGACCAAATCAAGTGTTCAACGCCGATCTCCTTTGAGACGTCCGAGATGTTCTTCCCCTGTGTCACCTCAATCTCTTTCGATGCCTTTTCCCAGTCTGTTCCTCGTTAGCCGCCTATTGACATTGAGGCTGAAAATCATGAGAAATACACTCTTACAATTTGTCACAGCGAAAACTGAATGCGCTCCGATCAAAGCGTTGCGAAGCGTCCCTTTATCGAGTAAATCCGCCTATTAAATCTATGGTTTTAGTTGAATGTCCCCAAACAATATTCTGGATTCTTGGGGGTACATTGAGCATACCTTGACTACATCGACTCCTTGTTCTGCTAGTTTCTGGGCTGCTGGCTTTGAAGGATCACGAGTGACGCCGCGAATTTTGAACTCCTTTGATAATTTGGGGTCTGCGAGGACACTTCTAATGACCGACCCACCTTGGTTGCCGGTAGCACCGAAGACGACTAAGATTTTGCTCATGGTTGCTCTTTATTCTTTCAAGAAAGATGGTTTAAAACGAAAGTTGATAAGTGGGTTGTTAAAAATGTTGCGTTGTTGAACTTCTGCTATTTTGTATGTAGATTCATTTAAGAGGAGGACAGGAAACTTTATATCTAAGTTCTCAGGCTAGCTTGTACGACTTAAGCTCACCATTTCTAGAGATAATCGGCCAAATTCATGTCTCGAAATTGCTTGTCAATCATTTAATGTTGTTGATACAATCGTAAAAGTATTATCAAGCAATGTATTACTTTATGCCATGACGTCACCGAAACAGGCGGGTATGCACATCATCTATTTTGGAGTTTACTTTGTTCGGTTTGTAATTGTGTCTGTTTCAGCCTCGAGGGCGTTGGCATTAGCAATACTGTGCAACATCGTTTGTATCGAGAGTGATAACTGTATGAGTAATGTCTTGTAAAGGTATAATCGGTCTTTGTACCCGGAAAAATATACTATTTAAACTATAACTTTTTATTGTCGAATACAGAAAATTCTTGGGCGACTATGGCCGGTTAATTCGTATGAGTCAATATAATTAAGGGCTGCGAATATGTTTACGTCAGGTTAAGAATTTATAAATTATTGTAGTCATATACCTCAATCCACAAGATCATGATATTTATATTAATTTGTGGTTTCTTTAGTTGATATCACATTTAGTCTAGCATCGAGAGGCTTCTTCGGAGCTCAGCTCTGGGATAATTCTTAATTTGTAGGAGAATTTCTCGCCCGAATATGATTTTGAGGTGTCCCGGCCGAGACATCGAGGAGTAAATAGACTGTAATGTATGTAAGCAAGCAGCCAATAATGCTTGGTATCCCTCATGCAAGTATATTATATGCACGTGATCTCCATTGTTACTGCCAGGTGTCGCGATCCGCGACACTTGAGCCTCAACACCAGTGTAGCCTGCCTTCTACAATCACTTCTAAACTGTAACAATGGCCTCCACCTCGGGGCCCAATGCAGCTTCTGAAATTGCCAACACTCTATCTACAGCGGCGGTAGAACAGCCTCCTTTAAATGTAGTAGACTCGGTCGATTCAAAAGTGACAAAATCGCCCCCCCCAGACACCCCCGAGAACATTCGCACTCGATCTTTCGTTATTCTATCTTTTTGGATCGTGGTTATTTCTGTAGGAATACCATTATGGTGGATTACAACCGCCATATACCGGGCGCCGCTCCCGTTAAAGGAGATGCAAAGCTGGGCTGATGGGAGGGTGGGTTTCTGTCGATGTATCCCCCTTTCATGGCGCAGGAGGCTAAAGGTCAACAGGCATGCAGAGCAGAATTTCCGCTACTCATAGATGTAGAGGCACCATTATTACCGGACCCCGAAAATCTACTGAAGACCGTGCAACATGCGCTTGATGATGCGAATGACTTTTCTGCTCATCATCTGCGACTTCGGCTCTCCACGAATGCACCAAAGTCCCCAGAGAGAGAAGAAGACGAGGTTGTGGCTGCGACTCTACGACTTTCACCTGGCCCAGCCGGAAAACCCCATTCGTATAACTTGACTCCATCATCACGTGTGATAAATCTATCTTATTCGCCTTCCTACAATCCCTCGACAAGCCTCTCGGCATTTGTGGCTAGTACTCTTCAAGAGATATTTGTTGAGGAACAGCAGATGATTTCTTATCTTTTGGCATCAACTACTTCGAATCCTTCGTCTTCTCCTGCAACTTCGTCCAGTACTTCGAATGGAAATAATGGCTTGGGTAAGGTCAAGGTCAATACAGCGGACATAACACGCAAGATGAGCCGAATAGTGAGATATTCTCCAACGTACCACTTGACGTTTTCTCTCTTTACTGCATCAGGATTACCAAATAGCTGGGATGTCGAACATGCTATTTCTGAATATCTACAGCCACTTCTTGACGCTTTGGGCGGAATTAGTACATTTACTGTTGATTCTCAGATCCAGTTTTACGCATCACTGTCTTCGAGTGTATCTCCAACTTGGGTTCTAGGTCCAGAGGGGGGAGAGGAAAAGGGACAGTGGGTATTGAAGAAAGAAGACCTCAGCAGCTTTATCAACAGCGCCGAGTGGCCATTGGTCAGCATCACGAGCTACCCAACCATCAATTTTATCATTTACATTCCGTCGAAGGATCAAACTCCTCTTCTGATTTCGGACAGTGCCACGAATGCTTTCCTTCTGCCCCAGTGGGGTGGTGTCATGATTATGAACCCTAACCACGGTTCTCCCAATAGCAGCTCAGAGCTTACATCGCACCTGAGTAAAGAAGCGCTAAAGCCAGCGCTTGATCTTTTTGCTACCCAGCTTCTCTCACTTCTTGGGGCACCAACTCGTCCAGCATCGCTGCCCATTAGACTTGACTCTTTAACCCGTCAAAGATCTGCTGAGCTCGTTGTCTCTGCATCTTCTACCCTTGGTTCCTTGTACAGATTGACGCTTGCTCTCCCATCCATCTCCATCCCGTCTTCGGTTTCTACTTCAGTAGCCTCGACTCTCCTGTCACTGAAGAATGCATGCCACGAGCTCAAGAACGGCCGGTTTGCCGGCGAGGGCGGTGCCTTGGAAGAAGGTAAGAACGCTGCCATCCAGGCCGAAAGAGCGTTTTTCGAGAAGAGTATGGTTGGCCAGGTGTACTTCCCCGAGGAGCACAAGATCGCTGTCTACCTGCCGCTTATGGGACCTGTTGGTGTTCCGTTGATCATGGGGGCCACAAAGGAGCTTGGGAGGCTTTTCAGAGCTTGGAAGGCGCAGAGGGCTATCAGATAGTTGAATATGTTTGGGTGTGTGCGTGTGTGTGTGAAGTAATTGAAGTTTGCTTTGTATCTTAATTAGTTCTAAGTTTTTGGACACAGAGTAATTAGCTTGTTTTTTTGTTTTTGTTTTTGTTGTTGGCTCATATTGCGTTTGCGGAGTTTTGAGGATATTGTATTATTGGTTTCGTCCATGTGGAAGGGCTACAGATAGGCAATCTGTGTTTGGTGGGAGGGCGATGGGCAGGATAGAGTGCTAAAAGATCATGTATGGTAGGCTGACCGCACTAGACTGCTGTGTAATGGCTAATCCCTTTTGATGTCTTGGCTTTTCGAGTGATTGCTCGTGGAGAATCGTTAGCTGTCAATGATCTCTTGGCAATTATAGCTAGTATAATATGTTCATAGTTATCACTCTACATGGATATACCTAGCTGATCGATAAAACAGCAAGAAGAAAAAAAGGTAACGAAGAACCTATGAATTTCACACACACACCGACTGCCAGTTCAGCCCCCCCCCCCCCCCCGCTAAAAACCCCAAAAGGCACAAATGAAACCGTAAAAAAAAAAAAAAAGAGAATCCGATCCACTGCTAGCTCCCGTCCGTTATCCCGTAAAGCAACAAAACAAACCAATGCCAATTAAACCAGTCCCTTAAGCTTCCATCTCCTCCTCCTCCTCGGCCATCCCCCCCTGTCCAAAGGCTTTCAAAAAGAAAAAAGAAAAGAAAAAGTTATAACTATGGTACAATACTTATTCATGCATTCACCACTGCGCCGAACCCCCCCCCCGGTCAAGTTGTTTTTCGTCTCGTGTTTTAATTCATTCCGCTCAGCTCTGTCAGTCTTTTTTTTCAGTCTTTTTTTTCTTTTCTTTTTTCGTCGTCATCTTATTGTCCATTGGGTCTGCGGTTTTTTTTCTCTCTCTATGTAGCAAAGTAGAGCTACTACTTTACTTCGTACCCCTCATCAATCGATCCATACCATATCATACTGCCCTGCCACACCCTACCCGCCGTCCCCGCGCGCAAAACCAAACCGAACCAGTCGCCACCACCACCAGCGAGCTAGCTAGCCACCTAGAAGTCCGACTCCTCCTGAAAGAACATCGTGAACGAGATGATGGTCCCGTAGATGAGCAGGCCGCCAAGAATCGACATGACCATGGCCGACACCTGGATGATTCCCGAGTGTGCCAGCGCCGCCGGGAGAGCTACAAAACCACACAACACACACACATTAGCCCCCCTCTTCCCCCCCCCGCGGAGGGAGGGTGCGAAAAACTTACCAATCCCCATGACGACAAAGAAGCCTGTTAGGAAGCGGCCGAGGTCCAGCCCGGGGCCTGTGCTCTCGAAGTCGTCGGGGTTGCTCCAGCGCGAGCAGACGGCGTTGGGGAGTGGGGCGAGGCAGTAGGTTGCGACGACGAGTAGGGGGAAGTAGTTTCCGAAGAGCGCGGAGGAGAGGATCACGAGGAGGAAGCCGATCGCGAGGACCTACGGGGGGGGGGGTTAGTTGGTTGGCTGGTGGGTAGGTAGTGGTGGGGGGGGGGGGAGGTTACGAAGGAGAGGGCGATGATGGTTTTGAGACCGGCCATGGTGGGAGGGTGTGGTGTGCTGGGGTGTGGTGTGGTGGAGAGGTGCTGGGTGGAGTTGGGGTTGGGGATGTCGTGGTGTCGGAGTGGGTTGGTGGGTTTTGGAGTTGAGGTTGGAGTGAATGGGCGGGCGATGGATGGGTGGATGGATAGATGGGGCTGAGGTGACGCGAGGCGCTTGCTTGGGTGGTGAGTTGCCAAGACTGGGAAATACATGTAGCGAAAAGTGATCAGAATCTGACACCTATTCACCGTAACATTCACTTATCAGATTCTGATCACTTACCCTCAACACCCGGTACATAGCTACAGCTCGGGATCGATTGATTTTACAAGCTCCAAAGGCTTCTAATAGATGTAGTTTTTTTTTTAGCTTCGTTAACGAATCTAAGGGGCGTATCTGTAAGGAGCTCTTTTTTTTATTATTATTTATTTTTTTGCCCTAATTAAAAGCCTTTTCTATTTTGCGAACGGCGATGTCATGCATGGGTCATCACTCGGAGATACATATCGTGGTGACACAAAAAAAGGTCTGTAGGGCGGAGATGTCGGAATTTTATTTTATTTTATTTTATTTTGCAGCGCTTCTTTATGCAGATGCACGCAGTAGAGTAGCATCACTTCAATCCGGGTTGTTGGGTCGTCGGGTTCGACAGCTTGCAGGATAATGAGCGATCTTATACCACCGTATGTATAGAAAAAAAACTACATATATAAATAATTACTCTGTCTATATAATTACAGAATTCGGGCTCGGCGAGAACATTATCTACCCGTGAGTATCATTGCTCATAGCCCTCCTCCTCCTCCTCCCCGCTCACCATGAGCTCCACCCAAAAAGAAAGACGCCATACCCGACCGGCCCGACCCTTGACCCTCCCGCCCGCATCTATCTTAAAGCACCGACGCAAAGGGGACCGTAAGCCTCTTGTCGTACAGCGTGAAGAAACCCCACGTGAGAGCAACAGCTTCCCAGATCATTATAGTCTATTATTTTTTTCAGCGGTGTTAGCCCCTTCAGCGCAGTTAATGTCGTGGGCTTAAGCTTACAAAGAAAGGTGTCATTTTGTTTTTGGTGGTGGTGCTGGTGCTGGTGTTTGGTGGTGGTGATGATGATACGTGGTGTTTGAGGGTGTGAGGGGTTGCTAGAGGAGATCTTGGGAGGAGGTGGCCCCTTTTATGGAAGGACGCTGGGTTTGCATGACGTCTTGCAGTCGTCGGTATCGTTGGGTCATGATGTGTCACTCGGCGCGCATGGCAGCCAAAGGGAAGGAGCCAGGACAGAGACAGCCAAGGGGACGGGGGTGTTTTTTGGCAACACTTGTAGTAGGTGCAGTCATGTTTATCATTGACACGGAGGAAGAGGAAGAAGAAAAGAGACTTATGTCATGTAAGGAAAAAGAGCCAGCAAGCAAGCAATCAAATGCAGATGCAATTAGTCACCGTGTATGTAGAATTGTACCTTTTTTCCTCTTGTAAACCCCGACCCAAAACCAAGCTAGACACAAAAGAGAATTGAAGAAACGAATGAAAAAGCCGGACCAAACAATACCAAAGAAAGAAAAGAAAAGAAAAAAAAACAGAATAAAAAAAACAACACCAAAGGATCTACTTTTTACTTTTTTTTTTTTTTTTTTTTTTTTTTTTTTTTACAACTGATCATCAGTCTCCAGCACGATCGCCTCACCAGGCTTAAACGCCGGCAGCCCGATATACGGGCACCCCGCGCACCTGAACGCATCGCCAAGGTAACAGCTCCCGCACGAGCTCGCCTTGCCCTCAACCGTAAAGTCGATCTCCGCCAGGTCGTCCGCATTCAGCTTGATCCCCGCCGCGGCCTTCTCCTTTGCCGCCGCAAGCGCCTTGTCGGCCGCCGAGCGCTGCGTGGCGTCCTCCTCCTCGAGCTTCTCCTTGAGCCCGCATGTGCAGTCTTTGCACGCGCGCCTACGCTTCCCGGGCTTGGGACGACACTCGGCCGCTGGTCTGTGTTAGTTAAAAGCACTCTCTCAGCGATAACGGGAGAGAGACATGAGGGGGAGGTAGCTTACGTTGCTGAATCGGCGCCGCCAGGTCATCGCCGTCAAGGAGCGTCGCCTCGTCAATCAGCTCGTCGTCGTCATCCAGGTCATCGCCAAAATCAATGAACCCGACGCCGCTCGGCGCCGCTGCCACTGGCTTTGGCACCACCGTCGCGGGGCCGTCGGCCTTTCGTCGTAGCTTCAATGGGACGCTTCTTGTGTCTGGCTTTACGAGGGACCCGTCGTCCGCCACTATGAAGCCGGCCATGAGGAGGGCGAGCTTGTCGGCGCTGACGGGGGTGTTGTTCTGAGACCGCCATTTGGCACCGGGTGCCATGGAGGCAAAGACCTTTTCTAGTACTGGGGCGGAGGGCTCGGGTGTTGCGGTGGCGGGCGTGGAGAGGAGGAGCACGGTGGTGTAGGTTGTTGGGGGGAGGGACACGAGGCCGAGGGCGAGGCGGTCGAGCATTTGGACGTCTGTGGTGTCGCGCGGGAGCGCGGAGAGGGCGGACTCGAGGAGCGCGGGGGTCGAGGAGATGGACGGCGGGCAGAGGAGGAGTGTTCGACCCGTGGGGGTGGGGGCGGGGAGGGAGAAGTCGGAGGAGGAGGTGTCGACGAGGACTGCTGGTGGTGACATTTTGGACTGGCTGGTCTCGTGAGTCAAGGTATGTAGGTACTGTACTTTACTACTAGGTATTAACAAGTGGATGGGTTTTTTTTCTTTCTTTCTGGACTGTAATTGAGTAGTTTAATTTGGTGAGGCAGAGAATGTTTTTATATCGGTGTGAGTCGAGGAGGGGTGAGAATTATCTATCGGAGAGAGGGATAAAAACTCCGTGGAGAAACAGCTTAGAAATCTTTCTTTGAAATCTTTACACACTGAAGTCCGCCATTTGCAGCTTACCCGGACGACACAGATAACCAGGCAGCATCTTATCGGAGGGGAGCTGCAGGGGAATCAAATAGCGGGGCAGGCAGTGGCAGTATTGTCTGTTTTTTGCTCAAGTTGCGAATTATTGTCTATTAAGAAGTTTCCAGAGCTCATATAGTAATAATTGCAACTCTACTTCGCTAATATCAAACTCGCTGTTCCCTGCCTCCAGTCATTTCCGTTCTGAGATCTACCACGCCTACGTATTGCTCAGAACTAGGAAACCTCCGCGTCAACCCTCAACACCTCACTCAACCCCACGCACACAGCAGCATCGACAGCATATCCATCACCCCCGCCATCCATCATTTTCTGAGCATCCAAACATCTCAAAATGTTCAGAAACAACTACGACAACGATTCTGTCACCTTGTAATTAGCCATCCATAACCCCTCTTTCCATGATGAAACTCCCCCCACTAACTTGAACCTTGACAAATAGCTCCCCACAGGGCCGTATCTTCCAGGTCGAATATGCTCTCGAGGCTATAAAACAGGGCTCTGTCGCCGTGGGATTGGTCAGCAAGACACATGCCGTGCTTGTTGCCTTGAAGGTATTCTCTCCCGTGATGGAATGCGATAAAGAGCACATTGCTAACCAGGACCTGTTTGGCACCACAGCGGAACGCGGAGGAGCTGGGCAGTTACCAGAAGAAGATCATCGGTTCGGAGCAACCTCCCACATCCTCCCACAAACCTTCACATATAGCTCCGGGGTATAATACTGATGTGAGCTTTTTGTTTTTTTAGGAATCGACACCCACCTCGGCGTCGCCCTCGCCGGCCTCGCCCCCGACGCCCGCGTCCTCTCAAACTTCATGCGCCAGCAATCCATGTCCTCGCGCCTGCTGTACAACCGCCCCGTGCCCGTCGCGCGCGTCGTCAACGCCATCGCCGACAAGGCGCAGGTCAACACGCAGCACTACGGGCGGCGTCCCTACGGCGTCGGCCTGCTCGTGGCCGGCGTCGACGAGACGGGCCCGCACCTGTGGGAGTTCCAGCCGTCGGGGATGGTGCTCGAGTACCGTGGGGCGTCCATTGGCGCCCGCTCGCAGAGCGCCAGGACGTACCTCGAGCGCACGTATGAGGAGTTTGCGGAGAGCTCGAGGGAGGAGCTGGTCTTGCATGGGTTGAAGGCGTTGAGGGACTCGTTGGCGCAGGATAAGGAGCTCACGATTGCGAATACGAGTGTTGCGGTCGTGGGTGTGGGTGGGGAGAAGTTTAGGCTCTATGATGGCGATGAGGTGGGTGAGTGGTTGGAGAAGCTGGGGAATGTCCAGAGCAGTAGGGGCGGGAGGGGTGCGGAGGAGGAGGAGGAGGCTCAGGCTGCTCCGGAGGAGACTATGGATACAACGGAATAGAGTAGAAGAAAAAGTTCGTATTCCTGTAGTTTTTTTTCTTACTTGTCTGTCTTCCTGTGAATAATGGAATAACAGAGCTATGATATCAATAAGTGCCAGTGATTTTTTTTTGTGATTTTTTGTGAATTTTGAATTAATACTAGGCTCGTGGAGAATTAGGGTCCTTCCTTCTTTAGGATAAAAACACTATATGGTAACTATGTATGTAGTGACAGGCAAGAATTCTAAAATTCGACCTAATAACCCCAACTCCATAGTTTCGTAAAAGATCAAAAGAAACCCATATTCCTGTGAACCATATATAACTAAGGAAAAACCTATTTAGCTAGAAAAACTAATACAACTAGCGTCTATCTACTCCAAGCCCCAATTGAGATTCATTCTCCCAGACGCCGGGACATAATCCCGGATCCTATCCGCAACCTCCTCCGCCGTCTTCGCCTCAACAATGATTCCCTGAGCACCGGGCTTAATGAACCCCGCCTCCACAGCACTCCTCACCCACGCCAGCAGCCCATCATAAAACCCATCCACATTGAACAGCACAATAGGACACGCATGAATGCCCAGCTGGTTCCAAGTAACCACCTCAAATAGCTCCTCCATCGTCCCGAACCCCCCCGGGAGCGCGACAAACGCATTGGACAGTTTTCCCATCATGCTCTTGCGAGTGTGCATGTCGTTGACAATGGTGGTCTTGCCGTACTCGGCCTCGTCGGGCGTGGCGCCGCCCTGCTCGAAGGCTACGAGTGCTTGCGGGACGATGCCGTGCACGTTGCCGCCGAGGGAGCGGAGTGTGCGTGCGATGGTGCCCATGAGGCCCACGGTGCCGCCGCCGTAGACGAGGGACCAGTTGTTGGCGTGGAGGGTGGTGGCGAGGGCGGTGGCGGCGGTCATGTAGGAGGGGGAGGTGCCGGCGTTGGCGCCGCAGCTAGGAGGGGAGTGTTAGTATGTGTGTATATGGGTTTTGTGGTGGTGGGGGGTGGGGTGGAGGGGGGAGTTACAAGACACAGACGGAGAAGGAGTCGGAGGTGGGGTCGCCGACGGAGGGGGTGGAGGTGCCGGTGCCGTTCTGGGATACTGATGCCATGGTGAAGGGGGTTTGCTTGGGATTGGGTGTGGTGGATTGTAGGTGTTGTAGATGGGATTGTAGGTATGTAGGTATGTAGCTATGTAGTGGTAGGTAGTGGTATGGAGTAGTGTGTGAGTAATAGCTCTAGTTTCCGAGTTTTCTCAAATGTTCTGAAGTAGCGAGCTAGAGGAGAGAAGACTCATTGCTTTATATAACCACTTTTTCAGCTCCCCTCCCCCTCCCGCCTCCTCTCACCAGGTTCCTATCATATCATACCCACACTGCATCCGCATGATCACGATTCCCCTTACCTCGCTCGCCTTCCCTAGCTAGCAGCTAGCTACCCGCCTGCCTGCTTACTCTACTTGGTCGCCTAACCCGTCGAGCCAATTGCATTGCTATGTGGATGGGATGTGGTTGCGCTCCTGCCTGGTTGGCATAAGCCCAATTCGCTGCTGAAGAAAAGAGAGAGAAAAAAGAAATATAAACATCGGTCATCTGTGTCAAGGTCGGTTGAGCCTCATGTCGTCATACCTCTCTCTCTCTTCCTGCAGCTGGGGCGAGCTACTCTATGTAATAGTCAATGCTTCCCATACGTACACAACCAGCAATGGAGCACGGAAGCAGATCAAACACTAGATGGAGCATGGGAAGGGACTTGACTCGATTACTTTTTGGAAACTGGGAAGTTGTTCCGGCGTATTGGCCGTATGTACTCTAGAGTACAGGGGTGGGGTTGAGGTTGTGCTCAGTTACCTATGCGAGTACGTACTCTAGGTTTGACGCTGGCGATGGGGACGCAGGCATCGTGTATGCTGTTCCTGATGATCATGCAATGCGCTGCACGGCATCGGAGAGGCTGTTCTGGAAGTCTTCTGACGTGGGGCCTTCATAGGGTTCCGATGCTTACCAGGCCTTGCATGGGCTTTTATGGTCATATCATGGGGCTGCTAATGGAGGGGCAGGGTCATGGATGCTCACTCGGGAGTGGGGGGTTTGGTGGAGTACGGGGGGAAGGCTGTTTGTTTGACAAGTGTTTAAATAGAGTTATTGGATGCAGAGCCGGCCCTTTTAGGGCTCTGTTGGCGCTGTGGTCCTGTTGTGCACGTTGATGGGGTTCAAATGGGGTGCCTAGTCCCCTGATCTGTTGCATCGTTGATTCAATTGGACTATGGTCTCTATACTGTAGTAAATCTGGGCTGATCTTAGGGATTTGGGCCTGTGCGGGATGAATTGTTTAAGGTTGGAAGAGAGTTTACGGCATTGTGGAGAGAGGTTAAGCTTTAGGACAATACTATGCGAGTCATGACCCAGGCCGGCCTCTTTTTTAATGCAACCCAATTTCGGTGCTGTTACTCGGTCGTTGAGAAGGAGCCGGATCGGGTTCCAGCTCCGATTATAACTGGTCTCGGACCGACTTACGGATACAACTGCGCAGTATCTAAGAGCAGCTTAGCCCATGGTTATACTTAACAAGTACCCCCTAGGTCTCTCACTTGGCTGCTTGTTCCTAGATATTACTTCCTCATAGTCAACTAGGTTCCCAAACCGGAACTCAAGGACCGCTCTATGATATTTATACCTTGATATCTACGTACGTACCAGCAGCAGCCACCCTCCCGGCCATCCCAAACGCCATGCCAATCAATTACCCACAACCACATTCCACATTCCACATTACCGCCTATCTCCCAGTCCACACATCCCCCCCGCTCATGAATCCGCCCCTCCCCATGCCCATACCCGACCCGCCTCCCCCGCCCACACTCCGCTCCTTCGGCCGCTTCGCAACCTTCCCCGCGTCGCGCACAGCCTTGACAATCTTGCCGAGATCCGTCTCGACGACGCACCCGCCGATGATCATCTCCTCGAGCGTTGCGTGCAGCGTCTCGAAGTTGAAGATGAGGTCGAGCTCGCAGACGTTCTCGAAGAGGGCGTCGAGCGCTTGCACGAACACTTGGATTAGGTCCAGGAGACCGAGGGGTGACTCGAGTGAGTCGCTGATCACGATGAAGTAGAGCGTGGCATAGTGACGGTAGAGGAGGGTGGTGGGTTCGTCGCCGGCGCTGGTGTTCCAGGATGTTGAGGAGGAGGAGCCGGCGAGGAGGGGTGGGAGGCTGGTGGTGAGGGCTGGGAGTTAGTATTCTCGTGTACATGGGGTTCAAATATTGTTGGGTAGGGAGAGAGCTACGGGAGGAAGTTGCAGGCGGAGGCAGGGCGGTTTGAGACGAGGGAGAAGATCTGGGTGAGGAGCTTTTGCTGCAGTGAGACGTCCTGAGAGGTACTGGTTAGTTGGTTGTTTTGGGGAAATGTTTATAGAAAATAGAGACGAACAATCTGGGAGTAGAACTTGGTCAGACGCGGCTGGCCGTTATTGTTGAATACTAGTACGGCGTTGATCATGGTGAGAGCTGTGGTTTGGGATTGGTTGCTTGGGATGGAGCTTCTTGACGTTGGAGGCTCTTATCAATTGGAGATCTTATCAGATCTCATATTTGCCTAGCGCGATATCTGGTTATGTCAAGGGCTTTCAGTTTCGTCTACGATACAGTTATCTTGACCAAATTTATAGCAGAGTAGCAATGAATCGTATTTTCTGAAGATATCTTTTGTCTCATCACTCTGATCAGCCCGTATTTATTTGATCTTCTTTTAGTCTCTGACCGTTCTTTAATCCCATGCATTAAATGACCTGATAAGGACTACATTTTGGGTCTCTTTGACTGTGGCCATTCTGTACCATGCCAGGGGACCACTAAGATCGGCAATCTCAATTCTGAGCAGAGCATTTTCTGTTTCCCTTCAAAGACTCTCATCTCAAACGATTACTATCTGTCCATATTTAGGACCCCCAAGATCCACGACACCTTGGAGCTAGCTTTTAGCTGAGATAAGATGGGTATCGTATGTGCGAATCCTTGACCCCCGGGGGAGGGTTTCCAGCTCGTAATAGCGAATCATTTAAAGATTTCTTTAAAAAAAATCTGAATACAGTACTGCCTTCCAATTTCTCTTGTTTTGGGGCATTAGATTGTAAATACAATTGTAGTCTTGTGAAGTTGGTATCTTTGGTTGTATATCTCAGACCGCATCCTGACAGATTAGGGTACAGGCATGATAAGCAGTCCCAGAAGCCCTAAACAACCCACACACATCACAGCGGCGCCCCACGATCACGATGGCCGTAGCAACCACCAACGCGCCAAAGTCGTTTCTTCGCCTGGACAACCGATTACGACAACACCGACCACCAAACGAGCCCTCACGACCCCCGAATTCACCACCAACTGATTCAAAATGGTAAGGATTCTCCATGTCCAATTTTTGTCTTTTTTTTTTTTTTTATCCGTCCGTTTTTCTGGTGGTGCCGAACCGGGATTATTTTTCGCGATACCGAGGCCGAGATGGACGACATTTTCCTGGAGCAGAGATGAGAGGTAGCGGATCTTGAAATTGTTTCGAGGTTCGGGGGTTTGCCGGGATTTTCGGATGTGGGGAAGGGATGGATGTGGGGGATCGATTTGCATTCGGTTTGGCCAGTGGCGTCAACGGGACACAGATACCTATCAACAAACTCGTCCAAACGTACAGAAAGATCATGCCAACTGCCGCCATTCACCTCGAAGCAATTTGGAAATTCTGGGCAGAGGATGAGCTGGGAACGAAGCTCCGGACACAGCAAACCAGCATTCGCCACCACCGGATATGTAAAATGGAAATGAGAGTCATGACTCAGAGCGCTCGCTAACAACTCTGGCTCCTCTAGGTCAACGTCCCCAAGACCCGTAAGACCTACTGCAAGGGCAAGTCCTGCAAGAAGCACACACAGCACAAGGTCACCCAGTACAAAGCCGGAAAGGTCCGTTCTCGTTCCCTCGAATGTCAGCACCCCGAAAGTAAACTAACGAAGCCCCACCATTTTCCAGGCCTCTTTGTTCGCCCAGGGAAAGCGTCGTTATGACCGCAAGCAGTCCGGTTATGGAGGTCAGACTAAGCCCGTCTTTCACAAGAAGGCGAAGACCACCAAGAAGGTCGTGTTGAGACTGGAGTGCACTATCTGCAAGACCAAGGCCCAGCTTGCCCTGAAAAGATGCAAGCACTTCGAGCTTGGGTACGCTACAATCCTCCCCGCGATCGGTGTTAAAAACGGTACTGACATGCTGGTTTCTCTCTCTTCAGTGGTGACAAGAAGACCAAGGGTGCCGCTCTTGTCTTTTAAATGCAATAAAAAAACCCGGTGTTTCATTTCTCGTTTTTTTTTTACATTTCTTTCTTTCTTGGTTGGCATTGGAGGGGATTGGCAACTTCGGATCAAAAAGTAGTAATGTCATCATACTGCAAATCTGAAGAAGTTGGCAAAAAATTAGAGATAACGTCAATATGTTGTTTCTAGTAACTAGTCCTGGGCACCGGGGAAGGAGGAATGGGTGATGAGGAAACCTATCTATATACCTACTACCTGCCAGCCATTGTATAAAGGGAAAAAAATGGGAAACAGTATCATCAATCTGCTGGCATAGTTTTTTGGTGCTTCGGTTGGAGAGCTCTCAAATAGAGGAGACTATTTTTAACCAGGTTTGATGTAAGCGTATATGCATTAGAGGCACTTAACTTAATCTACAGTAAATCCGTTTGTATTTGGCCGTGGGCACTGTTTTTCTCCAAAATTTAAATACACAGGTTGTCACTACATGTAGTCAAGATGAGTCGCGATCGTCATAGGCCGAGTGAGGAATTGTGATTCCTCTCTTGGCAGATGGGTGATATTACTCAGTAACCATTTAAAACGATGCATACAGATGGGGCACCTTCACTAGACTTCCCCAGGGAAAGAACTCATCCGGCATAACCTAGTTTAATATGCCCAAGTCTCTACTTGTAAACCTCGCCGTCGAGGAACTTAATAGACAACGAGTGATACTTCATGACCCACAACCCACCCATATGTTGTCATATTGTTAATAAGAATAATGTGGATATATTGACGATAGTGCGATATAAGAATGTGCAAGCTAGATTTTGTCTAGCTGTACCTGTTTTATACGGTGACGTAAAAGCGCCTGGGGTGTGTGAATGTCTGCCTGGATTTGGGGGATTCTTGATATATTGTAGAATCTGGGTAAAAGTGTTCAACACCGTTCATCTCGAACTCAATGAATGTTTTGGCGAACAATTTTTGGGGGACTCATGATTTCTGAGACTGGACCCACACCCGTTGCTTGGTCAGGCGACACAAGGGGTCGGTTGTGGGGTATATCCTGCACTTGGTCAGTACCTCCATCGAGCTGATGTGATAAAATTCCGCGTGTATGTTTTGGAGCGTGTCCCTATGTCCTCTTCGAGCGCTGTGGTTGTTCGTGGTTTTAGAGTTTGACTCCCAAGGCCCACAAGGTACCTCGGAGTAAAGTGAGCTGACGATCTTGAGGTACCTCGGTCTTGCAAACCCTTCGCCTCGAGCTAAAGTGAAGTGAAAAAGACCCTAGGTATCGCGGATAAAACTAGGTCTGGTACTATATAACACCGGTGGATTCCTTGGGTCGCTCTTGACACTGTACGCTGAGTGGGTAGAAATAGGTTCGTAAATACTAATATCTGCAGTCTAGTCAGACAGTACTCGAGGTAAAGCGGAGAGGTGGTTAGCTTCGACTCCTTTGGCTTTGTACAGCCTTAATCTGTGGGCGGGAACACGTATGCATCGAGGTACTTCTGTGTGTCTTGATGCTGAGTATCGAATATGCATGCATTAACTGTTGATATGGAAAAGCCCTAGCTCCGGTCGTGAGTGCGTTGGAGACTGACGAAACAATTAATATCACTCAATTCTTCACATGAGGCGGAGCTAAGACGGCCTTCAGGGCCGATCCTCAGAACTGTCCACGACTAACACACGTAAGCTACCTATGTTTGCACATTTATCGTTGAGTTCAAACTCCATGGCCCATGATACGGAAGAGTGGGAGGTGAGAAGGTAAACAGGCCACTTGACTAGGCACTCAAGATAAAACAAAAAGAAGAAATAGAAGAGTAAACTCAATACCTTTCAGCCCTGGGAGAACCTTGAAATGAGAAGGGAAGGCTGACAACGGGCGGAGTATAGTATATTGTAAGTGGGGGGCCGAAGAATTAAAACAGTGTAGCAACCTTGAAGTGCTTGGTCGTAGAGTATCGGTCTTCTCCGATACGCTTAGCCTTTTGGACGGAGGTTTGGGCCAGCTATGTGGTTTGAACCGAAAATTGATGATGCCGTTAAGTTTTGACAATACTATTACGTTCCACTGCCAGGCACCACCAAAACAACAACCACAACCACAACCACCATCACAACCATAATCAAGGTCATTACCGTCCAACTCCTTGAAATTTTTTCTTAACCTAAGCATCTAGATGAGGTCTTTCCCATTTATGTTCCGAAACGAGGTAGCCTATCACTGAAACTTCGAAAGAGCTGTCACTACCGCCGTTGCAGTTTATTAGCGGCCGATGGCTAATTTAACTAGAGCTAGGCCCGATAATGAACATGATATTTGGCGGCCCACCCATATGGCTATATGGTCCTAAACAGCATTAGGATATAGACTCAAGCTCAATGGTTCTTAATTTTCCCTAAAATATCCGAGTCTCTATGGATTATCTCTCATATCCCACATATCACTACATCGAGATCATTTAAGTCCAGGCTGGAAAGTCTTGAAACGTTCCACGAGGAGTCATAATCGCTCAAGCATGAGGTTATTTTCATAATCATCATTGATTAATGACTGGACTTCTCGAGTCTAAAGCTTGGAAGTCGACCAAACATCTAAAGACAACGAGTAGTTCGTTATGCTTCTAGTATATTTTACATAAGCCCAAAAGTTTGGTCGCACCCTAAAACCCGCCGAAAGAATGTTAAGCACACATCTTCTGTTATCAACCCGATAGATACTGGTTTCACTGCATCTGCCATTGGGGAATATAATAATACTCGATATGTACCTAACACTCATAAGGCTAATTGATTTCGAGCTGGGCCGAGCTGTGGTTTCTCTAAAAGACCCCCACAATTAAGGGGGGCAACCCTTGATAAGATAATACCCCGGACCGAATGATCATATACTGCCGTTTTGGTCTAAAGTTGGAAAGCCCTGTGGAGGCCGATAAATCGCCTCGGCGCCTAAAGTTGCCATTGATTTTTCTGCCGGATGTGTCCACCACCAAAAGCTTGAATAGCCAAGTACTTGGCCAGATATTCTGGCTCTGGAGTCTGCCCACGTTTTTAAAGCTTGTCTACTAAGCCAAGATACTTGGCTTCTACCTATGGAATAATGAAAGATGTTCTCATACTTTTAGTTTGACCGGTATGCCGGTCACTAAGAGAAATTTTGCAGTCCGTTGGCAGGAGTATGGTATTTAGTTTGGACAGGGGATAAATCTCTTGTCGGAAATGCAGCTTCGGAGGGTTTCTTCATTTTTACTAAAACAGCTGATTTGGGATAGACGCCGATGACCGATGGAAACGTTTTCTCCTACAACGCGTGTACCTATTCTCCTCATATGGAACGTGGCGGGGCATGTTAAAGCGGGTAGATTACTATCCGGGCTTTAAGTCGTCTCTACTATCGCCCACTCGGTACGTATACAAGGTTGGTAGTGAATTCATGTATGTATGTACTCACTAGACCTGGCATGGGCCTTTCGATCGATCTTCGGGTCCCTGGGTCGCATCTTTAGACTGAAAAGATACACATCCTAGTACTCTTTCTTTTTAGCTTGTGTCTGGCGAACGAACGAGACTCGTGGGATTTGTAACATGCTGTTCTGGGAGCGTGGAAGAGAAAATTGACCACCCTTGCATAGACGGGCACTCTCGGTTCGTATGTACTGAAATCACTGATCTTCATAGGTTCTCACATATGAGTTTTCACTTTACTGACGACTGAAAACCCCCAATTGGCAATTACCTTTTAACCCCACTAGTTATTTCATTTTTTCAATTGCACCAAGGCCGTGGCTTTTCGGACTGAGCGATTAAGTGGCCCCCCCAATCATGATGAAGCCTTTTGTTCTGCAACTAGTTACATGGCTAAGTGATAATGGCTTGGTTTTTTTTTTAACAGTATCGGCGTATTGAAATGGGTACCCGAGGACCTCCGTGCTTGAGTATTCAGACCTAGTACCAGAAACCTATTTTATAAGTGGAGGCGGAAAGTGGGAAAGATTCCTCTAAGAGTGTTTTCACCGGCTCTAGTAGATCGGGCCCTACTAAAACCGCAGTGACAAAAGCACTTAATGGTAAAGAAACCCGAATATCTGGGGAAAAGCTTTTGAAACAGTATCTATAGGGGTAGCTATACCGCTTTGAACCGAATAGTAATTCCGGTTAAAGAGGCTAGGCCATCTCCGAACTGCATTTCGCCACTCAGGGAATAGTTGCCGCAAATTTTGAAGGAGACAGGTGATAAGAATTTCGATTTGGCCCTACAGAGATTCATATTTGATTTTGATATCACTTTATTCTAATTGGTGGTTGACGCGTCTGTTTGGGAATGTAGTAGGTAGGAGGTGTGCGATATACTAGCCCGGCTTTTGAAGTAATAGGCCATTTGTTCTAAGGGGCGCACGTCGATCCTACAAGTTCACTTATTCTCTCAATTGCACTACATGTAATGGTTGAATACATGTAGCTTGTATGGCCATATTTCGAGTGATGGCTGATGATGTACCCCAGCACACGTAAACACCTGTTGTAGCCAACAAACTAGCTCAATGAACATGAAACAGCACGATATTGGCTTGTAGACTACTATCGTGGTTACCAAAAACATGGTGTTCCGTTCACGCACGTCGCGTATCTGGTTTAGTGACCCTCAAGGTACTATAATTTTATGCTTGAAACCAAGCTGTGAAGAAGCTTGTGTACCGAAGTTGACCGTTTTGGAGTTATGCCAAGGACGAGTCGTCGCGGCGCGGCAGCAGACGCGTCACTCCCGCTCTTGGCATACTTCTGGAAACCACACCCCATCACTCGGATCGGTAACCCCCTGCTCCTAGACAGCAAGCAGAGAACAAAGAGAGAGGGCTTCGTCGGTTAACCATCCGGTAACAATTGTAGGTAGGGCGAGTGGGCCTAGGCAAATCAGAGCCTCAAAGCAGAGTGTTGGGAAGTTCCGAGGTTGGTAGCCTACCGCCGTTGAATATGCATACTTTTAGAAAGGATTAGTATGTAGTCTGTCCGTACCACCTACGTCTCTACTCTACTTTACGCGTGGAAAGGAGACATGTGGGGGAGATGTGGATACTTGGTGACGACTTTGTCTTAACCCCAAAGCAAGCTTTCGCCGAGCCATAGCCACTTCTGCTCCACCTTGAAACACCGACTTGCGAATCGGTTGTCTGCTATTGCTAACCAATGGCTTTTTTAGATTATACTACTGAAAGGAACCTTCCGCTAATTTGGGGATCTGGCTGGCAACCCTTGTCAATATGTCGAGATCTTGACGCCTGCAGTATCTTTGAAGACTCGTAGCCCTTGCAAGATGCTGCGTAATAGGGTGCTCTGTGAGGAGGACTTAGGACTTTCACCTTCAACTCCGAAATCTATAAGAGTTTGAGGATTGGCACTCTCAATGGAAGCCATCAGAACAACCAATCAGTATCATTCGCTCGCAACATCACACAATTACACAATCTTTTCATAATCTTAAATTCGCATTTTTTATATCTATAACAGCATCTCAATAATCAAAATGGTTCAAATCACTGCTTTATTAGCTGGCTTCACTGCCGCAGCTGGTCTTGTTGGCTCAGCAGTAGCTCACCCTGGAGGTCACGAGGCCGAGAACCTCGTCAAGCGTGATGCCGTCTGGCACGCTTCCAAGCGTTCTCTCGCCGCCTGCGCAGAGACCCTCAATGGCCGTGCCTTAATGGAGCGCGCTGTCACTCGTCGCAACGAGCTCGCCCAGAAGCTCCGCCAGAAGCGTGGCATTGAGTCCAGTAAGTCAAGATAATGATATATCCACCCATGATATCAATTACTAACAAATTCCTTCAGACCACCTCTACAAGGCCCGTGATTTGGCCTCTGCTATGGCTGTAGACCACCACTCAAACAAGACTGGTATCTCACAGAACACCCACGCCAGCTACCTCTTTGGCAGCTCATTCGCGTGTCTTCTTACGCCCGAGGTTACTGAGGGTCCCTACTATGTAACCGGCGAGTACATCCGTCAGGACGTCCGCGAGGACCAGGAGGGTGTCGATGTCTACCTTGATCTTCAGTTCATTGATGTCAACACCTGCGAGCCTGTCCCTGGCATCTATTTCGACATCTGGAACGCAAACTCTACCGGTACCTACTCAGGTATTGTCGCCAGTGGAAACGGTGACTCCACCGATTTGACCAACATCGACAAGACCTTCCTCCGTGGTCTCTGGAACACCGATCACGAGGGTGTTACCCAGTTCACCACCCTCTTCCCCGGTCATTACCAGGGACGTGCTACCCACACCCATATTGTTGCCCACCAGGGCGGTATCGTCCAGGCCAACCAGACCTTCTCTGGCGGAAACGTCACCCACGTCGGACAGCTATTCTGGGACGAGACTCTCCGCTCCGCCGTCGAGACTGTCTACCCATATAACACCAACACCCAGGCTGTCACCTCCAACGAGGAGGACATGTGGGCACCTAGCCAGGCTGACAACGACTATGACCCGTTCCCAGAGTACGTCTACCTCGGCGACGACGTCAGTGAGGGTATCCTCGCCTGGATTTCCATCGGTATCAACAGGACTGCTGCCTACGATATCTCTGTTGCTGCTACTCTCACCGAGGACGGCGGTGTTGCCTCTGACACTGTCTTCGGTGGTGGAGACGCCGGTGCTGGTGGTGCCATGAATGGAACTATGCCATCGGGCGGTATGCCATCCGGTGTTGCTCCATCCGGCGCTATTCCCTCTGGAACTGGCGCCCCTGCAGCTTAAATATGATCTGTGGTCTGTTGATCTGCTTCGGTGTGAGCGTGTGGCTTACAAGTTAGTACTACAGTGATGGGAAACTTGTATGTGTACTTGTAGTTTTGTGAGAGGGAGCTGGTTAGACTTTTCTTTTGTCTTTGTCTTTGTTGTTTAATTTCCTTTGTTACTATACCCTGAGATGTGTTATTGGCTCTTGGATGCAGGAATAATGTTTCCATTATGTTTTGGATGTAGAACTGCTCTGGCTTAGAAAAATTTCTGAAAATCAGTATGATTCTTATACCCATAACTTACTTTGGTGCAAAATTTTAATAGTCGTGATTATTAACTGGAAGTGTGACTTTACTTTGTTGTTTATCATGCGTGTAGTCGACAAGATTTTCCACTTCAGTAGAGAATCAAAGTTCGCCCAAGGTGAAGTATATATCAGAGTCCACTTGTAAGTGCACAATATTATGAAAGATGCTTAATCGTGGTATCCAGAATCGTTCGGAAAAATTCAAAGGGTGTGTTCATGTCAAATACCACACTTGCTGCGTAATAGCTCCTAGGACAGACGTCTGCGGCCGGTATAGTGCTTGAAAATGACCTGGGTGGAAAGACACGTATATTCCCTTGCCTTTCTTTTCCCGAAGAAACTAAGACATGTAGTGTGCTCTTTTGTTCAGCATGTTTTTCACTGATAACGGCTAGAAGTGACTCCACTATGACCCGATGATGGATTTGAGATTTGATCATGAAATATCACTTGTAAGTTATATCGCCCTTCTCGCAACCACTATTTGGGAAGTATCCCGCGCGTCAAAGTAATATCGTGTAACGTGAGTGATACTGGTAAGCCATATCGTAGCTTCCAGTAAGATTGATCAGTTCATCATCCTTTCAAATATTCCTGTTGTGCTCGCGGTGTACTGCTCGCCTGTAAAGGGTGCTTTTTGTCTGGGTATTGATTAACTCAGAAACAACGGATCTTCTATTCAGGAATCTGAATTTTGTTCGTCATTTCCTAGTCCATTCAGAAATATTTTTTCAAGTACTTTGTTCCCAGTTGTCACTCTATCTTCATTCTGGCGGAGGAATGCAGACAACGGCTCTGGTGCAGACTTTTGCAAGAAGGTATAACACAGGGACTCTTCCCTAGAAAGAGTACCTTACCCAAAGAGGACAATGCGAGAAAGCTTCCTGCAAGCCTGCATCCGGATAGAAGTGTCTTCGTCTGGTAGGAATTAAAACAAGTACCATCGGACCCCATGATGTCATCCGTAATAAGTTTCATTGAATGAAATGGTCCCTTGAGAAATATTTCTGGTCGGGTGATATTCAAGACACCCGTCTAATGCAGGTCTTCTCATGCCTGCCAAATACCGAGGGACTTGCGGTTGATTCCCGCCAGCACTAGAGAGAAAATAAAGCACCTTGCTACATCTTGCCTTGTCTCGGTTCCTGCAAGTTTTGTTTTCTGTGCACCGAAAACCACATACAACGTGAGGGTGCAGTGTGTCGACTTCTGGCGCGGGTGAACAGTATTGCCAATCAACTATGTTGGTAACTGCCCCTAACCCCCCCCAGGCTTATGAACTAGAAGGTTGAGTTGCTTCAACTTGTACCTAGAAGGTATACAAAGATGCCATAACCCGTCTAGGCTTTGCCCGCGAGGATATAGTTCTATTGCATCATAGGTCATCACTCGCATCCATTAGTGTTTCTCTTCATTCGAGCCATGAACGGGGGGTAACTTGGAATTCTTGTCGAGGTTTTCTGTGAAGGTAAGTAGGTGAGTTTCATCTAGACCCAAGGCTGACTGGTCCAAGGGTCCAGCATTAGAGGGGACTCAGGGAGGTCTCGTTTTCTGCTGCTGCTGTATGAACAGCGTGGTCGACTGATGCCATGCGCTCGAGGCTGCGCTGGTCATCGTGGCGGACCATTAGAAATTCTCAGTCTTGTAGGTCATCCTGTATCTGAACCTGTGGGCTTCTATTAGATAAGTTGGGCCTTGATTATCTGTGGGGGTCTGATGTGCAGGGTGTAGAGGTATGTAAGTAAGTGCGGATAGATGGGATGAAGATGGATGAAGATGGATGAAGATGGATGAAGATGGATGAAGATGGCTAGAGATGGATGTAGATGGTTGGTGGGGTTGATGAGGACGACGAGGACGGTGAGGATGATGGTTCATTTAACACACCACACACGGCCCAGTAAATGGGGCGGGTAACAAAAGTGTGCTACAGATGCGGGAGGGTGAGGTCAACTGAGTGTTCGGCCAGGTCCTTGGCAAAATAAGTATTCTAGCATATGCTAGGCAGCTCGGGCCGTAGTGCATCTTTACCAAGAACGGGCTTTATTTGCTACCTCTTTGAATTTCCACCGCACACGCTCCGTCCTTCCTCCATATTTCGCTCCTTCCTGGTCGCAGTCATATTGAGCACTGAATCTTAGCTCGCCATAACTAGTCAAGCTTTATATAAGAATTAGCAGAGCAGAGAACCTTCCGCAAGAACACTCGAACCACTATAGTGGCTACTATCTAGCCAATTTTGGAGGGTGGGGACATGTTCACTTGGTGAAAAACATCAAGCGAAGAATTATACCTGCCAAACATCGTTCCAGCTGCCAGATAATTTTTCTGGGGTGGCGAGATAGGACCATTTTATAAGAGGGTTGTGCATGTGGAACCTTTTTTTCGGAAATAGTATCTAGATCTTCGGTCAAATTGAACCAGGAGTCTACCCTTATAATTAAAGGTCTCGAGAACTATAATCCCTGGTCTCATCCGAATATTTTTCGCAGTAGGCACTTGATCTTGTCGTCTTGTGGCCCCGACTTTTGACTATCTGGTGGCCAATGAATGTCAATGATATCAGCGTTGTCAATGATATCAGCGTGGGTTCACTTGGCTGATACTCAAGATTCGAACAGTCAAAAATCTCCATTCTTCATCCTTTAAACCCTGCACTGCCTTACTCTAGACGGGCATAACTTTGTTCGGATGAATTGAGCTTGCAAGTACTGACTTACCGGACGGTTCCGATTAGGCGGCAGAACTTCTTATCGAACTTTCTAGCAAGTTATCCAATTGAACCCCGAATACCTAGTCCAGGGCCTTAGTGGAATTGCGGAAGCCAAAGACATTGGGCGTTTGCCCGAAAAAATATTAGGCCCGCAAGTGCGGCCAGCAACAAGTACCAATAACCGCCAAGTGTTTTCCATACTCTGCAGCGCCAAGGTTTTCTTTGTGGGGCACATATAAAACCTCAGCTATGTTCCCCCATCTTTGAGTAAACTCTTCGACCAGACCACTTCTCTTCGCAACCATAGAATCACACAAATAAACACGATTCCAATCTCCTTTCTCTTTATTCCCGTGACTCCACATATACAATACGGAACGTCATTACGGATGTCTGGCGGCTTTTCTACTAAGATACCTACCTGACCAGACATACCACGACGATAATTTCCAAGATCTATTTCGAGCCCTCTGATGCGTGCTGCATGGTTTCCGTTGCGGCCCGCAATTGTTTAATGCTCGAGACATTCGTGACTATAAACTGATCCTAGTGTGTATCTCTAGCACTACGCGATCGGCCTGATATTCTACCATAATCAGAGAAGTTTTCCTCTTGTCCTATGTATATTCGAGCGCAGAATAAATACCAAAATTTCCTCCGTTTCTCTTTCCGTGTTCCAAATCGAAAAAAAGAAAAGAAAATCACCCCCGCTCACGATCCCTGAAAACCTACATACCATTTATGGACCGATGGCGCAATTGGTATGATACCAAACCTGCGCACATCAAAGGTCTTGGGTTCAATTCCCGGACCAAGTTCCATTAATCGGATCGTCATTCTACGGATGTCTGGCGGCTAATTTCCTACCTGACCAGACATACCACGACGAATTTAATCCAAGATCAAACCCGGGTTTCTGATGCGAGATTGCGTTGCAGTTGCAGCTCATAATTCTTAAGCCTGGGACATTACTTTGTTGATCTGTTTTCTTCTTTTTTTTTGTATGTACTCTGGAGTAGAGGATTTGTATTAAGGGGAGGGGGTGCTGTGTATCGTCGACATGGATAGGTTTTTGAAGAGTTGCCCGCTCTTTTACAAGGTTACCGCGTGAGGCCGCCAGTCGCTATTTCTCTACTTTAGCTTTCCCATGCTTGATCTGGGCGCTGAATTTCGAGGGCTGGAAATATTGTCCTTGATATTTCCTAAACTAAAAAGAGAAATGGCGACTGAGTGACAGGCTTATAGCCGACTATATAGGTGTTTAGACATGTTGCACAATACGAGTTACAATAGCGACGTGGCTGTAATCGGCTAACCATATGTGTTGAGTTTTGAGAGCCTATAAGTTAGGTTGCGTAGTCCACTTGATCCACCCATCATCATCACTCTTCTTCACTCGAGAAATGGGGCTTGAGCAATCTTCTTGAGGGAGTTGCAGACCTAAGATAGAGAGACCCCGAATGCAAACAGCCTGAAAGCATAGGTCACGGCAACTGGCTGGCCTCACGCGGTGCTGAGAACGATCATTCACCCCGAGTGATCACGTATGAACAAATCAGTCCCTGGAATCAGTTCTCTCCCCGCCACCCTAGCTACATTTAATAAATAATAAAAAAAACGAAAAAATATAAAAGCACCCTCCATCACCCCATTTTTAAAAAAAGCTAAACCGAAAGTCACAGTCTCTCTATAGTCTACAATACTAACCACTAGCTGCTAGCATTCTCCTTCTGCTTGTCAGCCCACTCGAGCCTGATCTCGACAGCCCTGCGATGGGCCTCGAGCTCCTCAACCTTTGCGAGCTGCATGACGGCACCACCGACGTTGCGGAGACCCTCTTCGGTGAGCTCGCTGCTGGTGATGTGTTTGACAAAGGTTGAAAGGTTGACACCGGAGTATTGGCGGGCGTAGCCGTATGTTGCTGTTAGCTTTGTTAGCTACCTACTATATTTATAGAGAGAGGGTATAGAAATCAGGAATACTAACGCAAACTGTGGTTCACCCCCGCCGAGTAATCACCCACCGACTCGGGCGTCCACATGCCCACAAACACACTCCCCGCATTCACCACACCCTCAACGACCTTCGCCGCATTCTCCACCTGCAGAATGAGATGCTCGGGCGCATACGTGTTACTGAGCGCCACCGCCTCCTCTATCGTCGCTGTCCGCAGTGTCACCGAGTGCTCAATTGCACCCCTCACGATCTCAACTCGCGGCAGCGCCACCGCCTGCTTGTGAACTTCCTCCTCAATCGTCTCGAGCCCCGCATCATCGAGCCCCACAGCGATCAGCACAACCTGGGAGTCAACACCGTGCTCCGCCTGCGATAGCAGGTCACTCGCAACGAACGCGGGGTTTGCGCTGCGGTCCGCGATCACCAGCACTTCGGAGGGACCAGCGGGCATGTCAATTGACACCCCCGCGGAAGTATCGTTGCTGACATACATCTTCCCGGCCGTCACAAACTGGTTCCCAGGGCCGAGGATCTTATCCACCTTTGGCACGGACTCTGTGCCATACGCCATCGCCGCCACAGCCTGTGCACCACCCGCAAGGACGATGCACTCCGCGCCGACCTTGTGCGCGACATACACAATCTCGGGTGTCACTGTGCCATCGGGGCGTGCTGGGGTCGCCAAGACGATACGGGAGCATCCCGCCACCATGGCTGGCACACCAAGCATGAGTGCTGTGGAGGGCAGGACGGCGGTCCCGCCGGGGACGTAGAGACCGACGCGTTCGATGGGACGAACGAAGCGGGAGCAGCGGACGCCAGGCATGGTGCTAACTGTGAGGGGCTCGGACTCGGCCTGGGCGGCATGGAACGTGTGGATGTTGGCGAAGCTGAGGTCGATTGCGGCCTTGGTCTCGGGGGAGAGGGCCATGAGGTGGTCGGGGAAGGGAGCACGGAGGACGGGGGAGGTGAGGGTTGCGCGGTCAAACTTCTGGGCGAGACTGATGAGGGCCGAGTCGCCGTTTGTGCGCACAGAGTCGATGATGGGTGTGACGATGGACATGATGGTGTTTGTCTTTTGTGCAGGGCGGCGAAGTACTGTTTCGAGTTCTTCGGGGGTAGTGGACTGGGCGTCGATGCGCTTCATCTTGATGGGGCGGTTGGGGTCGAGCGGTTCTGCGGGCGTCTCTGCGGGCTTGGGTGCCTCTGCGGGTGCAGACTTGCCACTCTCCGCCTTCTCTCCAGCAGCAAGAAACTTGGGCTTTGCATCTCCCTTCCTCCTCGATACCTTTAGCGCCTTCTTGTCCAGATTCTTCTCCACATCCGCCAGGTCCACACCGGCAGCCACACATCTCGTCAGCGCAAAATAGAATAGATCCGCGGCCTCGAATGCGATCTCGTCCTTGGTCTTTGCATCGCACAGCTCCTCGGCCTCCTCAAGTATCTTGGCGCGCAGCAGCTGCGCGTCGGAGAAGAGGCGTGCGGTGTAGGAGCCGGCGGGAGCGGACTCCTTACGGGCTTGCAGTGTCTTTTGGAGGTGCGAGAGACCGGTGTAAGCGCCGAAGCAGGTGGCCGTTTCGAGGTGGCAGAAACCTGCGGGGGTTAGTAATGGGTTTGAGTGGGTAATGATAGTTGGGAGGGTAATGATAGTTAAGAGGGAAAAGACTCACCACTTCCCTTCTGGCGCACCACAAAGCGCAGACAATCCGCATCGCAGTCCGCATCAATCCTCACAAGCTCCTGCGTCGCCCCGCTGGTGGCACCCTTATACCACAGCCCCCTCTTGCGGCTCTGATACACGCCGCTGCCTGTCCTGATACTCTCGCGCACGCTCTCCAGCGAGCTGTACACCAGTCCTAATGCGACCCCGCGCTCGTCCACCACCAACGTCGTCACCAGTCCGTCCTCGCGATCCGACACAACTCCCGCCATCACTACCTCGGCCACGCCCAGCAGCCCTTCACCACCGTCCACCGTCATCCACGCCGAATCCAAGATGGGCACGGCCGCCAGCTTCGCGATGCGCACGACATCGGCGAGCGCGGGCTGTGCGGCAAACGAGACATACACGGGTGGGTGGTTGCCCGTCCCGTACTCGGTTAGCCATGCGGCGACGGCATCAATGTCGGTGACCTTGTGAGCGTAGATGCCGACACTGGTGTCGCTGATGGCAGACACGATGGTGTCTTTTGAGGTGTGGGCTGTGTCGAGGAGGAGGGCGAGGCGGGAGTCGTCGTTGATGAGGGGCTGCAGCGTGGAGAGCTGCTCATAGGTGGCGAAGAGGCGGGTTGCGCCCGCGTCGAGGAGGGAGTGGATAGCATCTGTGGAGAGGAGGGAGGTGACGTTCACGGAGATGGTCTGGGTGGTGGTGTGGGCGGAGATGTATTCTAGGGCTTGTGGGAGGGTATCGGGGGTCACGGTGAGGAGGGTTTGGGAGATGTGGGAGAGGGTGCTGGGGGAGAGGCCCGAGGAGGGAGAGGTGAAGGGGTCGATTGCGGCTATGAGGGGCAGCGACATTTTGTATGTATGTAGCTGTATCTATTCAATTGAGTGCAGTTTCGTGCAATTGAGTGTATCTGTGTAATTGACCGAGAAGTAGCAGTTTTGCCCCAGTGATATCGGTGGTGGTTGTGGTTATGGTGAAAAGGGATGTGAATGCGTGAGTCAATGACTGGCGAACACAGGTTTTCTGGCGTCGTCGTAGTCAAGGCAGAGAGAGGGCCCTGGCTGTTTTTTGTAGCGTAGCGGGGTATCTGTTTACTTGCGCAACGGGTGGGGCAGCAGGTGGGGTGGGGTGACCAGCTGAACGCTAGCCCGTGGGCTCATCTCAGCACCGGTGCATGGCATCGGTCTGGGCTCTGGAAGATGCATGCCCGATCATTACCTCATGATGTACATGTATCACTGACTGCTCTCCGGCCAATGATCAATCGGCCATCATCGCCATCCCAGCCAATGATCATCCATCCACCTTGCTTCCATAGTCGAAAACCGAACCCCAGTCCGCCAAGCCCTCTGCACGTGACCGCTCCCAAACCACCAACAACTAACTCTCACCACCATCACCAGTGGTATATTCCATTCCCCCATCACAACATCACAAACACACAATCAATGGCCGACACAAACGGCAGCGCCCCCGCCGCAGCAGCAGACGCGGCAGACTCGCAGCAACCCTCCTCCTCCACCGCCGCCGCCACGACCGCTACTGCCGCTGCAGACGACCCCACAAAACAAGCGGGGACGGACGCTCCGCCGGCGGGGACAAGGAAGCCCCGCGATGCGCGCATCATACACCTCATCCTGGCGTCCATGGGCGTGTCGTCGTACCAGGAGCGCGTGCCGCTCATGTTGATGGATTTTGCTTACCGTACTCCTCCCTCTCCCCTCTCCCTCTCCTCTTACAGCACGCAGAAAGAAAGAAAGGATGCTGACGCATCCACACAGGCTACACCTCCTCGGTACTCCAAGACGCGCTCCTCTTCTCGGACGCAATCCACAGCACCAGCAACACGGGCGGGCCGAACCCGCCGTCGTCGGTGACGCTGTCGGACCTACGCATGTCCGTTGCGTCGCGCATCAACCACCAGTTCAACACGGCGCTGCCGAAGGAGTTCTTACTCGACATTGCGCAGGAGCGGAATCGGGTTGGGCTGCCGACCGTGGGGAAGGAGTTTGGGGTGCGGCTGCCGCCGGAGAAGTATTCGCTGACGGGGATCAGTTGGGAGCTGGCGGAGACGAGGGAGGATTGGATGGCGGAGAGTAGTGGGGAGGAGGAGGATGAGGGGATGGGCGGGTTGGGGGTGGGGGTGGGGTTGGGGGGTTGGGGAGGGGGTGGGAGGGGGTGGTGGCGGGGGCGGTGGCGGGGGGGGGAGTGGGGGGGAGATGGAGTTGGATGATGGGGCGGATTTGTTTGCGGAGGAGGAGGAGGATAGTAGTATGGTGGATGCGTAGAGGGGGGGGGGGGGGGAGGGGTTGTGGGAATTGGTTTTCTTTTATGGTGTTTTTTTCTTCTGGTTCTTGGGTTTTTTTTTTCTTTCTTCCTCTCTTCCTGGTATAGATTTTCGGGGAAGTGTTCTAATCATGCAATCCAATTGAGCATATCCAACTACATGTCTAGTAGATCGGTATCGGTATTCGTCATCAGTAGAGGCTGGATGAGTATAATTAGTGAAGCCTTATCAGTACTCTTAATCAGTACCCAATCAGTACTCTTAATACCACACGTGATTTTTTACTACGGCTAGCATAATTACATGTGTTCATAGCTACATACTTAGTAATAACGTTACAAAGGAGCTCGGTACAAGCTAATAGAAGCATGTATTGCTCAATTGATCGGTAGCTATAGGCACATGTAGTTATATTTAGTAGGATGTGTCCCCCAATGAGCATTGGTGGTTTGAGTATTGTAATCAGTACTAACCGTTACCACGGCTAGCATTTAATCATGGCTAGGAGCTTCTACCACGGCCATCTAGTAGTGTTGTTGATCAATACGGCGGTCCCAATTGGTGTCTCTTAATTGAATTGGAAATTAAAGAGAGCTTTTACATGAAGTGGTAGCCTCAACCGGCGCTGTTCAATTGGTCAAGTACTCTTAGCTATTCCTCCCATAAAGACTCTGGATTAGTACACACTTGTTAGTACTGTCAATTGGTACTCTTTCTCAATCAGTAACAACTTGTCCCGAACCATACAGTTACAATCCAAACCAGCATTCAATTACTACTAGTAAGCACAAAACAGCTCAACCCCAGGCCAACTGACCGCCGCCCCCCCCCCTACCCCCAAACCACGCACATCAAACACCAACCCAATCCCAATATATTCTCTAAAACCCACTGTACAAGAAAAATTAACCCCCCATAACCCCCTCCCCCCATAAACCCCCTCCCCCTCCTCCTCCTCCCCCGTCCTCCTCTTCCCCCCAGCACACTATCTCCCCTCACTCCCCTTCCCCAACTGCGTAAACCCCACCACCGCCTTCGGCGGGTTCCCCCTCACCGTGCCATCGCCCATGACCTTCTCGCGCTCACTGATCCTCTTCTCGATCCTCCTGCGGAACCACTCGTCGCGCGCCTCGTCCTCCACCGCGGCCGTCGCGTGCAGCACCATGCAGCTGTTCATGGCCTGCCGCGGCGTGCGGCACGCCCACGCCGCCGAGATGGTGCGGTTGCGGGCGCAGTCGGCGAATTCTGTGTTGTGAGCGTCAGCGGCGAGTTTACGAGCATTCATGCACCTTGGGAGGAGGGGACAAGGGGGCGGGGGGGGGGGGGGGGCAGGGAGCAGACGTTTGATCTCGTCGGCACAGAGGCCGCGGACGCGGGCGTAGTAGAGGTCGCGGACCTGGCCCTCCTGGTAGGCGGAGAGGGGAGGGGGTTCTTTGAGAGTTCGGGGATGGGGGGGTGTTCGGTGTGTGTCTGCATCTTTTTTTTCTTCTTTTCTTTTGCTACACCGTGAGGATTAGAGGTATGGGTTGGTAGGTAGAGAGAAGTGAGGTACGGATTGGATTGGGTGGAGAGGTATGTACGGATTGGATGGAGAGGTATGCAGTCAGTCGGACGATATGTGGCGGTGTTTGTGGGCGTGTGGCTGATGACGTAAGAGCTGCAGGGGAAAGCGGTGGAGAGTGAGGTTGAGGGGAGGTGAAGTCCGTGGAAGCGGAAGTGGGCGTTGGGTGTGGAGTTGGGAGCTTGTGTGGAGTGGGGCTGACTGAGGGCAAGGGGTAATGATTGTGGTGCGGGAAAAAAGTGGTGGGGTTGTGGGTTGGGTTGGGGTGGGTGCATCATGTATTCTCACTCATCACCGGGGAGCAGGTCAATTGCTCTAAATCTCGATTCATTTCTCTTCTGGCTATTTGTGTTTTTTTTTGAAACTACAACTGCAACTGCAACTGATAGCAAGGAATCTAATACAACACAACACACACACATATTGTCTCTCTCTCGTCCGCATCCCCCTTTTTTTTATCCACCGGCCACCGACACACCCACCGAGCTACATACTAAAAAGAAACCAACAAAAGTCCTCCATCCATAAGCAAGAAAAGAAAAGAAAAGGAAAGCACATGAAAAAGAAGGGAATAAGTAACATAAAAGACACTGAAAAGAAGGAAGAGAAAAGAAAGAAGAGAAAAGAAAAGAAAGCTGTATCCCATCCTGTATTATTTTTCCCATTTTTTCCCTTTTTTTTTCTGTTTTTTCCCTTCCTTCGTTTTCTCCGGAAAGTAGAGTAGAGTAGAGTAGAGTATCGATAGAACACTACTCATTCCTGAACAGCACACTGATACTCTCTCCATGGTGGACCCGCCTCACAGCCTATCCCGACCATAAATCAGCACTCACTTCCGAAATGGAAAAAAGAAAAGAAAAGAAAACAGACAGACAGGAAAACTCACCTCCGCAAAGACCTCACCCACGTCCAAAACCTCCAACTTATGGCACCTCCTCCGATTCTCATCTTGCGGCACCGTGTTTGTCGTCACGACCCGGTCCAGCGCACTCGCATTGATGCGCTCAATGGCATCCCCGGAGAAGACGCCGTGCGTGACGAGCGCATACACCTTTGTCGCCCCGCCCTTGCCCTTCAACAGCTTCGCGGCCCGCGTGATGGTGTTGGACGTGTCGGCCATGTCGTCGACCAGGATCGCAACCTTGCCCGCAATGTCGCCGACGAGCATCATGGTCGCGTTCTGGCGGTCCGTGATGCGTGTAGGGCGGCGCTCCTGCTGCTCCGTTAGTCTACCCCGTCTCTCTCTCTCTTCTTCGGACGCCACTCATGCCGGGGAAGGATGGGGGTGGTTTAAAAAAAAAAAGAAAGGCACCTTATGGATCAGCGCAAACTCCATTCCCAGCGCATCCGCAATCGCCGTCGCGCGCTTGGCACCACCGGCATCCGGCGACACAATCACGGCGTTCTGGTAGTCGGGGATGTTGTACTTGATGTATCGCTGGAGCAGCGGGCGCCCATACAAGTTATCGACGGGGATGTCGAAGAAGCCCTGGTACTGCGGGTCGTGCAGGTCCATTGTGATGATATGGTCTGCGCCCGCGCACGTGAGCAGGTCCGCCACCAGCGTGCCCGCCTGCGCAACCCACTGCTTGTACCCCGTGTTCTTTGGCGGCGACCACTCGCTCGACGCGCCGCTGCCCCGCAGCCCATTGACCGACTCTGCCGTGTTGCTGCGGCGCAGCAGCGGCGTCATGGAGCTCTTTGGCGTGCCGGGCCCGCTGGGCGCCTCCATGCCGCGCTCGAGCGCCAGCCGCGAGAGGCCCTTCTCGAGGTCGCCGTGGGAGACGCCGGGGATGGGGAAGTCGACGGGGCCGGGGGTGCCGGGGCGGGACTCGAAGGTGTACTCGCCACCGCGGGCGCCGCCGCCGTAGTTTGCAGGCGCCTTTGTGAGCGGGGCGCCGACCTTGTTGTAGGGGATGTCAGACTGGCGGCTGTAGGGGAAGTGGGGGAGGACGGCGGTGACACGCTTGGCGGAGGCGGTCTTGCAGGCGGAGATTGTGATGAGGAGCTCGATGACGCCGTCGTTGACACGGCCGCAGCCCGACTGGATGACGAAGACGTCTTTGCCGCGGACAGAGTCTTGGATCTCGACGCGGGTTTCGCCGACGGCGAATTTGGAGAGCGTAATGCGGCCGTTGGGGATGCCGAGCTGGTGGCAGATTGTTGCGACGAGTTCGGGGTGGGAGGAGCCGCCGAGGACGACGATATTGCGGACCATTGCGGCGGTGGGGGGTGGCGGGGTGGGGAAGAGGGGGAGGGTGGGCGGGGTGGTGGGGTTTGTGGTGGGGTTTCCGGTGGTGGTGTTGGTGCTGCTAGGGTTGGTGGGGTCGGGTCAGAGAGTGGTGGTGGTGATGGTGGTGATGGTGGTGATGATCCTGATGATGATGATGATGTTGATGATGGTGTCGATGCACTGGGAGGAGCAGTGGATTGAGAAGATTCAGAGACGATTTCAACTTCCTCTGCTGCTGCTGCTTCTGCTGCTGCTACTTTTTCTTCGTCTGTCTGAGGTTGGTGAAGAAGAGTTAGTGATGATGATGAAGAAGAAGATTCAGGTGTTGCAGTTTCTGATTTTCGTGGTCGTGGTTGTTGCTGTTGCGGAGGAGGAGGAGGAAGGCGAGGAAGATGAGTGGCTTGTTGCTGTTGCTGTTGCTGTTGCTGCACTTGTGATTCTTTTTCTTCGTCGTCTTCTTCTCTGTCTTCTGATTCTTCTTGTCTTGGAGACTCGACGACGATCACTTCAGGCACTTGAGACACTTGCGGCTCAACAACAACAACCTCTTCTTCTTCTTCTCTTTCCCGTTCCTGTCTCTCTCCCTCTTCTCTTCGCTCTCCTTCTTCTTGTTCAGCACCAGCAGGATTGACCACAGCAGGATTGACCACAGCAGGCGTCGCACGATACGAAAATAACCTCGAAACCGGCGTCCTAACACAAGCTTCACGTTTAGCCCCACCGTCACCAGCACCACCGCCGTCACCAGCACACATAAGGATTTGTTCTAGCAACCCAATAGTAAAAAGAGGGAAAACAAACAAGAAAAGGCCCTCTCACAAGAACCACTTCATCACTAGAAGCCTATTTTTTTGGTTTTTTTTATAATATAGAAAGGCCTCACAAACCTTGTATAAACAAAGGCGTAGTACTGGGCCTATAATGTATAAAAAAAAATTGCAAGCTAAAATATGAAGAATTCTCTAACCAGAAACTACTATTTTCCCCAATTCGGTACCGTAGTCGAAGTAGAGTCCACTGGAGTTAGATACCTTGTGTAGAGTTAATTTCAGAAGGGGGCAAAAAACAACGGCCAGAGGGAAAAAAAAACCAGCAGGGTTGTTTCTCTTCCTAGTTGACTGACTGGACGAACGACGTTGGGAAAGAATTTTTTTTTTTATTGTAACCTGCCAAGTAAAGTAGCCATGCGCCAAGCCAACCAGGCCAGGCTGTTTACTAAACCGTTCGAACTGTTTACTAACCCACACCGCTCACGAGAATCATCACCACCTCCATGATTGGAATTTGTTCGAGCACAACACCCATCCATCCATCCACCCACTCACAGCGTCGCCTCGGGCCATCTCCTGGCCAACAACCGGTACCCTATCGGATAAACATGAAGACCGCGTACCTACATGACATTGATTGATAGACACTATGTTGATATCCTTAGCATGTATTCAATGTAGTACTAGGTAATAGCTACAAAGTATTGAGATGTCACCATGTAGGTATGTACTACTACTACTAATACTACTGTAACTTGTAGTATTTACTAGTGCTGTGCAGGATGGACATGTATAGAGAGTATCTGCTATACTACAAAGTATTGATATTGATATTTTATTCCTCACAACCAACACCCCCCTCTCTTCTCTTCTTAAACACTCACAAAAACACCCCACCCCACCCGCCCATTTGGCTGTAAACCCAACCAAACCCAAAGCTTAACCCTACAGCTATCTCGCTCGCGATAGAAATAAAAATAAAAAAACACCTCCCCCGAGAAATAAAGCCTTCGATCTTCTTCTTCTACTCACACTGCTTTACTTTACTTTGTCCGCATTTGAGAGAGAAAAAAAGGAAATGGAAAGAAAAAAAAGATGGGAAAAAAGGCCCCTTTTGTACTAAAGGGTTTCAAAATGAATCAAACCGCAACTCTCTCAACTTTTTTTTTGCGTAACCTGGCCCCTCCTGGAAAGAAAGAAAAAAATCCAAACAAAAGAGAAAGAAAGGAAAATTACAAAGGAAAAGAGCGCGCAGAAAAGAAAAAAACGATCGATAAAAGAAAAGGAAGAAACCGGCCCGCCCAAACAAGCCATTGCCCCACCGACGGGGAGAAGACTCCATTGGTGAACGGCATTCCAAACTTACAGCGCCCTGCCCTGGTTCCCCTACTCCGTCCATCCTACACACTCGACTCTTTTACCAGTCGCCGTCATCCTCATCATCTAACCTCTTATTAGCATTTCACATTCTTTTTCACAATTATCACCGTATGAAAAACTTACCACTCTGGTTCGAAACCTTGCCCTTTCTCTTATCCAGCTCCATTTGCAGCGCAAGCATTGGGTTAGCGGCCGGCGCTGATGTAGCCGACGGCTTGACAGCCGGCGCACTTGCGTCCTTGACGGTCTTTGTCTTCTTCAGCGCACCAATTCCTCCCGCGCCTCTGATAGACGCCAGCAGGTCTCCAGGGGGAAGAGCACTCTTGCTGGGCAGCGGTGCTGCGCCTTCGTCTCTGCCTGGTAGTGGCGGGGGCGGAGGCGGTCCGCCAGGGGCCATCCCGGGTGGAGGTGGCGGTGGTGCAGGAGGGGCATTATTACTAAACCCGAATGACGGCGGCGGCGGTGGTGGTGCTGGTGGTGCATATCCGCCAAAGCTGGGTATGCTACTGGAAGGAGGTGGGGGCGGGGGCGGTGGTGGTGGTGGTGGTGCACCTGAACTAAAGCCGGGCATCATTGGTGGAGGCGGCGCATTGTTGCTGAACCCGGGCATACTGGGAGGTGGTGGGGAAGGTAGGCTAGGTAGTCCGGATAAGTGCGGGGGAAGTGTTGGGGGAGGTCCGGATGATTGCGGGGGTGGTGGTGGCGGTGGTGGGGGAGCTGGTGGTGGGGCCGCAACAACCGGGGGGGGTTGGAACGGCGGCGGCGGCGGACGCGCTGGTGGGACATCTAGATATGAGTTAGTTATAGCTTCAATATTAAAGTATAGGGGATAATAACCTCGAGTTGGTGGTGGAGGCGCTTCTACCGGTGGACGAGGTGGGGGTGGGGGTCCTGGGAATGCTGGTCGTGATGGTAGAACAGGTATCGGTCCTCGGCTTGGGGGGGGTTGCGGAGCCTGTGGAGGAAGCTGTGGAGGAGGTTGTGGAGGAGCCTGCGGAGGCCGGCTCGGTGGCTGAAAAGGTGGCGGAACTGCAAACCTTGCCCGGTCCTCCTCCAGGGGTGTCTTCGGTGGTAGTGGCGGTGCTCTTTCTGTAGGCGGTAGTGGTGGTCTGGGCGGTGGAGCTGAATTGGCATAGGCACCAGCAGTAGGAAGCGGAGGGGGGACCACAAATCGTGGCTGGGTAGGCGGAGATGCAGCTCGTGGCGGCGGTGGAGCTGGGGATCGGGACGGTGGGGGAGGCGGTGACGAGCCAGTCGATTGAGAAGCTAAATGCCTTGACCCCCTGGGTATTGGTGGAGGTGGTGCTGGTCCCCTCCGTGACTTGGTCGAGCTTCCAGTTGCTTGAGGACTCAGTTGACCAATGCCATTCCTGAGTACAGGCGGCGGAGGCGGCACAGAGGGTGGTGGGGGCGCAGATTGCGGGGGTGCAGGCGGCGGCGGTGGAGGGGCTTTCGAACTCCTATCAACTCCCCTTGGTGACCCCGGTACTTCTATTACATGCAAACTCCCATTCCCATTCAGTTGCTTACGCTTCTCTGCCTCTGCGTTCTTTTCCTTCTCGGCGATATAACTCTTGATAAAGTCTTCATTATCCTTTATCTGATCTGCCGTAATTCCCATGTCCATGAGCTCTTTTAGGAGTGCCTGGAACTCCGGGTCTGGGTTGTCTATTGAAAACGGCACATCGCCTCCGTTTTGAGCCTTCGGCGCAGGGGGAGAGGGTGAATTGCGAGAAATGCTATCGCTGCGTCCTATATGAGGAAGGTGAGGGTGCGGTATGTGTGCGCTGAACCCAGCGGGGCGGCCTTTCGATTTTGCGTATTTTTCCCGTGTCTCCACCTTTTTGTGAAACCCTGCAGCTTCCTTCTCATCCGCAAACGAAAACCCCGCCATGCAGTCTTCGAGCTCAAAGGTATGGAAGAAGGTTCGGTCGTGATTGTACTTGAAGCCCTCGTAGAGCTCCTGGTCCCATATCACACCTTTGTTGCTCTGTTTCGTAAAGTTAGTACTACGACTCTCCTCAACCCCACCCTAGAAACAAGTAACACGTACAGTAACATCAACTATTTTGAAGAAAAACGTATGTCCGACCATGTCCTCGGCCAGTACCACCGCCCCACTGATTCCGGTGAAGTTCCATTTGTGCTTATTTGGATAGTTCACGTAGAGCCGTGCGACAGCGACAGTGATGATATTGTTTGATGGACTAGGTACTGCGCGTTTAACGACCAGCTTGTCGTCCTTGTTCAGTATGGACGGCATGGCATGAGAGGGGGAGGGGTGGGTATCGTGTGTGCGGGCGGTAATGTGTACAGTAGTTTGTCGATTCTAGGTCTATGTATGGCCGTGCTCTCTCCTTTGTCAGTTGAAGAGAGATTTCTATGGAGTATTGTCGATTGTATTCCTAGCTTTGGAGGGAGGTACTAGTAGAGAGAACAAACAGGTACGGTACACTGTCAGGGAATGGAATGGAGTTGATGGTCTAGGTAGAAGGAAGGAATGAGGAACAACTGTGGGTGCAAAAGCCTCAACCAGCCCGAGTTGGGAGAAGATGACGCCCTGGAAAGATCCTTGCTCGATGGGATTGGTGGAGCTCGGCCGTTGGTTGGTCCTGCACGCTTAAGCGGCTGTGTTCCCCTTTCTACTTTCCAAAGCGCTCGGTCGGCTTCTCTAGGGGGACAAATGAACGCTGGGATCCTTCCAAATTAGAATCCCTGTTTGACACCGCACAATGTCGTGAGCCGAGCGATGAAGTTTAAATAGAATTGGTATCCCAGCTCGAGTTCCTGATCTCTCTCTCTCTGTCTCTCCCTCTCTCTTCTCCCATTCAGAAGTGAGTATCTATCTTCAGCCGTGTGGATATAAAGCAAAGTACTACTAGAGATCTGACATTCTTCCCCTCACAGCCTGCCGTCTTGTCTGTCAGAACAATAAAACTCAGGGCTTGAGGGGTACGTAAGTCAAACTCGTTCCCACGCGGCCTTACGTGTGCTACCGCCACTGTGGCTGAGCGGCTGTGTGTTACATAACTTACATTACACACAAGCACAAATGAACGGGATTGAGTGATTTTTGATGACCGCGGATGTCGATGTTCCGATGCCGCGTTGCCGTGCCCGCCTGGCCGACAGGGTTTCGGCGATAAATCCTCTGCCTAGCTGGTTTGGACTGACACAGCGCCGACCCGTTAATTCTTTATCGGACCTTTGACAACGGGGTGTTTTTGACGATTGCATCATACCGCAGCTAGCTGTTGTACCTGCACCACACAGGTGCCCCATGTACCTACCTACCTGGTAAACACGTCAAAATATGAAACCCGGGTTCACCTGGAATAAAATCGTGGTTGTGGCTGGGAATCCTTGCGAGATGCAGCCGATACGGACACTTCTATCCCAAAAATATCACTTACAGGCCCCTCTAGCAGGTAGATACATAGCTTGCTATGGACTGAGAAGAGTTACCCACAGGACCAGCTCCATCCACTTCAGCACTTCTAACAGAGATTGTGAATAGCACAAAGCATCCTAAGCTATGGCTCGATCATCTTGGCTAGGTGGATAGGGCCTGTTCTCCTATAAAGAACCTCCCAAGCGATCTCCGTCAGGTTAAAGACCCTCGATCCCTGGAGCAGAAGATCTGACCAGGGTGCTGAATAGCTAAGAGCATAGAACAGAGTTATGGGACAGGCAGTTCAACCTACATGACATAGATTTAGACTTTAGAGAACAGCCTTGAGAAGATAGATCTGGAGCTTCTGTGTTCCTGAAGTCGCTACTACACTGCTCCAGAGCACCACGCAGAACAGGATATATACATGTATGGAGCACCGCTATTCTCGCCGTCTTTCTGTTTTTCTGTGTGGCTCTACGACCCAGGCAAAATTGCCGTCTCAGATTATGCTTTAGCTCATATTAAAATATCAAACACTTGAGAATGCCCGCGGTTGGCCTTCCCTATCCACCACTAAGCAGGTTGGTATGGCAGCCATCCCAGTACAGCATGCCTGGCGGGGACACCGCATCGGGCCACAGTGGTTCAAACAGGATCAGCAGTTACATGCAGTTTGGGCAGAGAAAACATACACATGTTCGTTGCTAAAATATAGCTTAGCACTACAACTGTTTGGCTTTACCAACGCACAGGTCCTGGAGCTATAGTGGCAAAGTACAACTTAAGAATGGACGGATTACTAGGTTATTCGTGGTTTTTTGATCTTTTTCAATGGCATGGGATTTATAGGCAGGCGGGTAGCCAGGATCCAAGAAAGCTGGTTAGAACTTATTACTCGAAGCCTTTATAATTATGTTATCAGAGGAGATATAACACAAATCCGAAGCAGAAGTCTGTGTCTGCTATACTAACAAGGAAGGGATCTGCATATATCAGGCTAGGTTTGTGGAAATAACTGCTTGAACGGCTCTGTAGAAACGGTTCTTCCTACTTAATCATCCCGCTTGAGACACCGTCAGCATTTTATTTTCTCTATTAATTCAGCCTTCGCGTCTAGATCTAGGCCTCACAAGGAGTCTTCATTCTCTCAATTGGGTGGCTCGATTTTGACAGCTAGTAAACCAATTCAAAGGGGTTTTGGCGATTTACCTATATGGGTAGGATGTCTATACTGGCACCCATATTCTGCAGCGAATATGTAGTAAGGACGATTGATTGTTTTCACCCATTGTTGTCTTCAGCTACGAGCAGCAAATATTAGTTGCGTTGAGCAGCTGGTATTTATTGATTCTTTGAGGGCGGTCTACCCTCATGTAGACTGGTCCCAATCCAGCCTTGGGCCATCAAGTTCGTAGTTATAGACTACAAGTAGCAATCTCATGCAAAGATATATAAGGGCGGAGATATTCTATGTAAAAACGGAGCGTACGAAATAAGAATTGGGTTGCGTTGATGCCCTTAAGGGCTAAGTGAGAACCTATTGGGAGGAAAGAAATTTCACATTCTCAATGTAACCGATGGCACTCCATTGCGCATACCTCGGGAGGTATCACTAGGCCTTGTATGATGTTTTCAATGCTTTGATATATCATCAGGATACAGAAAAGATATATTTCACGTTTTGGAGCAGGTTAGCAGAATAGGGTTAAGACACGCTAAAAAAAAAAGGCGACATGGTTTAATCAGTTAAGCATATGTATGTGTTAGTTTGAGGTCCTATAAAGCTAACTGCAGCACTGAGTTAATCTAATCATCATCATCACTCTCATCTCCCTGCATCCGAATATAATTAATGAATTATCAATCAATCAATCAATCCCTGCATCCGAGTATATATACAAAGTAATAGAACCTCGAGTCTCCAGATAGCGAGACATTGATCAACAACACCCTAAAAACTTCTGGCATGTTTAGAGAGGGTCTTTCAATCAAATTGGGCCGCTGATGGACGGTGAAACAACTTCCACGTAGGATCATCAATGGTCACTCACTCGGTCGAGTGAGGTGCCATGATTTGGCTGTATCCAATAGAACTGGACTGTAACTAAGCCAGACGGTGACCTTGGAAGAATACATTGGTCCTTCTTACTTATCAATATCGAGAATATTCCCGTAAGTGATGAAACTAAAGTAGTCGTACTGCGGGTTCTCACAAGCCTTGTTTAAGGGTTTTGAGAAGATTATCAATATGAGCAGGAACATCAACTTGAGAAATATTCACTGCATCATCCTCAGTTTATTACAAAGCAAAACCCAAACAGCCAATGTATCATTGACTCCTCTATGAAAAGAAAATCTAAACAATTTATAATACAAGTCGCCCTTAAGCTTTCACATCCTTCAATTCCTGCGCCGATTCCACCTCTGCCGCCTCCTTCTCTTTCCTCTCCCTCTCAGCTCTCTCTTTCTCCTCCTTCGCCCTCTTCTCCATCCTCTCACTATACCGGTCCGCAAACATATCAAAGCTCGGTCTCAACACAAAACTCACCCTCACAAGCTCCTCACACACATCCACGAGCCTATCCCGATTCCCACTCTTCATCAGCCTCCCCTCATCCGTGAACTGCGTCCACGCCATCGGCAGACTGCTCTGGTTCGGGATTGTAAACATTCTCATCCACCTTCCCAGCACACGCAGCGCATTAACCGTGTTAAAGCTCTGGCTGCCGCCGTTCACTTGCACGACCGCAAGCGTGCGTCCCTGCGTGGGGCGAACGCTGCCTGTGGCGAGCGGGATCCAGTCGATCTGGTTCTTGAACACGGCGGTCAGGTTCCCGTGCTGCTCGGGCGAGCACCACAGGTGTCCGTCAGACCAGTGTGAGAGCGTGCGCAGCTCCTGTACCTTCGGGTGGTCGTGCTGAACGTCGTCCTTGACGGGAAGGCCGCGCGGGTCGAAGACGCGGACGTCGGCGCCGAGACGATGCAGGATCCGGGAGGCCTCATAGGCCATTTTTCGGGAGTAGGAGCTATTCACATATTAACTACGGTCTCCACATAACCCACACCCAAAGGACAGACTAGATACCATTCACGCAACGACCCATACAGGACCAAAAACTTCAATGGCTTATAATCCTCCTTGCGCTTATGCTGCTCCACAAACGCCGTGACCGCATCAAGCTCGAGCTCCGACACCCAGTCGCTCGCCGCCTGCTCCTCCGGCAGCAGGAACGGCCGGTATTTTGCCGTAATCTCGTCCTCGGTGAGCGAGCTCAGGACCTTTGCGTCTCCGTTCATGGGGCCGGGAAGCGTTATTCTACGAACTTGGATGGGTAATGGTAGAGGTAGTGATGGGACGGAGAGTCTGGGTCGGAGGAGAGAAAGGCGCTGTAGCTGGGATAGAGTGCGGAGAGGGAGGAGCCGTGGGAGCATGCTGAGGATGAGGGGACGAGGACGGTGACTGGTTTTATAGAGACCTCACTGGTAGAGAGGGCTCACGGGGGCAGGCATAGAATTGAGATTTTGGGGGAGGAGGGGGGGGGCGTATGAATTATGCTATTCGCCCGTAGACCCTCTAAGTCTGGCTATCTATCTAGTGACATGTCGAGATGGAGAAAAAAAAACATGTCCCGGCGGCGGGTGGATTGATCGACAGGGCCCACATCGGACGGACTTTTGGTAAGATCCCCGGGCTGTCACCTGTGGGCCGTGATTGGGTGGCGGAATGTCACTGTCGGAGAAATTGTCACTGGTGGGGCGTGATTGGAGGGAAGAACTGGGGCCGGGAGGTTTAGTAAGCTGTGACTGCATCTACGCTGGGGCGGAAAAGTTGTGTTTCGATGATTGGCAGCACGTCGGACACAAGCTCTCACTCGCCATTAACCCATCCTTGGTATTATAATTACACGAGAAAGAAAAAATAAGAAACACGGCCAAACTTTTATATCTACAAACCAGATGATACAAACGCAAAAAGAATATCCTATTAACCTCTCTTGGCTCTTCTGATCTGCCTTTTCCTCGCAATGATTCTCGCGGCCTTTGCCTTCTTCTCGTCCTTCTTCGCCTCCCAGTCCTTCTTGTCGCCCTTCGAGGGAGCAGTCTCTGCGTCGCCGTCCTTCTTTGGCTTCTTTGCGTTCCGGCCACTCTTCTCGTCTTCCCGCTTCCGCTTGATGCCCTCATATTTCTTGGCCGAGTCGACCTTCTTCTTCGCCTCCGCCGCAAACTTTGCCTTCTTCTCCTTTGTGCTCTCGAGTGGCTTCGCCTTCCCCTCTGCAACAAGCTTACTGCGCTCCCGCGCCTTCTGCTCCTTTTCATTGCGGCGCTGCACAACCTGTGCATTCTCGATCGCAAACTCTACAATCAGCCGTTTCTTCTTATCCTCACCCGACACTGGCTCCTGCTTCTTCCCCTTCTCCACTGTTGCATTCCCCGTCCCCAGCACAGCATGCCCATTCAGCCATCGCAGCCCCATCAACGCCCAGCGGTGCGACGAGTACTCAATGAAACCGTATCCGCGGGACCTGCCGCTGCCAGCCTTCTCTTCAATGATCTTGGCCTGCTTGACGATCCCCTTGCCCTGCTTCTTCCTGCGGAGCTCAGTCTCCTTGTCGTCCTTTCCACCGCGGGCAAGCTCCTCTTTCGACAGCGGCTGGCGCTTCCCTTCCTTTGTGTCGTTGACGAAGCCGACAGCGGCCTCTCTGGCCAGCGCCTTCAGCTCCTTTGCCGTGATTGATCGCGGTAGATTGCGCACAGAGAGCCTGGTCAGCGATAGATTCAGCATGGGGTTCGACTGCAGCAGCGCCTTACGCTGCTTCAACGACGCCTCACGCAGCTGTCTCTCCGTGTTGCTGAGCGTCTTGAACGCCGGCGACGACGCAGGGATGGTCCCCTCCTGGAGCAGGAACAGACGGCGCTTATCCCCCGCTGCCTTGTCACGTTTCTGGGCGCTCGCATCCTGCAGCTTCGAGGCCTCGTTCTTGTTGACGGCGCGTGTGACCTGCAGCACGCGGCCATCGATGGTGTACTTCCCCGTCGGGTCGTCGGACTCGTCTTGCAGAAGTGTCGCGGAGCGATTGGCGCCAGTGGCGAAATTGGGGCGCGGCGCAGAGGCGATGCAGGCCTCAAAGTGCTCGAGGTTGTAGAAGCAGACGAAGCCGGTGCCGCGGGGACGCTCCGTCTCGCGGTCCATGACGATGCGCGCGTAGCGCACAGGGCCAAATTGCTCGGTGAAGTGGGCGTGCAGCGACTCGTCGTCGGTGGTGAAGGGGAGGTTGCGGATGAAGATGACCTGCGAGTTGTCGTTGGGGTCGTGCTTGAGCTTTGGCTTGGAGTCTTCGCCCTCCTCGTCGTCGGAGCCTTCGTCGTCGGACATGTGCAGGTCGGAGCCCTCGTCGTCGGAGGCGTCGGAGGCATCGTCCATGTCTTCTGCGTCTTCGCCTTCGAGGACGCCGACACCGCCATTATCGTCTTCTTCCTCTTCTTCGGAGTCGTCTTTGGCCTCGTCTTTGGTCTCTTCTTTGGTCTTCTTCTCGGGGGTATCGTCGGCCTGCTTGGTCTTCTCCCACTCGTCCTTTTCCACCGCCCAATCCACGGCCACCGTGCGGCCATCAATCTCCATCCCGTTCGTCTTCTCCATGGCCTTCTCGGCGTTCTTGTAGCCCTTCATCGTCACAAACGCAAACCCGCACATCTCCGCCCCCGGCTTGTTGCTCTTCCTCGGGATAATGACATTGCGCACCTTCCCATAGCTCTGAAACACCTTCACCAGCTGCTGCGGATCCTTCACGCTCCACGGCAAGTTCCTTACAATAAGCCTAGGTGCCCTCCGCTTCACCTCTTCCGCTTCCTTCTTCTCCTTCTTCTCCTTGGACGCCTGCTTCCCCGCCTCGTCACGGTGCCGCGGCTCCGCAATCTCAACGCTCATCTTGCGCCCGTCAAAGAGCGTGTTATGCAGCTCCTTGACGGCGCGCCGCGCATCCTCGGCCGTAGTAAACGTCACGAAGCCGAAGCCGCGGGACTGCTTTGTGAGCGGGTCGGCGACGACGGTGGCATGCTTGAGCGGGGCGATGAACGAGAACTTTGTGGAGAGGGCCTCGGAGGTGGCAGAGTAGGGCAGTGAGCGGATAAAGAGCGTGCGCCGCTGCTGGACATCTTCATCGGAGGCCGAGAGCGTCTGCTTGGTGCGGGAGGCGGCGATCACGGTTGTGCCGGCGGGGTCGTCGGGGGCGTCGGGGAGGTCGTCGGAGTCGAGCTTGGTGCGTTTTGAGGGGGGGTCCATTTTGGGGGTTCGGTGTGGGGCAATTGGGGGGTTTCAATTGCTGTGTATATTGAGATATCGTGAATTTTGTGAGGGTTTGAAATTTCGAACTTTTTTAGTGTGGCAGTGGGTGCCAGCAGGGTAACCGGCGGACGTGGGGGAAGTGTGGCCGTGGTGGGGTGCACAGCCACATGTCGACTTGGGCTCGATAACAGCTTCACCGATAAGCTCTGAACATCCAAACCAGCCCGGACTACAGACATACAACAAATCCTCCCCTTAAACCCACTACAAAACCACCACAGCTACTACAACTACACCCGCAATGCACGACTACCGCTGTAAGCACCCCAAACTCCCCCTCCCAATTACAGCCCCAAACTAACACCCACACAGCGCACGCCCTCCTGCAACAACTCCCCCTCTCCGTCTCCCCCTTCATTCACCTCCCCACGGCCGTAACCCTCCCCTACACCTTCCAGACACTCCCTAGTACGCTCCCGCCGGCCTCCCCCTCCCCACCCAGCATCGTCTCCCCCTCCGGCGCCATGACAACCACCCCGCAGGCCGTCATCCAGGGCTGCCAGGGCCTCGTCGCCCACCTGCAGACGCAGCGTGAGAAGGCCGCCGCCGAGGTCGCCGAGTGGGAGAAAGCTATCGCGGAAAGGGAGCTGAACGAGAAGAGGAGGGTTGCGCCGGGGTATTTGGATACGGGGATGAGAATGTTGGAGCCCTTGAGGAGGGGTGGTGAGCAGCAGCAGCAGCAGGGGGGTGAGGGGCAGAGGGGGCCGGAAGGGCAGGGCGGGGAGGAGCTGGATAGGGTGTTTGGGAGGATGGGGGTATAGCTGTATGTTTTTTCTTTCTTTTCTTTCTTTCTGGCTTTTTGTGTGTTGCGAGGGAGTTTGGGAGCGTGAGTGATAGTTCGTGATTGACAATGGCCCAGCAAGTGTAAATACATATATGGTAGTGGCATATGATACCCCTCCCACCCACCTAGAATTTTTTTTTCTTTAATATCCTCTGTTAATTCTTAGATTATCGATTTATATTGCGCGGCCTCATCTCATTGCAGTCTCAAACCAAAGTCTCCAGGAACCGTGAACAGAGCCGCCTATTCTAACCAAGGCCTCTCGTTTTAAATACACGACATATAGAGCCTCTAGGTTGTGATATCCGTATGAACCGTACCACTATTCCTATGACACCTGTGATAAAAGTCGTTCAAATTCATGCTTCGGTCGTGTCAGACGCATATATACAGCCTACCAAACGGCCTCTAGTATAGTATGTTAGTATATGTGCGCCTAGGTACCTTCATCTCATCTGTACCTTGTATGGACTATGTGCCTCTCTGGGACCGGATGAGGTGCTAGTTCCACGGAGAGGACCCTATCGAAGAATGATGGAGCATTTGCAAGTGCTTCTAGGTATTTACCTCCGTTTGTATGCGCCATCATGGCACCTCACCAACCCGACCATAATGGGGGAGCACCGTCCAGCTGGCCATAAACACAACCACACCATCGATAACTTATACCCGTATACAGGCACTGCCTGTCCGGACTGTCCAGAACTCTGCTCAGGTCGATTGTAATCTTATGATCGAGTAGAGTCAGAGACTGTTCACGAATAGCGTGGTGAAGGTCCGGGATGGCTAGTTCGTTTGTGTTATATCATTGCAAGTAGGTAGGTGTAGCTGTTTCTTGGTAGTTAGCGGCCAGCGATTCCAACGGGGGCACCTATGCTGACCGATTGCATGGTAGGAATTGATGAGTATGAGTTGATGAGATGATATGTAGAGGGTAAGGTTGTGGGGAAATATAGAAGCAGTCCGCTTGTTGCAGAGCCACAGGAGGAGCTTCCAGCTTCATGCAATTGATGAATTAAACAAAAAAAAAAGCTTCCAGCTTCGGTACACGCAGGGTCATCATAGGATATCACTCGATCGAGGTGTTTAAGACTTTTTTTTTTTTTAATTCATTAGTTGTATGCAACCCTACGGTTATGGTCATTCTGTTTGAGACTTGATTGATTGATTACTTCATTAAGTTTGTTTGGGACTGCTGAGCGTGTGGGGAACTCAACACCCGAGAAAGCAGCCCCTGGTTGTTGAGATGTTTGGAGGGAGTGTATGCCCGTGGCTGCCTGGACAAGGAGTGGGGATAGATGCATCTGATGGGCGGCGGCGGAAGGAGGGTATTTTCGGGCAGGACGTACGTATGTGACTGTCAGCTACGTATACTTCAACTTATATTCGCGATTGATAGGCGGCGCGACAAACTGTCTTCAAGATGCCGTATAAAGCTAGAAAGTCTCGTAGTCTCTCAAAATCATCACGGTCTCTTCTCTAATCCTCTCATTCAACGGTTCGGTCTTGCTACAGTCATATACACTACCTTCAGTACTTGTATATTCGATCATTGACCCTTGTTCACTGTGTATCAGAATCTAATATGTGCGATTTACTGATGCGAGCCACGCCTAGTGGCAATATCCTACATGAGCATACCCTGTTAGAGGGCGGCCATATTTTTGTTTCATGGAGTCACTGTAACGCCTTCAGCTTGATATATGTCAAGACGGAGTCATTTTGTGTGCTGTGGAGTCAATGATCGTGGTGCTGGAAAAAAACAGGAATGCAGAGCTTTTATTTACGGACCATCTATATTACAATAAGGATTCATTACATGCTTCGAATACGAGATATAGAGTTGCTTGATCTAGGCCACCTTCCTGCCCACATTGCCCACGCCTTTACCCACTATCGTCACCACGAGATTCCCCCCCTCGCCGTCTCTCACGGCAATCTCGCTGCCAAAAAACGACTTCAGATCCCTCACCACACCGACAAACTCCTCCCCCACAGCCTCCCTCCCCACCACCACCCTCCCCACATCCCCCTCCACGCCCATCATCATCATCGTCAGCATCGTCATAACGCCCGTCCTCCCCACCGCGCCCGCAATCCGGATCTCCTCCAACAACGCATACGCCGCGCGCCTCCCCACATCCTCCGCCGGCTCCGCCGGCCCCGCAAACGCATCCGCACTATACAGCACCCCCGTGCCCGTCTCCGCCACCAGCGCCATGCCAAAGCCAACACCAATCTTCCTCGTCCGCCCGCTGGCGCGCACCCCGCCGCGCGCCTTCTCCACCGCCCCCTCCTTGCCATAGTCCACCGGCACCGTCTGCGCGCTCTTGACGTCGCTGTACACATACACGTCCGCCAAGAAGCGGTTGAGCACGCCGCGCGCAGCCTCAATCATGCGCGCGTTGTTTCCGGCGCTCACGCCGCTGACGTATGCGACGCCGCGGATACGCTTGACGCGGCCGGGCGTCTGCAGGTGCAGCGTGCGCGGGAGGCGCACCTGGTGGGCGTGCACAAAGTGGACCTCGCCGGCGCCGACGGGGCCCGAGGAGCGCGAGACGATGCGCACCTCGATGTTGCGCGTGATGTCGAAGTTTGCGTAGAGCGGGAGCACGGCGGTGCGGAAGGTGTCGACCGAGTAGTCGTCTTCTGTGGCGGCGGTGATGACGCCGCCGGTGAGGGCGATGTTGAGCGGGGTCTTTGAGAAGGGCGCGAGGAGGGCGAGGAGCTCGAGGTAGTAGGTGGCGCCGCGGGCGCAGTTCTCGGGGAGCGTGTGGGAGAGCTGGGAGTTGTTTGTGCCGGAGATGAGGCCCGGGACGAAGAGGAGGGTGGTGCCCGTGACGGAGATGGTGATGTGGGAGCCGTTGGTGATGGTGTCGAGGAGGCGGAGGAGGGAGAATTCGGAGGGTGTGAGGCCGGGCTTGAGCGAGTTGGGGCGGATGGAGCTTATGTGCACGGGTGTGCCTGTGAGCGTTGCGAGAAGGAGGCGCCGGCGCAGAGAGGCGTGGGTGGTGAACTTGAGAGGGGGCGTGCCTGTCGTCATGTCTGTTTTGTATGTAATTGCCCTGTTTCGTGACAATTCGTGGAGGTGAGGTTGTGATCGTGAGGTTCGAGATAGTTCAGTTTGTGGTGGTGGGGGTTTGAGGGCCTGCGGAAAAAATTTGGGAGGCTCTGCGGACCCTGGTGCTTGCCAAGAAGAGGCTCTGCAGCGGCGGGGAACGCATCTCTGGGCAGCTCGGAGATATTAGAAAGTGCTATTGAGAGGGGAATGTTCTCAGGCAATTGCATTGGCCACTCGACGGAGTGTAGAAATATGTCTGAGAATTTGGTGGTCTCGAACTGGGTCATGGTATCTCACTCGGTGATATATTCTCGCTGTCAGTTACAACAAGACCTAGAAGTATACCCAACAGCTCTTCCCAGGCTTTTATCCTCATGCTAGGGATAAGAGAATCCCTTAAGTGACTTACTTGTATGTATGGTTACATGCTAATCGCAAGGATATTCAAGATATGGCTCCATTTTATAACCTATTCCATCTATTACCCCCCACAGCGCAAGAGGAGAGAAGAGAGCATCGATTTTCTAATAATATACAAAAATAACAAAACGCCCCGAACACACTATCCCATCCAACCCTCTATCTACACCCCCCATCCCCCATCTCCACTCCCCTCACTAACCATGCTTCTCCAAGAACTCCTTCGCCTCATTAACCTTCCCCGCCAAATACGGGCTCCCCCCACGGTCCGGATGGTTCAGCAACATCATCTCGCGATGCCGCTTGCGGATATTCTGCTTCGTCATGTTCCGCTCACTATCCACCATCCGCCATTAGCCCACCACTCACTCACTCTCCATCACCAAACAGGGGGGGGGGCATCGAAAGAGAAAAGGAAGGAGGGCCACAAACGCAAGCTGCAAAATCAAGATGGCCTCGCGCCGGTTCATTTTCGGCTCAAAGCCGCCCTTGTAGAACGCCTTTCCGAAGGCGCCCGCCACGCCGGCGCCGGAGGTGGCTTTGTATCTCTTGAAGGCTTGGAGTCCGATGCGGCCCTGTTTTTGCTTGTGTTAGTGGTTGGGATTCTAAGAGACGGGGGGGACGGGGGACGGGGAGTGGATGGGGGGGGGGGGGGGGGGCTTACGGCGAGGGCTGTTTGTTGGAGCGGCCAGAGGAGGGTGGCTGTTAGTATGGTTCTAGTAGAGTGGGTGGTGGGAGTGGGTGGTGGGAGTGGGTGGTGGGAGTGGAAGACATACCGGCGCCTGCGATGCCGCAGCCGATGAGGATTGCGCTGGACATTGTACTGCTGCTTTGTGCTTCTGTCTGGGGCGTCGTGGTGATGGTGGTTTGGTCTCGCTCTTGGTCGTGGTCGTGGTCGTGGTCGTGGTCCGTCTGCATTTCTTCAGAGGTGAAAGGAAGGGAGTAATCGAGTCGAGTGACACCCGCGGCGACGGAGGCGGCTGCCCTGGGCCGAAAACCAAATTCTAGCAGCCCCACGCCAAGGATAGTTGGTGGGTGGTGTGCCAAGACCCCGCTACCACGGGCGTGCAAAAGGGAAAGAGAGAAAAAAAAAAAATGTTTGGTAAAGATGTGAAAGCTTGTAACTTTATCACCACCAACAACCAACAACCAACGACCAACGACCAACGACCAACGACAACAGGCAGCTACAACTACCACGGCAGCTGCTGCTCAGTAACAGACAGATAAGGCGAAGAAGGAGGAGAAGAACAAGTAGGAGGAATTGGTAGTACGTGGGGAAAAAAGTAGAGAAGAGACGGATATAGTATTTAATTCAAGATGAGGATCCACCAGTGTCACTTCTGGTACGTTTTCTCTCTCTCTCTCCTTCTCTACAATTGCGATTGTGTCGCACAATATCCCCCCCTCTCCTCCCCTCATAGAAGAGAACAAGAACAAGAATGCTAATGCGAATCCACACATCTACAGTTCGGGGCCCATATACCCCGGCCACGGCATCATGTTCGTCCGCAACGACGCCAAAGAATTCCGTTTCTGCCGCTCCAAATGCCACAAGAACTTCAAGATGAAGCGTACCTCTCCCCTCCCCTCCCCTCCATCTCCCCCATTCCCCCTCCCCCCTCCCCATCCTCCCCATCCTCCCCATCCTCCCAAACCACACACACCCCACTAACACCCCCCCAGGCAACCCCCGCAAACTCAAATGGACAAAAGCCTTCCGCAAGTCGGCCGGCAAAGAGATGGTCGTCGACACCACGCTCACCTTCTCTGCGCGCCGCCACGTGCCAACCCGCTACTCCCGCGACCTCGTCGCAAAAACCCTCACCGCCATGCAGCGCGTCGAAGAGATCCGTGCCCGCCGCGAGCGCGTCTTCTACCGCAATCGCATGGCAGGCAACAAGCAGCGCGAGCGCGAGGCAAACCGCAAGCTCGTTGCCGAGAACCAGCACTTGCTGCCACGTGACCAGCGGACCGATATTGTTGCTGTTGCTGCTGCTGAGAAGGATAAGGAGGCTGATGTGGTGAGTGAGGATGGCATGATGGATATTGAGAGCGGGGATGAGGAGGAGGAGGTGCAGCAGCCAGAGTTGGTCAAGGTCAAGGTGAAGGTCTCGAAGAGGAGGCAGAAGGTTGGTGCGGGTGATGGGATGGATGTGGATTGAGTGGGCTGTAAGGTGCTATCTTCTTTCTCTCCTTTTCATATACGTAATGGGGTGTACTATTTGATATATCAAAAGTCTGTTTTTTTGTTTTTTCATTTTTGCAGTCTGGGGAGGGACCGGATCAAATGTTGATGGGATTGGTAAATACAATATCAAAGTGGGCAGGCTTGGTATAGGGTTAGGTTTGCAACTCGTTCAATCACTCGGTGCAAGGCACAGGATGCGAGAAACAGTGCCTGCATCGTAATTACCAAATGGAATGCAACAAAATTCAAATAACACTATTTTCACATATAACAGAAAAAAATCAGACACAAAAATTCCGTACACGCAAGCAAAAAAGAACTACAGCTACAACCCTGGTATCCCAACCCTTGGTTTCAATCCTGGCCCGTGAAAGAAGAGGGTTAGAAAAGCAGTGCTCCTGTCTTTCGCTAGATTATCATATTCCTCCCTACCAATCCCATCCGTTCCATCCGTTTCCCATGCTTATAAGACCAATAGAAGTGCGCCGCGCCACCACTGTAGTACACAAAAGATTACATTGATCGTCCTTTATTTCTCCTTTGCTCCTGTCATGACGTCCACAAGATCCGGGACGTTTTTCTTTGCCAGCAAAAGAAGCCCAGCCTCGTTGTTAACTTAACATGAGACGTCGGTCGAGGCCTTGGCGTTCATCAGTAGCGCCACGATCAATCCGTACAATCCCAAAACTTCGGCGAAAATCAAAATCAAGATCATTCCGACGAAGAGTCTTGGCTGCTGAGCTGTACCGCGGACACCAGCGTCACCGACAATACCGATTGCGAAACCTAAGGAACTCGCGTTAGCACCATCCGAGGGTTTACCAATAAAGTAGCAATGGACATACCAGCAGCCAAACCAGCAAGACCGACGGAAAGACCAGCACCGAGTTGGATAAAGCTGGTGTAGAGTGAAACTCTTTGTTGCAGGCCAGATGATACCAATACAGAAACGACGAGCCCGTAAATACCAATGATACCGGCCATGACAACGGGAATGATGTCTTAAAAAAACGCAATATCAGCATCGACGTTCGAGTTTAAAATAGGTCCGATCTTGCCACTGTTTTCACAAAAAGCAAAAAACACAAGACGGGACGAGAAAGTGGCAGGGAAAACACGGGGGAAAACATACTCCTGACGATCAAGTCGGGTCTCAAAACACCAGCAGCAACGATACCAACACCAGCCTTCGCGGTTCCGTAACTGGCACCAAAGCAGGTGAAGACAATGGCGGCTGTGCAACCCATGGCACCGAAAAAGGGCTACATTTCGCGTCAGTCAAAAGTCCGTGTTGTTAATATCCAAGCCATGACTATAGCGGAGATTCGAGGAGAAAGTCGGGTAAATTGGGCTGTTGTTGAGATTCAGTGATCGCTTGTCGCGTCAAGGGACACATACCGCATAAACAGGACTATAGAGAAGACAAAAACACGTTAGCGGGCGATTTTCCAAAAGACTACGACAAATTCTTTTTTCCTCAAGCAGATCCGTGGCAATCGCCAGAAGCTGACGGTTTTGCCTCACACCGAGGTCCGAAAGGGGCCAATACAGGTATTGTGGACTTACCAGAGATCAGTCATTTTGAGTGTTGTTGTGTTTTCGTAGAACGTGAAAGGTAAAGAATATAAGTCAAAACGAAGGGTTGTCGTTAAGTCTGTAAATGTTGGGTTGGCTGAAAGGTTCTGTAGGGAAGGTGGTTGGAACTTGGAGATGAAGACGGAGGGGCTTGCCTGGGTGCCGCTGAAGGTTGAGGTGATGGGTGGCTTAAACCACCGGATGACGACGTGTAAACTTGGCTTAGAAAGCGACAGCAAATACACGGTTTTTGATTGGAGTTTTAATCAAATTACACCAGATTATTATTCCTGCAAAATCAGAGTTTTTAATACATATTTTAAATCGCTCTATATCTTCGGTACCTTAGGGCACGCCCTGATCTTGACAGGGATCTTCTCGAAATCCTAGCGAGAAAAAAAATATTGCATTTGGAGCCTCACAAAGATTGTTCATTCAACCTCCATCCACCACCCACCACTTCCCCAAATAAACAGTTAAAGGGCGAGCGTCCGAGCAAGGAACCCTTTGCCTCTCTTTGAAGAACCTACAATACGAAAACCAAGTCAAGATGTCCTCCCCGAACCCGAAAGGTATGCTCTCGCAATCGCACAACATCAAGTCAATCTTGTTTGTAATAACTAACATTTTCTTCATAGCTTTCCCTCTCGCCGACGCTGCTTTGACACAGCAAATTCTAGATATTGTCCAGCAGGCATCTCACTACCGCCAGTTGAAGAAGGGTGCTAACGAAGGTATTTTCACCCCACTATTCTCACCTTCGTATTCCACTAACGCCTAGATAGCCACCAAAACTCTCAATCGTGGTATCTCGGAGTTCATTGTCCTTGCTGCGGACACCTCCCCTCTTGAGATTCTCCTCCACCTCCCGCTTCTTTGCGAAGACAAGAACGTCCCTTACGTTTTCGTCCCCTCCAAGATCGCTCTCGGACGCGCATGCGGTGTTTCCCGCGCTGTCATCTCAGCCTCTGTTACCTCTAACGAGGCCTCGGAGCTTCAAGGACAGATTAGAAGTTTGAAGGACAAGATTGAGAGGCTACTCATCTAAATTTAGTATTTAATGATTTTGGGGATGAATAAACAGCCGCTTTTGTATTTTTACTAGCTCCAACAAGTAGCTCTTATCCACAAACAATACTCTGGAAGAGATAACAATGCATTGATCTTATTTTTTTCTATTGTGAACAATAAACTTGGCAGGAATCGATTTCGTCCTTTATGAGGAAATCAAGTTCACACTTTATGCGGGGTATGCATATGAAGAATCTCCAATATATTGCATATCCAAGTGTGGCCAATGTTCAAATTATCCATATTCCTGCTACATATAACTATTTGTGGATTTATTCAAAGTTCAAATAACCTCTACAAACGACAATATGCCACGAGTGCAGTAAACCCTTTACATGGCAGCACCAGAGATGAAGAACCACTTGTCGATGCTCGGGTCAATGGGAGCGGGCGCAAGGTTTTCTCCATGAGGAGTCGGGGGGAGCGAGCTGTGGTCAACACGGTGGGCACCGGACTGGGAAACAGTCAAGTTGGTACTGTATTTATCGTTAGTTAAACGTACGAAACATAGATGTTGGGTTAACTTACAGAGAGATCTGGTTGGGGTCGCTCTTTCCAGTGATCAATTTCTCCCAGGCCTCAGCACACTCACGGATGACGTCAGTAGCATACCTGCATGGAAAATTAGTAATGCCATATAACGTTGACTATTAAGGAACGCTCACTTCTTGTTCTTGCACTCTCCAGAGAACGCGAACTGGTTCTCAGGCTTGCCATCTGGGATCTTGTAGATACGGAACCACTCATTTGTGGCCCTGAGCAGGCCAGGAAGGTGGCGCTCCACATCCTCAATATCATTAAGCTTAGGGGCCAATGGGTCGTTCACATCAATAACAATGACCTTCCAGTCAGTCTCCTCCTCGTCAAGAAGAGCCATAACACCCAAAACCTTGACCTGCTTGATCTGGCCGGCGTATCCGACGGTCTCACCGATCTCGCAAACGTCGAGCGGGTCGTTGTCACCCTTGGCCTTAGTCTCTGGGTGGATGGTGGAAGGGTCTTCCCAAGTCTGGGGGAAGGCACCGTAGTTCCAAAGGTAACCCTTGTGAGGGAAGCAGTTACGGACAAACCGGATCTTTCCCTTCTTTACATCCTGCTTGATGGGGTTGAGAAGCTCTTCCTTAGAGATCTATGGGTGTGTTAGTATTTGTGAATCTCGCTCGGTTTGTGGGGTGCAAACCTCAAGCTTTCCATTGGTCCAGCGAGGAATCTCGACAATCATGTTAAGAATTGTCTTTTGCTCACTATTCCCATGGCGTTAGAGTTTTCACAATAGAAATGGCTAATTAGAGCACTCACTTGGCGTAGAGCGGGATATCGTGGAAGGGAGACACTGGGATACCATCTTTTTCGATGAAAATTCGGTGTTCTACAGTTACATAGTCAATTAACCCATGCTTTAAGACTGAATCTGATCTCACTGAATACAATACGTACCAAGGGTGTTGGGAACCCCAATCTTTCTGACGGAGTAGGACATTTTGGCTGAAGGGTTAGACAAATGTCTAGCAATCTTAACTAATGATCAGTTACCATATCAATACACAATTAGAAAGGAAATAATACCAATGCACTTCTGGATGACAGCTTGAAGAATTGAGTAGCCGGACGAGCAGTAGCTAATGTCGAGGGAAAGGAAGGGAAAGAAGAAGGAACAAGTAGGCGGGGTAACATGGTATTGCCAGCCCGTGTCTGGGAGGGGAAGCGGCGGCTTGGCAACGCACTCGGACGGACAACAGGAAGCAGCAATTGCGTGCTATGGCGAGAGTTTGAGGTCGAAGCTTCAATGGAAGGTTTCGCGTGATTTATCGGCAAGCTGGGACTATCCGTCACTCGATAGTCGCGGGAAGAAAATTATCTGTCTGGGCTTCGTTAGCGTGTTTTCTGGCCAAAACACTCCCGATTCATAGGTTATCACTCATCAAGTTTCCACAGGTACCTCGGACCACGACACGAAGAACACCCTTGCCACAAATTCCAAGTGCATTTTCCTGAATGGATTTAATCCCTATTATACAACCTTCTAGCAAAGCCAGGAGTAGGTACAGTTATGATAAAAACGAAAACAACGTATTCAGCGGCCTCCCAGGGCAATATACAAACCTTACACTAAAACACAAATTGAAATAGATTCTAAAAGGAGATGTTCAGATTATCGCTCGGAAACACCAGTAGTGCTGCCTTATGTCTGATCAGTAAACCAATCACCCCACAGGCGATTTGTAAAGTTGTAATGCCCATCACAACCTTATCCTCCCTCATAGGTCCCATTTTTACAATCCATAAGTTGAGGATAGTCAGATTACTACATTCTGTAATCACGCCATCTCCGCTTCTCCAGACCTGTACTAAACCGAACTTCTCCAGCGTCGTCAACATGAGTGCGATATACCATTTTGGTGGATTCGGAAACTCGGCGCGGGATGCTTCCATTAACCCTGTCTGAACGCGAAAACGGGGGAGCCTGTGACGTGGACAAGGAATGAGGTGAAATAGTTGTGGTGCGGAGTACAAGAAGTTGAAGATTTGTGGTATAAATAAAAGGAGGAGAGTCTTTGAAAAATGACCGAGTATCCCAACAACAGCGAAAGTCATGCCTGCAAAGTAGCAGAATGTATCTCCAACAAACACTTTAGACGGGTATGAATTGTGCCACCATAGTGCAATTGATACGCCCAAAAACGGAAGAAGAAAGTAGAGCGAGAATAGATGCGAATCGGTCGCCGGGTGGCCTTTAACAGAGATATACAGCAGATCATTGAGCGCGATAAAGCAGGCGATCACGATACTTTGCGTAACTTCGATTCCATTAACCCCAGCAAGGATATTGATTGAATTTGGACAGAAAATTGCGATAGCAGCCATATAGACATAGTATCCCCAAGATAAGTCTAGAAGTGCAGTCCCGAGATATGGTTGAAGCGGTGTAGGTACAACGATATTGGTTACGCCAAAGTCGACATAATATATCATGAGCATTGGGATTGCTGCTATAGCTGGTAGGAAGAATTTGTGTCGCCAGCGGACATCAAAAAGATCATCAGCAACACCAAGGATGACCATTCCCTGGAGGGAAAGTAGTGCTGAGAGATATTCGCCAAGTTTATTGTGTGGAAATCTGTGAAGCAGCCGTCCAGTCTCGACCTCCTCGAGCTCTATGGTGACGTCCCGGTTCCCCCCACCACTTGTACTAGCGACAAAGTACTCATAGAAAGGAAATGGCATAAATACGATCATGGTCATCAAGTAAACCACAGCACATACAGCGCCCATGGTTTCCGGTCTAAACATTTAGAGTCAGTTTCGCTGCTCCAAAACCACTCCTCTACTTGTTTCATGGAGTTTCTTACAGCTCTCTCCGATCTGGCTTCGATATATCTCTCCCCTTGAATCCAACTCTTTTGAAAGCATCCCCGAGCCAGCTAATCAGGCAAAAAGTTGCCGCGAATGCAATTCCGCTGAATCCCAACGATGCAATAAGTGGTTCTCCATCACCTATGAAGACAGTGTATATCAAGCCGCAACATGCGCCGACAAGTGTGAAAAGAAAAAAATACCAGCCGGTAGAGATTTTTTGTGACATTGCGGTGCTGCTAGTATAAGGAACCCCGCGGTGTACATTCGTTTCGTTTAGGTATGAAAGGATGGCATTGGTAACTACATATGGGAGTGACGCGGAGGACACGTTGAGGCTCTGGGAATGCCAAGACTCAACTGACGATCATAATGTATCACTCGACGGAAGTCTCCGAGCACCAGGGACTGGTTCACCATAGTACAACGTGTGCCAGGAAATGATTTCTGTGTGATATCTGAAGTCCTCAAAAATTCACAAGAAATAAAGAACAAGAAAACCCTAGCCATACACCTTTTGAGAAACAAGAAAAGATTGATTTTTTTTGGAACATTCGTTTATCACATAACGACCAAACAAAAGCGCATATTTATTTATTTTTTACCACCCATCATCACCCGCCGCCTCAGTCTGGGAGACCGGGGCAACGTACTCAGTAGGGGCAGCGTACACGATGGGGGCAGACTCGGGGTTGAAGTCACCGGCGACAGCACCCTCGTTACCAGTCTCAACACCGGTCTGCTCCTCAGCAGCCTGCTCCTGAGCAGCAGCCTGGGCAGCGGCAGCACGGGCAGCCTCAGCCTTGGCACCCTGTATCACACGTCTATTAGTAATTTTCGGTTATTGAAGATATGAACTCTGGAGCACTTACATAGTCCTGGGATGAAGGTTGTCCGATAGGGGCCTCCTCCTTGGGCTCGATAACAGTAACAGTGTCGGGAAGAGACTTCTGGAGTCCTGACTTGCCATCGGGGTCGTTTCCGCGCATAATCTTAACCTTGATACCGAGCACACCTTGTCTGAGAAGGACGTGGCGAGTAGCAGAGTCGATAAAGTCACGGGCGGGCTGGCCGGAGTGGATCATGAAGCCGTCCTAAAGAAATCCCAATAAGCTTCAAACTTGCTAGCCTAGTTCGCTTTCAGACCATCGAAGTGGTTATGCCCTCCTCGTGCCCTGATCGCGCCCAATGATAAACTTACAGTGAACTTCATTGACTTGGCACGGGCAGCTCTCAGCTTTCCGGAGACAACGACCTCACAACCCTTGGCACCAGACTCCATGATAAATCTCAAAACACCATAGCACGCACGACGGACAGCAAGACCATTGAGCAACTTGTAGCGGAGAGACTCGCACTGGGCAACGGCGCAAAGACCACGGTTCTGGACCTTAGCAGCGTAGAGAGAAACAGAGTTCTCTGGGAACTTGAAGCGCTTCTGGATGAGCGAAGTAAGCTCACGGATGCGGCGTCCCTGCTCTCCGAGAACCTCCTGGGTGTGGGTGGCACGGATAACTATCGAGTATTAGTCGATATATCGTACCTCCAGCATACCTCCAATTCCAAGGCCGTAGAAACAACATACTGATATCGGTGACGGTCGGGGTGACGCGGACCTCAACACCGGAGTAACCCTCCTCAGCCAACTCACGAGTGAAGAACTCGTTCAACTCGGCGTAGAAAACACCGTCCGCAACGAACTTGCGACGCTTGGAAATTGTTTGCGACTGAGCGGAGCTGTGGCCAATATATCCATCAGCATTTCATTCTTCCCATCCCTCCATATTTCCCAACCAATTTCTCGTAAACCGGGATGGTGAAGCTTACGCCATATTTCTGGATTTCTCGTGAGAATTAGACGAGTATTTTGGCGAATTACTAGGGTCGTAGGGTGTTGTCGTTCGTCGGTGGTGGGGCGGAAATTCGAGGATTGAATGTTTTGGTGGGCATTCCTCGAATTGTGTGATTTGTGTGGTAAACTGTAAGGGCTGAACCCTAAAGTTTACTGCAAGGAGTCACACTTAGGACCGGGTAACTTTCGATTGTCCAAAAAAAACCGAATGCCAGAAAACCGGAACTTTCACTTGAAGTCCAGTGCTGCTAGGAGTTGAATCTTGATGAATATAAATTATTTTGCATCTTTACTGCTTGATGTGCCTACATGTATACAAACTGCTGGAACGGAATCGATTTGACTACGTTATGCAGGTAAGTCAGGGAATATGGTTGCCATCACAATTGGTGGATATATAGGGTTAGGTTTTATAGAATATGGCTTGTAATGAGCTGCAACGTACCCAGCCACATTGCCCCCTCGGTAAAAGCTTATAGCAACCCAAATCAGAGGTGAGCTGTAAAGACAAGACTCCCGGGCCCAGGAACCACCCTCACCATTCGAAGAGCTCTCTTACATTCCCGTCTTCCCAGAAGCATACCACTATACTCTTTTCGCACAGACATTATGGCTTCTGCCCTCTTCTTCCTTGATCTTAAGGGCAAGGTACATTTCCCCAGCTAATGTTGAGGTTAACCGTGGCTGAATGCTGTCTGTAGACCCTTCTGGCTCGAAACTACCGGGGAGATATCCCCATGTCGGCGGTTGAGAAGTTTCCCATCCTTCTTTTAGAAGCTGAGGAAGAAAGCTCTGCGGTCCCACCATGTTTTTCTCACGAAGGGATTAACGTATGTTGCCAGTCACCCCCACCTGCACCCCGCGACGAATGTCTTAGATATTGATGTTTCTCTGGAGGACTGGATAGTATCTCTATATACGGCACAACAATCTCTATGTTCTGGCTCTCACGAAGAGGAACTCCAATGCGACCGAAATACTGCTGTTTTTACATCGGATAGTTGAGGTTTTTACTGAGTACTTTAAGGAGTTGGAGGAGGAAAGTATTAGGGACAATTTCGTTATCATCTACGAGCTGCTAGATGAAATGATGGATTTTGGATATCCGCAAACTACTGAAACCAAAATTCTCCAAGAGTATGATTCTTTATATCCAGTCGCATGCGCTTATGTGATACTGGTGACGCTAATCACTATTCGATTCAGATATATCACCCAGGAATCTCACAAACTTGAGATACAAGCCCGACCTCCGATAGCCGTAACTAATGCTGTTTCCTGGAGATCCGAAGGTATTCGGTACCGAAAGAACGAAGTCTTCCTTGACGTCATCGAATCTCTCAACCTCCTTGTTAACAGTAATGGGAACGTCTTGCGTTCGGAGATTTTGGGAGCTATCAAGATGAAGTGTTACCTCTCCGGTATGCCGGAATTAAGGCTAGGATTGAATGATAAAGTGATGTTTGAAAGTACAGGAAGGACAACGAGAGGGAAGGCAATTGAGATGGAGGATGTTAAGTTTCACCAGTGTGTGAGGCTTTCCAGGTTCGAAAACGACAGAACCATTAGCTTTATCCCACCAGACGGAGAGTTTGAGTTGATGAGCTACCGGTTGAACACTCAGGTTTGACCCCAGACTTAATATCGCCGACACTAGGGGTAAAACTGATGAACCGGTCACGATAGGTTAAACCGCTAATCTGGGTTGAATGCATGATTGAATCTCATTCTGGCTCCCGAATCGAATACATGCTGAAAGCAAAGGCCCAATTCAAACGTCGTTCTACAGCCAACAACGTTGAGATCATCGTCCCTGTGCCTGATGATGCTGACTCTCCCCGTTTCCGTACTAATATCGGATCGGTCCACTATGCTCCCGAGAAGTCTGCTATCATTTGGAAGATCAAGCAATTCGGTGGAGGAAAGGAGTTCCTTATGAGAGCAGAGCTTGGTCTCCCGAGTGTCAAGGAGGCAGAACCGGAAAGGAAAAAGAGGCCCATAAGCGTTAAATTCGAAATTCCATATTTCACGACAAGTGGTATTCAGGTGAGATACCTGAAGATTATCGAGCCAAAGCTGCAATATCCTAGCTTGCCTTGGGTGAGGTATATTTCTTGCGCTTCAGGTATGCCACAAATCCTTTCAGCTTCAAAGCATATTGCTGTACGAATTTACTGATCACTGGTGTAGATTATCACGTTCGCCTTCCGGAACCAACCCAGACCTAATGAAATGGAGAAGAGCAACTCGTCAAGTGCTTTGTATCGCAGAAGTCTGGATATTAGAGGTTGGGGGCATGGTTTTTGTTATGTATATAGATAACCCGGTTACGGTCCCATGTTGGCCTAGCGATTTATTTCTATCGAGTTTCCGCAGAAGCAGGTTAATTGTCTTACAGTTCCTCTCCTTCTTGGCTCGGATATTTGATTCAAAAACGGTATAAATGCCGCGCCATCACAAACCAAATCCAGAAAATTAGATGTGCGATAATAGAAGGCTTATCCTGCCCATTCTAAACATCAATGCCAGATGTTTGCGCTCAATACTTCAGTATTATCATCATTCAACTCTAATTCCAACATATATAACATGCGCCTTCCTCTAGCTTTATGCCACTATTTCCTTTCAACGTTCCGAAAAGCCTAGTTCTTCTTCTTCCCTTGAACTGCAGCCTTTGCCTTCTCCTTCGCAGCCTTCTTCCTCCCACTCCTGATCATAACAACGCTCAAGAAACTGCCAACTACAGCAATTCCAATAAGGATTAGGATCACTGGAATGCGAATAGCCCAGACGCGTGGGGGAAAGAGGTCATGGAGTGGGTGACCCTCGTCAACGAATGGCTACACAAACATCTAATTAGCTAGTGGCCAAAGAGGAAGAAAGAGGCAAAGCGGAGCATACAATAAATAAAGTCCAGACAGTATAGTACAGGAAAACAGCGGATGCGATAAGGAGCATCATCAGGCCGGTAAGCTTGGCGAGCTGTTTATGAACATTGTTAGGTCTTAAATTCTGCAGCCTTATGTTTCTCCTCCGCCGGTGATGATTGATTTACCATGATTTGTTAGAATAGAAGCACGAAAAAACAGGCGCAAAATGCCTAGAACAAAGAGAATCCAAGAATTTCTTTGAATAAAAAAGGAGCGTAGTTGAGTGAGAGAAAGGAGTGGAAGCTTGTATTGAATACGAGGTTGGAATAAGCTCAGGGGGCTACGCGTGCATAGCAACCTGGCCTTTGGTATGAGGCTCTGACCTGGGATGAAAAGTGCTTTGACATGTGGATATTTGAGAATGGGAAATAAAGTTGGTGAGTGACCTTCTGTGATTCTGTCCTGAACACATGATTATACATCCACTCATGTAAGACATATGTAGTAGAGATGCATGTCTTAGTATCTGTCGTGTTGGTGAAGTAGGAAAACTACATGTACATATGTATATAATAAGAACAAGACTTGAATTTCTGAGAATACAACTCAGCATTTAAAACCTGTCATTCCGTATTTGATTTACGCACTTAGAGTTATAACCAATACTTCAATTTGTGTGAAGTCATGTAGTCGTTTGGGCCTCACTGATAAGTACCTCGTGGCTGGAACAACCCTAGCCCTGGCTATAGGCCTTTACGCGACGCGTCCTCCCAACCACCTGTTCCTAAACCCGTCCGTGAAAGCCTTCACGTCCTCTTCTTTACGCCTGAAACCAAAGAACGAAAGATTTGATCAAATATCCTCAACATGTTTCAACAGAAAAGACGCCCTATAGACTCAAAGAAGAATTTCGGTAAAACTGCGGATTTCGGCCAAACCACATACCCCCACCGTCTCAACTTTTACAATCTCCCTCCCACCGCAGAGGTAACACTGGAACAATTTGAACAATGGGCAATCGATCGCCTGCGAAGTCCGTATCTCTTTGATTCCTCATAAGGAATCTCAAAACTTACATTGCGTAGTCCTCGGCGAAATCGAATCCTGTCTTTACCGCAATAAAACCCCGGCCGAGCTCTCTGCAACCATCACCCCTTTGCTAGACCAATACCTCCCACTTAGCGCAAACACTGCAAAGGCGCGGGGGGAAGAAGAAGAGCGTCGGAAAGACCATTATTCGCATTTTATCCTTCGTCTTGCGTTTGCGCGGAGTGAAGAATTGAGGAATAGATTTACTAGGGCTGAGACTGTACTATTCAAGCTCCGCTTTACGACCGATGACCCCCGAGAAAGGTCTGCATTTGTTTCTAGCCTGGGTTTTGATTGGGAAACAGTTGGCGACGATGAGAAGCGAGCATTGCGGGAGAGTTTGATTGCTGCAACGGGAATGAAGTCAATAGATGGAGAATCGTTCTTCAAAGTCGACTGGGAGAAAGTTAGCGACCTTGTAGAGCAGCGCCGAGTTTTGCTCAGAGCTGGAAAAGCATATGTGCCTGTGTCGCAGCAGATATCACTCGTACTAGCAGAGTTTACTCAGGGTCTCGAGAATGCCCTTAAACGCACGGCCCAGGCCCTCCCCCGCCTTGATGAGGACGACCGGCTTATCCCAATTCTTAATCACCTTTCGTTGGGGTTCACAACATCCGAATATACCAACTCCAACACAACTACACTCAATGGGGCCACGATAACCGCCGGTTCCATCGACGGTCTAGTGCAGTACATGCCGCTGTGCATGCGTCACCTCCACACTACCCTTCGCCGTGACAAACATCTCAAGCACTTCGGCCGGTACCAATACAATCTCTTTCTCAAGGGAATTGGTCTATCTGTTGAAGAATCACTCATTTTCTGGCGCCAGAGTTTCTCATTGATGACAGACGATCAATTCACAAAGGAGTACCGCTACAATATCCGCCACGCCTATGGCCTCCAGGGAACGGGACGAAATTACAAGCCTTTATCCTGCCAGCAGATCCTCACAGAGCGTGCACCAACTGCGGGCCAAGCCCATGGGTGCCCATACCGCCACTTCAGCGTTGATAACCTTATTGCCAGCTTGAACGCAGCTGGTATACATGATCGTGACTTACTCAAGGGAGTGAAGACCGACGTGGAGGCAACAAAGTTCCACATAGCGTGCAACCGGGTGTTTGAGCATGCACACGCACGAGAGCTTAAGAAAGAGAGCGAGACCGGGAGCGCCAGGTTTAAAGAAACCATTATCCATCCCAACGAGTACTTTACAAGGAGTTTCATGTTGAGGAATCCGGACTCAGCGGCGGTGGAGGGGATGGGAAACCATCAAGCGGTTGACACTGGCGTAGATCCGATGTTATAAACTTAATATTTGGGTTTGGGAAGGAGTTTCCTGGTGGGTAATGAGTTATATTAGTGCGGTCTAGTAGAATCATGGGCATTTTATGTGTTTTGGTAGGGATATCCGTGTAGTCGGTGGATTGATAAAAATAGAAACTTGGCAGGCACCGAGTGATCCATTGTGATCGAATATTCTTTTTGATGATCAGTGATTTAGAGAAAGATACATATGTATAGAACCCATCATCGATTCCAGCACAAAACCAGAAAAAAATGAAACAAAAAACGAGTGGAAGTACACGCCTTGCCAACATGCTAAGATGCAGGAAAGATCGGGTATTAAGACAGGAAAAGGAAAAAGGGCAGCAAAAGCTATATATTGTTTTGAGAAGACATAGCCTATTATTTTTTTCGTCGGTATGGTTGATAGGCCTAGGAAAATCAGTAAGTAAAAAGAAGAGAGAAAGGGTGAGGAAATCTCACATGTTGTATCCATGATCATGGTATGAACTAATTAATATGCTCATATATGTAAGAAAGGGAAAGAACGAAGAAGCCCCAGAAACCGAGCCCAAGATTTTTGACAACAGACCATAATGTTAGTTTTTTAGTTTTTTTTCTTTCTTTTTTTTTCTTAGTTAGTATTGACTTGGCTGACCTCCAACTGCAAGACCCTCTCACACTCAGCCAAGTCCGCTTCTTTTTCCGCCAACAATTTCTTCAACCTCTTGACCTCGGCATCGATTATCTTATGTCTCTTGACGGTCCTGATCTTAGACTTCAAACTCGCCAAAACCTTCTCCACGATCTCCTTCTCCATACCATCCTTTTTACGCCTTTTTACCGCGGGTAGATCCGCCTCGCTGCGCTCGCTCTCATTATCCGGAACAATATCTTTCCCTCCACCAGTGCCCCTCACGACCCCGCCGGAGTATTCATAGTGCTTGAAACGATTTAATGCCCGCTCCAACGATCTATCAGTGCATGTAATCCCGCTGAGACGGTATGCCCGCGCAGGTTTGGCGTTTATGATGGAGAGCCATGATTCTAGTTGTTCTCTAGTGTAGCGATGACCGTTGATGTTGTAGCATTGGCCCCAGACGGTGCAGAGTCTTTCAAGCTCTGGGCGGGTGTAGAGATGCTTGTTGTAAATGTAGAATGTGGCTGTACCGGCGTACACCTTCTTGAGATCACCCTCCCAGTAGTCCGTGCCATCGATATTGTAGTAGCGTTCGAGATGTTCTTGCATGTTTGCTGGCGTTTGGATTTATGGAAGTGGGATGGCGTGGCTATTCAGGTAAAGAAAAAGGATAAGATAGGACGCTGAATGTGACTGGAGCGGGGTGATTACTAAGCTATATGAAGGACGAGGATCTGTGTATTGTGATGCAAGCTTCTAAGAGATTTGTGATTGGGGAATGTTGTAGTTGTTGCGGGAAGGCTGGGCAGTTATTTCGATTTCCATTTGAGTATTTCCCATACCTTGTATGCCGTATTGTCAGGTGGTCACAAAAGGTAAGAGTTGGGATTACACAGAATACATATGTACTAGTTAGAAAAAGAACAAGGAAATAAGCCTTTTCCTTAGCGTGGTATTGATATCTCTATCTACTCTGTATAAAAAAAGGCCCGCCAGCTGCAAAAACTAGTGCAGCAGTACTCGAGTACCATTAAAGCACATGGTAGCCATCAGAAATCCAAATCTGCACTTTTATACACGACCTTCCCACGATTCCAGAGTAGGCCCGCTGCCCCCAATATCACACTCACCCCGAAACCTGTCCAAGTTCGAGGGTCATAATCCTTTCGCATTCGGCCAAATCCTTCTCCTTCTCAGCTAGAAGCTTCCTCAATGTAGCCACCTCAGCCGCAACCTTTTTGTGTCTCTTCACGGCTTCGATCTTGGCGTGGAGATTCGCAATAACTTTGCTCACCATCTCATCCTCTTCATCATCATCCTGGCACTCTGATGCCCGGGGAGTATCTATGCCGTCACCATCAAGCGTAGAGGTCGTCTGTGTGGTTTCCGATTGAGCGTCTTCGTCTTCTGTAGTGGCGACGCCGTTCCAGCGATTTTCGATCGCGAACAAATGCTTGGAGATCTCATTAACGTTGAGAGGACGGGGGGGAGGTGACTGCGGTGGTCCCGGGCGTGTGGAGGACATTTTGTAATAAAGGTTTGTGATGTTTTGGAGTACGTATGTAGGTATGCGGTTGGACTGACGGTGGTGGTGAATGAGTGAGCGCTGGAGCTTCAGTGAGCTAGGTATCTGCAGCTGCTGGAACCTTGCGTGCTGACTGCGGGAGCTTATCCTGGAAAGGATTAGTTGGTTTGACCTTACCTCGAAAGCTCATTCATAGTTAAGCAGTTACCCGGCCGGAAGCCTCTAATTTACTATGCGTGTGTAGTGCTAATTAGTGGTAAACGCTTAGTAATAGGGAAATACGTAGATGAAGCGAGAGAGTAAGCAGAAACCTAGACGATAATTATAGATACATGTACATGTAGGTGATCCTGTTCTCATCATCATCATCACAATAGACGTCTTTAAATGGCTGGTCAAATCTAGTCTCGATAATCCAGCTAGAAGGAAGTTCAGCGGATACATGTAAGTGGCAATATTTGATTTAAACAAATGTTATCAGCCATGGAAAAAATTACGACGTAGTGATACATGCATGATGAAGAGGCTCTTAACTATACTTGCTCCGATTCTAGCTGAATGATCCTCTCACACTCCTTCAGCTCCTCCTCCTTCTTGGCCAGACTTTTCCTCATAAGCGCTACCTCACTACACACTTTCCTATACCTCCTAACAGCCTCTAGCTTTGCTTCTAGCTTTGCCTCAAGATTGTCCACAATCTTCTTTAGATGGCCATCGCCTGCAAGCTCAATATCCATAACTGGCTCTTTCTCTTTCTCTCCATCGCGTCCAGTTGTCTCTGACTCGATGTAATCCGCAAATTCCCGTAACTTCTCGGCGGTAAATGAAGTTTTGCCTATCCTATATTCCGGGTCTCCGGTTTTATGTAACTGGTATATCGCATTTTGAATCTCTGACTTTGCAAAGTTGTTCCAGCCGAAGGGGCCGAAATTGATGCCGGTCTCCCATCTCGAAGCTAGGTTTGTAATTTCTTGTATCGTGACTGCTCGATTGTCAAACAAAAAGTACCCAGGCTTATCGCGGATAGGGGGCAGATTGTGTTCCCAGTATAATACCGAGTTGATGATGAAGTAGCGAGTCAATTTGTAGGCAGGTGCTGGCATTTTTGGGTACCAAAGCGGAGAAAGATACTAGGGTTGTATCACGATCGAACTGTATGTGGTTAATTAGTTGTACGCTAATTTAGTTGGATATATATTTGCCTATTATAAGATTACCCGGCCCTTCTTGTGCACCAGTAATTTTTAAGTTGAGATTTTAGTTTTATTTGGTGATCTTGTCTCGAACCCACACTACAAACCACCAATTACACCGCGGCCCATAATGAGAAAATCACAGAAGCCGATGGCACCACCATCGCGGAAACGGAAATCCGGAACAACCGAAGAACTCACATTCGACGCAACAGCACGACGAGAGTATCTAACCGGCTTCCACAAACGTTTGCTTCTCCAGCATGCTAGATATCTTTCTTTCTTGCAATTGAAGATCTAACGGAAATTCGCAGGGAAGCTTCAACGGATCAAACTCGCCCAAGAGGAGGCCGCCCGCAGGGAAAAAGAAGAGAGGATCGTTGAGCGCAAAAAGGTATATTTATATCGGACTATTATTCGACATCACAATTAGCTCACCCATTTGCTAATTGAGATTTGATTCACGGTAGCTCCGGGACTCCCGGAAAGAGGAATTGGAATCGCACATCGCCGAACTACAATCCCTCTCCCGTAAAGCTGCTGCGCAAGCAAATGGCGATACAGATGGCGACAATGATTCCGACTCCTCTGGTGACGATACTTCTGATTCTGAGGCGGAAGAGCCGGAAGAGCTGAATAAGCAGGAGGAGTATATCGATGAAGACAAGTTCACGACTGTGACGATCGAGGCGATGGATATGGACCCTACAGAAGAGGTAGACAGCGAGACAGAAAGGGCGAACGAGAAGAAGAGGGAGGATGCAGAGAAAGAGAAAGAGAAGGCAAAGAAGAAAAAGCCGAAGGAGAAAAAGAAGAAGTTTAGGTATCTGACAAAAACGGAGAGGAAAGCGGATCGTGTCAAAGTTAGGACGAGGTTGGCAAAGAGGAGGGAAAAGTTTAAGGCAGCGGATGAAGCAAAGGGATCCGGGACGAAAGGTAAAGGGAAGAAGAAGAGGTAGTATGTCTGGTTTTCTTCCTTTTTTCTTTTGTAAATTTCTTTCTTTATTTCTCTTCCAGTGATAAAAGTACTCTGATCATGCACTTAATGGTTTACAAGCGCTCTTGAATTTTCCTATTCTCTTTCTTTTCTTTTTCGTCTGTAGATTAAGCTACATGCAATATGGGTTGAAAGTGATAGTATATGAGAAATTCGGGTTTGAATTGCATGTGTGGTCGTGGGGGGGGGGGTTCAGATCAATGATACCTTAAAGAGTGGAGTTGGTATTAAGTGGTAAAGGTTGCCCAAATCAAATCTGCACCGCCTCCAAAAGAGATAAAGAGGCCTGGTGACCCATTTATACTTTCTTCTGCTCTAATTTATATCCATATTAATTAAACAGTGTCTCAGCTCTCTAGAGTGATGAGGCTTGCTCTCAGGTTGTATGTATCCTTCAATCTTTTCGTCACTTTTAGTATAGCAAAGTCATTTTCTGGGTTCTAACCTATACCATTGACTCCATGTAGTAAAGTGTATACGATACATATAGTAGATTACTTGTTATTGCAACGCTAGATTACATGTACACATGTATGTGGTTACGGTACTGTCGAATGAGGTAAGCCACAATACATGTGTATATAATCAATGTAAACAGCATCGTGTCATCAAATAATATGAGGAGGCACATACGTAATACATGTACAGTACAGATAGGGCTTTATATGTACATACACATATCCCTCAAAGACATACATCTTTCTTAAATGACAACTTGCACCATCACCAATCATCACCATGGAAACCTCGTCAATCCTCAAAAATTTACCAGACGACCTCATTCTTGAGATCTTTGACCATCTTTCCCTTCACTGTGTCAACAAAGTTATCCAAGCAGGGGGTACCGATTTGTCAGTCTCCTCCAGCCATATCTCATTGCGCGCATCAGCAGCGGTTATGAGGGACTTGGTGTCCTTCTCTATGCCACCTCCTCCGGAGATAAACGTCTCACCTCCATCCTCCTGAAGAATTCTCAAAACATCATTGTCGAAGAAGAAATTGAGGATGATGAAAAAGAGACAATTGTCACATATAAAAGTCCTGGACAACCTACTTTCTGCTTTTTGCTCGAAGACGAAGAGCTTAAATTCTATGACCAAGTTTCCGAAGCAACAGCATTGCATTGGGCAATCCGCAACAGCGACTACCGCACAACGCAAAGCATCCTTGAATCCTTCAAGTGTACTTGTGATACATACAGTAGCTGTCTGCTCCATGCTGAAGGGACCCTCGACGAGGAAGCTCCTGCCGAATTTCAATTCCCCCCGCCCCTCCTACATCCATGTATGATTGGAGATTTAAGAATGGTTCAATTGATCTTATCTTTCACCGGCTTTTCACGTCTCCCATCCAACACAGCAATCACTGGAAAGGACGCCTTCACCGGCCGCACCGCGCTGCACCTTGCATGTATTAACGGCAATGATCAAGTCCTAAGACTCCTCCTCCTCAGTAGTGGCGCCTCGGCCGGAGGCCAAGCGCAAATGATGGACAATTCGGGAATGACACCAATCGATTATGCTGTGAAGTATAAGCACAGGGAACTTATTCGCCGAATTGTCTTGAGTACCAGAGGTAGTTTTCATAACGGGGACCCACGCAGCCGCACAGTGCTTATGATCGCTGCAGCGCATTGTTTTAATAGTCTCGCGGAGGAGCAACTTGAAAAATCTCTAGATGACCCCGAAGGACAAGACTCGACACTAATGACACCGCTGCATTATGCAGCGGCCGGAAGTAACGCAGCTGTTACGAAAATGCTGTTAAAGATGGGAGTCTTCGTTGACCCGGTGGATCATACTGGACGGACGCCACTCCATATTGCGGCACGCATAGGGAACGCAAAGATTTTGCGACAGTTGTTAGCGTGTGGTGCGGGGAAGAATGCGAGAGATAAATATGGGATGACACCGTTGCATTTGGCTTGCAGGGGTGGATCTGTAAAGATCGTGGCGATGTTGTTGCGGGCAGGCTCAGAGAAGTATATCAACGTGGTAGACAAATTTAAGAGGACGCCGCTGCATATCTGTGCGAGGCACAGGAGTAGTAACGCAGCATGTGAGTTGTTGGTGAAGAAAGGAGCGGATTTGACAGCACTAGATGTCAATGGAAAGTTACCGAACTGGCCGGTGGTGAAAAAGGATAAATGATTGGATTTTAGTGTTTTAAGACTGAAGTCTATCGCTGTATATACTGTGTATAATGGCATGAGATTAAACATTTTAAAACTTTACGCTATGGCTTTATATCACATCCATGAGTGGACTGCAAGTCTAATCAGAAACAAGGCTGGGAATACATTCTCCTAGTTTCGAGTCTTATCTCCAGATATCCTGCTTTATCTGATGCGTCAGGTGGATGTAAAGGTGTCACAGGATACAACCTCCAAGCGACGCTTGGATTGCTCAAAGGTTATTACTGGCTGAATTAAAGCCCACGAGATATCTAAGTTCAACAGCTTTAGTTAAAAATTCTTCCCCAAGAGTAGTACCACCCCTTCACCACACGCACACAAGGCATTGTCGAAGATGTAATAGATGCCTCAATGGAGATCGCTCTTATTAAATCTTTATTCGGCTTGCTTCTATTAGTTGTACCAAGGATAATCTATCTAGATCAAGGGATATATTATTGTAGTAGAATATAGAGCACTCGAGTAAGACAGAAATCAGTAAAACTCTCAAGGCTTGATACGTCATGAAATATCACTCGGGTCAATAATTTTCATGGAATTGACAGTGACCTGATATCCATATAGTACATACAGTCCGACACACTTGTATTTACCTGAAATATTCAGAATAGTTGTGGATAAATATATAGTTCGTGGGTACATGTAGTAACTTATCCTCATGAAATATCACTCGCATACATTGTCTTTCTGGGTGTGTTGTGAAGAGCTGATGCTCAGTATTCCTTTATCTGTGCCCTCCATATTTTGATATTTGGTCGGTCGGGGTTCTCAGCAGAGGGATGTGCTTATATTGAAGATTCGGAGATCTTTCGTTTTTGAATTTTCTAAATTGGATATGAAGGTGCTGTCTCAATTGCTTTTGGATGAAATTAACATCTGGTTATTATGTTTGAGCGCGCTACAGTCGACTCACTATATATTTGTAATAGTATTGCCTCTGCTAGTTCTTAGAGCCGGGTATACGCCAGTGTAGTTGATGCCTTCAGAGACGATATTTGTCGTCACATGATTCAGGACATGTATATATAATTCCAATATTAATCGATGTAGTATTGTTAGATTGTAATTTGTTTTTTAGTGGCTGATAAGCGCTCGCCCCTGGCCATCGGTTGTAATCATCTAGGCCCTCGTTTTTAGTTTAAAATCCAAAGCGTATACGATGGTCAATTGATCGGTGTTTCGCTTATCATATGCGTCAACTCAGCAGAATAAGTAAAGTTAGTTATTAAGCCGGGAGGCCTATGAAGAGGGGCGGGGGATGCCCTGTAGATTTTGATGTATAACAAGTGAATTGTCAGTATCTTTCATCATTATCTTTTAGGATGCTTAATTAATGTTAAATAGAGACTTTGATTTGGGGGGGGGGGGGGGCGGCATGGAAAATTGTAAAGTTTGCGGGGAGAAACAAAGGGAAGAGGCATGCATATATCACTGAGATGCAGTAATAATTAACCGCAGGCCGGAGCACTTTTTTATTTTTCTCCAACCACAGTATTTCGCTCCAACTCCCAAATGTTAACGCTTAAAGTCCAGGATCGGACTCTCGCGGATAGTGATCGCGAAACGAGTACGCATCTATTATTGTGCATAGAATTAACCTGTATTTCGAAGACGGCTGATCAGTGGAGGAGCAAAAGTGGAGCTTCTTTTTTTTAAGACGAATTTTGAATCGATCTGGAGTTTATATACTCATGGGGAGGTCTTTGGATAACGATAGTGTATTTTTACTCCTAAATAGACGCTATTGGCACAATCACTCTTCGGGGTGCCTTAAACATGAAGAAAAAAGAAGCCTGGTTTCGGAATCCTTATTTCTGAACCTTAATGACCAGGTATGGGGCATGAGGCGGTAGATTGAGATTGTTTCGGGGTCGGGAGTGGGGGTTTGGGTTCTGTTATAAAGCCAACAAGCAAGCCAGTGGGCTATAAGTGGTCAGCAAAAAATAATAATAGTTCTAATTTACCGTCCAATGCCTGGTAGAGGAATAAAAAACTCTGGAACCGTGTGGGAACCATAACCTGAAGGGGATGAATAGGAGAGCGGGTGAGCGAGCCAGCAGAAGGGCAGAATACTTAGGAGATGGGTTGAGAGAAAGATACCTTGCTAGTGGGTAGCACCTAGCCATGTCATTGTAAGCTGACCTCCTGAGAGGCTTCAGATGGCCTTTGCAAAGGGCTGATCCAATTGGCCGATGTATCAGTCAAACAAGACACCCGCATGCTACAACTAATACCAATTAGTGACACATATATAACTTAAGACTGGGTTTCGAATCATATCCCATTTAATGGGTCATGGAGATGTTACACGCATGTATATATGCACACAATATTGCCCCCTCATCCGAACAACTAGCATGGAAATAACCGTCTTCTAGACTTTCCTCAGCAAGCACATATCAACCAATTAGCAGAGAGCTGCCCGAGGGACTGTCGAAAGCGTTGGGAGATTGGTTAAGTGACCAGACCGTTCTGAATCTGGGCGCCATATGGGAGATCCCGTACACGTGGTACCAACACCCGCCGCAAATTCTGGACTGCCTGTATCCAATTGTCGAGAATAGAAGTCTTATTGTGAGAACATACCAAGGCGGACAGGCGATTTTTCACGACCTTTTACTGAACGCCTAAGTATATTGGAGGATAATTTGATAGCATATATAGCTGGAATCATGGTCATGGTCATGATCAGCTAGACTTTGGGATAGTACGGTATCTAGAGTGAATATCTCGATATCTACCTTTATCGATCTCTTTAGGCCCAAAATTTACCATTTGCCCCATAGGCTCTGTTTATGTAGATCTGAATAGGCACATGTAAGTACTACATGTAATATTTCGATACTCGCACGTGACTCGTGTCTCAGCCCTAAACCTTGTCCTCTTGTCCTCGACAAGGGTCAAGGGGTATCCCAAACCTTAAATAACAAATCAGCCCAGAATTTTCGCTAACCGCTGAATAAATACAATAATGGACAGCGGCAAGAACATAGAAATGAGAATAATTTCGGTTCTTGAGGCAGAACTCATACTTCGGTAGGTTTCCCAATTGCTGAAACGTTGCCAAACACCGGCGCTATGGGTAAATACATGTATACAACGTCCTTTGAGATACTGGGGGCCTCTTCGAATTCCCTACCTATGACTATATCCATGCCCACGGACAATTGAGAGAGAGTGGGATCTGTGGGACTCTGGCGACGTTTCTGAGCGACCGTGGCGATTTCCACCACGAAATCAGCCCCTCTTTTCCGCTCCCCCCGAAAGTTCGGATGACGATTTCGGAAGATTGCTTCTGCAGTGGGATGCAGAGGAATGGTTTCCTTTGTTTTGTTGACTGGGGTAAAGTCACAAGGGGATAATTCCACGAATGATAGTACATGTAGTTTCTCAAAGAGGACCGGGTGGGAAGTGTTGTTGGCAGGCCCAACGTGTGTGATTTGTGTCGGGAAATGTTCTCGTAATACCCTACATTTATCGAAATTGATATGTACTGATGAAATCGATGCTTGTGTACGGATATGATGTCCGACTTGAAGATACAGTTCACTCAAATTGATGCATTTCACACGAGAATTTTAGCGAGAGAATATGCATTTTTAGCTGCTTGGTAGATATTGAGAAGTAGAACGCATGCCAGCACGCAGGAGCTTCTGCTTCTCAAAACCACTTGAGGAGGCATTACATGGAATGGTATGTAGCTACCAGTACCCGCCAATAGCCCTTTTATCTCAGTTTGTTTAATTAAAGAGTATCTACGCTTTCCCCGCTCTAGATATTCCTTCTTTCCCTAAAGAGACCTTATCTTTCTGCTTGTTGTTCGACACTTGATTCTTGGTTGCGTTTTCTAACTTGACACCCCCCCCCCCCCAAAGCCGGATCAGTCATCATCATCTTTCTCTTCCATCCTTCCTCTAATCTCCTGCTCCTCCTTCTGCTCCTCCTTCTCCCATCTTCCTGCCCGTCCTTTTGCCATCATTCCACCCCCTAATTCCTTATTCATCTAATCCTTAAGCTTATCCATCAGGTATCTCGCTGCTGTCTGTTGCCGAACCACGGATAACTGCTGGACCTGTGCTTGAATACATATTCTATCCACCAATCTATCATGTCCATGGGGCTCGTGCTCACCCCGCAAGCTCACCTCTCCCCACTGGAGGCGCTTCTCACGATCTATACACCAATTTTGGAATGCCTTGTGAATCATCTACATACGCCTTCAAAGATCGCTTTATCCCAGACTTCTAAGCATGTTCGTCAACTCTTGTACAGCTACCCACTGTTCTTCTCACATCTCGACTTTCGCCTCCCAGTCGTAGAGAACCTATCTTTCGACTCATATCGCTTAGGGACAGTCTACAACTTGGATCGGCTCCTTGCAACCTTGCCAATCGAGAATAGGATAACCTCCCTGACTCTCGACTGGACTGCTGTCACGGGATATTTTCTTTTCGGGAAGATCATGGACAGGTGCCAAAATACATTAGAGCACCTTTCCGTGAGAGGGTGTAGGAAGGTATCGATAAAACATCACATAGTACCCTACCTCGTTTACCAGGATTCTGTCGAGCCACTGTCTGTTTCTACCGTGACTTCTCCCAAGAGAGCCCTTAAATCGCTTTACGTCTATAAAGCTCGTGGTGTGCGTCGCAAGCCATTTCTTATCGACCGTAAGCCAGCGGACGGAGATGAACCGAGTAGGTACCTGACGACGTTGGCCGATAAGCTGGGAATATGGGTCGACTTGGGTTTGTGTCCAACCCCCAAGCTGAGATGTCCGAGGCGAAGGGAAATTTTGAGGCGAGGAAAAGAAAAGTTCTGTGTACCTTTCGATAAGCGGTGGAGGGTCCTTATGGAACAGGGAGCGAACAATGCTGCGGCCCCGCATTTGACCCTACTATCGCCCCATGAGCACGCTCAGCGCCGACGGTTTGAAGAAACTCAAGGCACAGGGATAGCATGTGACAATTGCGATGTAGCCATATTGGATCGTTGCGAGGCTTGTGTACAGCAGATGACCTGCTCAAATTGCGCAAAAGCTCTATGCCATCACTGCGCATACGCTCGTCCGGCTAGCCCCTCGCCCTCATCGGTAGACTCGGATGAATCTGTTACCAATCCCTTAATCCAAACCGCCCAGAATGCACAACCATTCATTCCTATACCGGGGGCGGTAGCAGCTCACAATTTTCACAACAACAATGCTGCAACGGCGCCGATCCCAATACCAGGAGCGGCTGCGGCTAGTTCAGAAACAAATCCCGTAATGCATCTCCTCCAGGCATGTTGCGATTCGGCCACGGCAGCCAACCCTGCGGACATCTTGTGTTCGAGTTGTATGGGCTCTATCACCTGGGACACGTGCGACGGCTGCCAGAGGCAAATTTGTAAAAAGCATGAGTTGGACCGTTGCCGGAAGTGTGAAGGCGGTTGTCGGAGAATATTTTGTTTCTCAAACGATTCGACATCTCCTGTGCCCGGCTGTGGGGAATCAATAACTGGGAGGGCTGGGATGAAGGATTGTCTTACTTGTGGCAAAGATGTGTGTAGTGATTGTCGGAGCCGTACACTCACGTCGTCTCCATCAATGACTAATGCTGCTTCCTCCGATGATGGTACAGAGACAGAAGAGCAGGAAGAAGAAATACCCCGTAAGACATCCTGCAATTGCAAAGCTTGCAAGCAAAGTTTTTACTGCACAACTTGCTGGCCAAGTAAACCAACACCCTGCGAAAGGAGGCCAAAAGAGATTCTTAGTCACAAAACAGTCGAGGGCGATACGGTGATATATTTGGTCACTTTTTACGATTCTGAGGAGCAACAAAAGAGATGGATGACGAAGCAGAGGATTCTAGAAGATTTCTTGAATACCGGGGCCCAGAGTTGATCGCTGCATTTGAGGACTCTCTAATAATCTCAAAGCCAATGGACCTCCTGGTTAGCCCGCCGCCACCAATGACCACACCGGAATCCTCGGTACATGGAGATGATCCGAAAGTTAGGGACGAAGAAGAGGACAACGAAAAGATACAAGTGGGGGAAAGCGAATTGATTATGGAAAGGGTTTTGGGCAAAAGGCAGCATGACCCGGGTCCGCTGGGCCAAACCGGGCCAGGCTCCGTTGATTCGTACGATTATCTGTGCAAATGGCTCGGCAGGGGGATGAGTGCACATGGGTGCACAAGAGCTCATTCAGAGAAAGGTCCAGAGAACGGATGATGATGGATAGGTTCGACCGGAATGGCCCGGATAGAACTACAGGGGATGAGGAAGGGGAATCATCGAGAGAAGCAGAGCTTAGGGCAGAGGGAGAAAATGGGGGGAAGGATCATCAATGGCACTTGGGGACCTTTAATCTAGGATTCGAATATCAGGTTGCTATATTTCCGATCTTTAACAACGCAAAAAAACTGTTGTTTTCAAAGCTGTTTATTTTTGCATATATTATTTGGTTGATTTCGAGTGTTTACCGCGTTTTGTGATAACTGGATTGGGATAGGAAGGGTTTAAACGTCATGATAAGGCGTGACGGGGTGTTCTTTTCTTTTGGTTTCTCTGTTTACGAATTTGGTTATCTCCCGCGGGTACAATGTACTGCGGACCAGACTGACAGCGGCATAAAATTTGTTTTTTTTCCTTTCATTTTGGGAGTGGTTGGGACTTTTCGGCGATATCATATGGGTGTTATATTTTCTCTCATTATTCTTATGTTTTCTCTTTTCATTTTTTATTTTTCCTTTTCGTATTTTTCGTTTGCTCTTTTGGTTCTCTTTTGAAAAGCCGAAGTGATTATATCTCGGCTTATAGCACTTCCTTTCTTTCTTCAATCATGATTCCCTCATCCATAATTTCTCTTTTTTCATGACGGAATTTTTCTTTCTTCATGACCCTTCGTTTCCTCTATTCTTGGGTTGTTGCCGCAATTTGTTGACCGTCAAACTTGATGTGTTTTTTTTTGTTCTTGCATGATCATGAGATGCGTGTGAGTGCGCGCATACCTGTTTGTAGTAATCTCGAGGCGGGGGAAGGGGAAGGTTTGGGGGAGGGGCAGGAGTTTGAAAGGGAAGAAGCCCGGCCAGGGCTGTATTGGTTTATTTACTTAGTTATTTATCTATCTACACTCCATTCTTTCTTTGCAGGGCGCAAGAAGAGTCAAAACGCACAGCTATCTCTCTAGAATGACGGCTCACTGCTTTCTATTTCAGATATTCATCCACGCACTATTACATGGGTGGGTGGTTACTTGAGGGACGATTTGCCAGAGGGATACACACCTTCTGTTTGTCACGGCTATGTTATATCTATATCCTTCTTAAGGCACTCGAAATCCAGATAGATATAGACCTTGGTCACTAATGGCCATTAAACAACCATTCCAAATGACCCCCCTGCCAACATAGTTATAAAAAACAATTATCAGGCATCCATTGATCAGTATATAGTTGCGCCAAGGCCTCCAATTCTTATGTATGGGGTCTTTCTTGGAAAACTCCGAAAGCCGCATTCATTTAACTCCGTTGACAGCTGCAAGGCGACTGGCAGTCAGTCTGGATCCGTTGAGTAGACCGTGTGCACCTGTGCCGAGAATGTACCTGTGCTGAGCATCTTATCTGATCTCTAGGGATCCGCTCCAAATGGTGGCTAAAATGCTGCCTTTATTATAAGGTGCTCAGCACAGGTACATGCTCGACACAGGTGCACACGGTCTAATATTTAGCATTCAGAGTCAGACCGGAAGATCTATTGTAGTAAGCGTGGTAGTTTCAGGCGTTGTTTTTGAACGAAGTAAGCGGTTTGCTTACTTAGCTACCTATGTAGGCAGCATCCAGCAACATTCCTCAGCACACATTAGAACTACCTATAAGCGAGGTATACGATTCAGAACAAGATATCCGGCTTTGATGAATGTTTTATGGGTGAAGTAGACGTTGGTTGTGTGGAGGTGGTAGTGCGGCGTGGAGGCGGGTTGGGCGGTCTATGCTTGCCGCTTTATGCCGCCGTGCCCGCAACCCACGGCCTGCCAAGAAGAGACTCCGTGTTATTTGCGTAGGGCGACGCTTGATATAGAGTTTTACCGACCCTCACAATTTAGAGCACTCCCAACAGTCCTAAAGATAGGTAAATCAGCTACATCTCAAGGGTTAGGGTTAGAATAGATGTATTGCTGACAAAGTATGACCGCCTTGGCATTGACACAACCAACAGGTGAATTCGCGACTCATCTCACCGACACTGACATCAGCTGAGTAGTTAAATAATCCAGTTTGCCAAATACAGTCTTTCTGATCTCACGGCATCTCAGAGGTGTAGTTTACAGGCAGATGCGATTGTATATACCCCCGAGTGATAGTGTATGAACAAGATTTATTTCCACGAATTACTCCAAAACACTCTAGAGAGGAGGAAACTAGCTACATGATGTACGTAACAACAAGAAATCAAAAATAGAATAGAAATTAAATACAATCAACCAAGGCGTGTTGGGGCTAGTCCGGGCCCAGTTTCTTTTCTTTTCGACTGAGAGTTTATGTTTGGTGTTGGAGGTGAAATGCGGGATCGGAAGTTCTGAGCAGGCGGGATTGAGGGGTGTATGTTGGAGCGTTCCGGTCTATGCTGGTTGTTTGCATTTGGGTCAGCATGTAGTACATTGAAATACAGCGATGCTGTAGTTATTCTCATGGTATGTGAGGTCTATTCTCTGGCTTTGCTTACCTGACTAACGGCAACCTGGGCTTCGATGGACTCTTCCCAGATACTCTCGGAGTCGTGGGTAATAACACACTCGCTGGATTCTGGTAGACCGACAGAAAGATGCCCGAGGAGGAGGCCGTACCTCCATCACTACTATCGTCGGCGTCGGATTGTACTGACATTCCAGATTGCTCTTCGGAGGAGGTACTCGCTCGAGGCTTTCGTGGGCTGTAGTTCGCCAGATTCCTATACGTGGCGAGCTGAAGTCTCTCTGGGCTGCCACGGTTTCCTCTCTCGTTCTTTTCTGTGTCTGTGTCTCCTTCGTCACTTGCAGTCGATGATTCATCAAGCTCCGACTCATCTTCCGCATTCTCATCTGATTCGGTGGCCTCTCCTGGCTTCTCTTGCGCAGTACTTGCCTCTCCACTCCCGTCTTCACTGTCGTCCTCACCCCCTTCTTCTTCTTCTTCATCATCCCCCTCATCGCCTGATTCTTCATGTTCTTCATCTTCTTCATCTTCTTCACCTTCTTCACCTTCTTCATCCTCTACACCCTCTACACCACTATCGTCGATATCGGTCTCTTCTTGATCTAGATCTTGACTACTTTGTGACTCAGCCCCACTTTCGTTTTTACCCTGATCTTCGTCATGATCATCACTATCTTCTTCTACCACTCCTTGTGACTTTGCTACTAACAAGTTTGCGGATTCAACGCTTTCCCCAGAGTGCCATTTACGCCGCTTACCGGGTCTTCCAACTCCATGTGGTGATACATAACGTTTCATCTTAGACCTTGTAACGAAAGCTTTAAGCCTGATATTGTCTGCTTCTAGTGTTCCACTGGGCGCGGGGGCAACAGCGAAGTGTAATAATGGATTCATGTCTGTATGCAACCTCCTCCTCTTGGCGGCATAATAGCTTGCCCCCTCGTACACAAGGATTCCATGCTTTCTCATAGCTGGGGCAGGAGGGGCAGGAGGAGGGGGAGGGGCAGAATCAGCAGGGGGAGGGGGAGGGGGGCCAGAATCAGCAGGAGGCGGAGCAGGGGGAGGAGGAGGAGGAGCTATCTGAGCTAGCCTTAAGGGTATTGATGCCTCCTCCATCACCGTGATAGCTTCGGGCGTGAGGTTAGCTGCCGTTGCCCACGCGGCTAGTACTTCTGGGGGTGGTGCGAGAGCAGGGCCTCTCGCACCTACGGCAGCAACTAAGGCAGCATTTAGCGTGATTGCTTGTGCTTGTCTCCCTAATATAGACAAAGATGTCAACATCCTAGTAATGTGATTATGGTTGATATTGACAGGATTCAACCAGCTCATGAACCCAGGGGATCTAGCAGCAACTCCTTTGGCAATAAACGTTTTGGCCGGGCCGGTGTGAATGTGAGTGATTGCCCCTTGCGGAACAGAGAAACCTAGGTGCCTCATGAAGTAGTTTATGCCCATATTATATTTCTGGTAAGGCTGGTTTCCACCAGCGAATGCTGCGAGTGTTACTGGGGTTATCATTGGCGCTGGTGCGTAACCTGTATTGTCGTACGTCGGAAACATGAAAGATACCCAAGCACCAGGAGGTGCGTCCAATATCACGCGCGAGGTCACTTTCCTCATTCCCGTGGAAAAGCGCAATCCACTCCCTGGATTTATAGGCTGTGCTAATCTGCCACACAAGAATTCAATAATCGGGCATGGGTCTGGGTTAGGTACTGCTGCCCTTTCTGCTGCCTTCCTGGCTATTTCATCCGCAATGGCCTTGGCTGCCTTCGCCGCTGCGTCCAACTTGAGGGCTCTCCTTGCCCTCTTTCGTGCCCTGCTCCCCGCCTTTTTTTCCTGCCTTGCTTTCGTGGCTGCCTTTCCCGCTTTTGCTTCTGCGCTCATCGCATCTGCCTTCGCCTTCTCCTTTGCAGCCTTTGCAGCTGCCCGGGTATTTTGTTTGGCCGCCCTTTTTTGTGCCCTTTCGAGCCTGGCCGCCCTCCTTACTACTCTTGCTGCCTTCTCCGCATCTGTCATAGCATCCTTTTTGGAAGTTTTACCTTCCTTCTCCGCAGCTACAGCTGCTGCTATCGCCTCCATTATTCCCGCATATTCCTCTTCGGCGCCTTCAATTCCCGTAGCAAAGGCTTGAAGCGCTTCATCATTTGCCGCTATTTTCTGTGTGACGGTGTCAACCGCCGTAAGACCTCCTTTGCTAGAGGCCTTTAGATTGGCCGCCTGTTTCATTTGTGCTGCATCAAGACCCGTTGTTTCTTCGATAGCGGTCAATGCCGCCCTTTTGGCTTCTCTTTGTGCTGCCTCTGCACCGAGGTTGTCGAGAGTGGCCTGGTTTGCCGCTCTGGTCTCTTGCATGGCGGCTTGCTGGGCGATAAATCCGGCGCGTCGTGCCCTGGAGGCGCGGGCGTTGCCTTTGAGCACATCGGAATCCTTGAGGAGGCTCTCGTCCCCATTGTCGTCATCTTCGCTGATTTCGCTAAGCGGGTCGTCGGCTTCCTCTTCCTCTTCCTCGGCATCATCGTCATCGGCGTCATCGTCGCTAGGTACGTCGTCATCATCTAGATTGTCGCCTTCAACATCATCTTCAGGATCAGTGTCGTCTGAGGCGGGCTCAAGGGATGACGACCGATCTTCCTCTGGTTCCTTCTTCTCCTTCTCCTTGGGCACATCCTCTGGCACATCCTCTGGCACATCCTCTGGGTCATCCTCTGGGTCATCCTCTGGGTCCTCCCCTTCGGGTCCTTGATCATCCTTCGTGGTACCATCATGCGCACGATAAGGGCGGTAGGGAATAGCACGGGGGACTGGAAGTTCAGCCGTGGCGGCCAAAACTACAGCGGCGTTACCGACGAAGCAAGGGGGTAGTGGTACCGGAGGCCAGCCCGCGGTTATGTCAGGAGAAGCTATCCCGTGTATAGTGAATGGGACAGTGCTGTTTGCGGCTAGTCTCCATCTGTGGAACCACTTGACCTGCTCAGAGATTGCTATCAGGGTTGCCTTTGCAGGGTATGCGGTTCGTAGCTTGCCCAAGAACTGGTTCACTTCAAGTGAGATCCATCCTATGAAGTCTGCAGGTAGAGGAACTCGATTGCACTTTGCCCTGTGCTCTTCAAGTGTCTTTATGAGATTGCACGAGAATTAGTCGAATAAAGAAGGCGGGGAGCAGAGGGGGGAGAGGGGAAGGATAAGGTGAAGATAAAAATGTTATGGAAGAATTTTGCATTACCTCTGCTGCGGGACGCTCCTCACCATCTATTTTGTACGGCCTCCTGCGGAGTCTTCTACGGCAAGAGGGGCAGAACACATGGCGGACTGCTCTTGCATACTCTTGTGCTTGAGAGTTGCTCAGTTCGGTGTTGTAGGGATACCTTATAACAGTACGAACAGCATCGACCGAGAGATTTCGAGGAATGTTGTCCTATCCCAGTCTTTAGTAAGAGTCTTAATTGTGTGTGTGTGGGGTGGGGGGGGGGGGGGGGGAACGTATGAATTCGTACATAAATGAGTTCAAGACCATAAGTGTCGTCGCCCATCGCATCCATTTGAGCGTACAGATGATTCAAATCAGCCCTATTCCTCCTCGGCAGAGTCGCAAAGCTCCGTCCATCGAGTGGATTGGCATTCCCCCACTGCGCCAGGTGGTTATAGCCCGCCCGCCGCCTCTGGTACGGGCACCGTATCCTGTGGTTCCTGTTCTGCAGATCTACAGAGGCTGGAAGGTCAGGGAGTTGAGCCCTTCGTTCAGCACCCGTGAACCAGAGTTTTCTCTGTGGTTGTTATGATTAGTTATGATTTTTTTCTCTTTTTGCAGGGTATTGTTTGGGTCAATGATACGCACCATGCCGACTTCTGTAAACTCTATACCGCAGTGCTGGCAATGCGTCCGCTGGTCGATATAGATCCATCGCCTCATTGCATGGTCGTCGTATTCCAAATCTATTTGAGTCCATTGTGTTAGAAAAAAATGGAACCTTTTTTGTGCCAAAGTGCTTGAGGGCGGGAAAAAATGGATGACACGAATGCATACCTAGTGCTCCGGGCCCGTGTATCATCTCGTCGGCGCGTGGAAACGGTTCGTCGTCAGTTTCGCGAGCAAGATCGGCTAATAGATGGGCTTTTTTCTCCTAGAGTGCTGTTTTAGTATTTTGGGCTTTCTCTTGGGAAAATCAATGCAATGCAATGCAATGCTTTGAGCGCTGGGTATAAATTGATAATGGGGATCGTGGAGTGGAATTGGGTCAACATGTAACGCGGATCAAAGCAGAAACAAAGCAGTAATAGGGATATTAGGATAGCAAGGTTTGGATTTGGATTTGTTTAATTCATTTCAGATTTGGGGGAGTGTTTGCACTAATTTCAAAACCCTCTACCAGAAGCAGACGCAGACGCACAGGTGCAATGAGTAAAAAGACAAGAAAAAGGAAAAGTACCCACATCATAAGCCAGAGCACCAATGTTAAGTTGGCAGTAAGGGCAGGTATTCATCTGCAGCCCGTGGTTAATCTCAACAGTGAACGAGATGCTATCAATCATGTCCGCGAAGGCGTGAGCCCGCCCCTCCTCCCGCTCTATCCTCGCTAGAATCGCTCTATCCTCGTCACTAAGCGGCGGAGGCGACCCTTCATCAGCCGGGTCATCATCATCCGTCACATCGTCGTCCGACACCAGATCCCGCTCCTTCTGCGCCTTCAGCTGTGCCTGCCGGCGCCTCTCCGCCTCCGCCTCCGCCTCCGCCGCCGTCTTTGCTGCTTTTGCTGCTGCCGCCGCCTTCGCAGCCGCCGACAACTTTTCCGCATCGGCCCTCGCCCTCTCCGCCGCCGCCCTCTCCGCCGTAGTTTTCTCCTTCTGGCCACCATGCTTTTGCTCCGCGGTCTCCTGTGCCGCCTTCTCCTGCGCCGCCTGCTTCTCCTTCGCCGCCAGCGCCAGCGTTATCAGCCTCATCTCCTCAATATCCGCATCGCGCCGCTTCCTCGCCTCCTCCGCCCGCCTCGCCGTGCGCCGCGCCGTCAGCTTCGCCGTAACCTCCGGCGGCAGGTCCAGCGGATCCGACTCGGACGACAGCGACGACAGCGCCCGCTCATACGGCGGGTCCTTCTCCGCGCCCTCCTGCTTCGCGTCCTTCTCCCCCGCGGCCTCCTCCTTGGCCTCGAGGCCCAGGGCCTCGCGCTTCGCCTGCGCGGCCTTTGCGGCCTCCTGCTGCGCCATCAGGAGGTCGTAGATCTCGGACGTGTCGGTCATCTTGCGGTCCATCTCGAGCTTCTGCCGCGCGCGCAGCGCCGCCGTTTCGGCGGCCTCGGCGGCAATTTCGTCGGCTGTGGGCGGCACGGGTGGGGGGAGGTCGCCGAATTCGTCGGCGGGCTCGGGGGGCGCTTTGAATTCGGGGCGTTGGGGCGGGGAGCGCCGGGGGGGTGGTGGAGGTGGCGGTAGGGGGAGGGCGGTGAGTGGGGGGGCGGTTTCGGTCGGGAGACCGGACCGTGGGGTGTCGGTGATGAAGCCTAGTCCTGTCATGGTGGAGGTGGAATGGATTGATTTGTTTTAAGGGTTTTTTTATATATGGATATCCCAGGAATCCCTTTTTTTTCTTTTCTCCTCAGGGATGAAGTTGAGGGGACCGATATCGTCGTGCTGGCCCGGGAGGGTGAGAGAGTGAGAAAGAGGAAAAAATAAGCAAGTTCATCTGCAATCCTAGGGAGCCCTTGGGTCTTTGAAGTATATGGGTTCTCGATGGATGGGGGGTGGTGTAGACATATTCTTTGTCTCCAACAATGCCGCTACAGGTGGAAAGTTTATCTGCGCAAACTGACCAATCAGTCGGTGGCATCGCAACCAACCAGGGAAGACGCTTGATGAAGCTCACTTGTTTATAATATGCCTCTTTGTTTGATTGGGCAGACATTTTCATTGTTTTGGCTCTTTCGGTAACAATGAGTGGGTGAGTTCAACCTCCAGTGTTGGTCCCAACGTCGGCCAGCTGCTACTCACTCATGACGGCTCTGCATACACACACAAATAAACACTGGTTGCATGCGAGTTTATTTGGTCAATTGGATTGTTTGTTGCGGTCCACACCCCATGGTGATATATATCTGTAGCTTGTCGGGCTGGCAACAAAGCTCGGAGGTTCAAACCGTGCCGGTGTTGTAGCTCGCAGCGCTGTCTGTGATCGACGGCACGAAGCACTGAAATCGCAGCTGCTACATATGTAGTACATGATTTCTTCGTGGGTGCGGTCTTGTTTATATATATGGGCAGAACATTGAATATGCGTGCAGCCAGTCTTGGACAACTTTAAGAAGCAAGAAGGTCAGCATGCGTAGTTAATAGTTATCTCTTCCAGGAGCATCCCATATTATAACCCGACCGCCGCATTCCCGCGCTCACCCCCGAGGACTATGTACATACCACCAGTACTGCCTGTAGTCACCTAGGTACGACTGAGAGCTCTCCTCTGAGCACCTGTAAATTGCGTCGCTCGTCCATAAATGTGCACGTGGAGTACATGTATGTACTTGGCTGATCGGGCGGGAGTGTCCAGTGTGTATGTACATGTAGTCGTCTTTGGAGGGCTCGAGATAGCGCCGTTCGGTGCACCTTCTCGACCAGGATGTACATGTAAGCACGGGAGCTACCGGGATAAAAAAACGTCTCGGGGGAAAAAAAAAAAAGATCGGATGGGAGGATCGATGAATAAGCGATCTTTAAACGGCGGTCCTCACCAACCTCACCAACACTCACTCTCTCTCCACCGCCTCTTCCACCCTCTGAAATAAAACCTCAGGTCCCTACTTTGTCCGACATCCACATCCACCACGAACAACTCTTCCTACTACGCCCACAGCTACCTTGAAGAGCGCCCCCGCCACCACCAAATCAATTACAACTTCTTTACCTTCAACTCCTCCTCCTCCTCCGTCAGATTATATCTTCACCATGGGCTGGTTCTGGGCTGATCCCGTTGAACCCACCGCCAGTGCTCCCGCACCCCGCCGAGGCCCCCCCCCAAACCACCCCACCAGTGGCAAGCCTCCCGTAAGACCCCCGCCCCCCCACCCCCCCCCCACCCCCCCCAAAGCTCCCCCATTGACCCCAGCTAAAAATCCAACCCATACCCGCAGGCATCATGCCCCATGCACAAGCCCGAGACCGCTGCGCCCCCCAAGGACGCCGCCGCCTGCCCCTACGTGCCCCCCGGGAGCGAGGAGAAAGAGCCCTCGGACTCAGGCATGAACCCTCTCAACTTCATGTTCTCCAACCTTCCACAGACGCGCGCGCCGGGCCAGAAGCTCGTTCTGCCGACGGAGCGCGAGGTGTCGTCGATCCCGCGCGGCGCCGACAAGGGCGAGGGCAACTGGGAGTACCCGTCGCCGCAGCAGATGTACAACGCCATGAAGCGCAAGGGCAACGACCACATCCCCGAGGACGCAGTCGAGAGCATGGTGGCCGTGCACAACTTTCTCAACGAGGGCGCGTGGGGCGAGATTGTCGAGTGGGAGCGGCAGTTTGGCGGCGGCGTGATGAATGCGCTGCGGGAGAAGCAGGCGCAGGATGCGCAGGCGGAGGCGGAGAGGGAGAGGGAGAGGGAGAGTGAGGGTCAGCAGCCGTGGCCGAGGCTGTTGAGGTTCCAGGGGAGGAGTAAGGAGTTGACGCCGAAGGCGAGGATCTTGCAGATGCTGGGGAGGGTATATCCTGAGAAATACGGGTAGGTTTTTTCTTTTTCTTTCCTTTTTTCTTGGTTTTTCTCGTGGTGGATCGTGTGCTGATGACAGGAGAAGACCCCCGCCGTTTGACAGACACGACTGGTACGTCCTCCGCGAAGACGGCCAGGAGGTGCGCTACGTCATCGACTACTACTCCGGCGCGCCCGAGCCCACCGGCGAGCCCGTGTTCTACCTCGACGTCCGTCCAGCCATCGACAGGCCCTCCGCCATCGCGGAGCGCGCCATCAAGTGGGGCGGCAACGTGTGGGAGAAGGCGAGCGGCGCAGACGTGCGACGGGCCGCGGCAGAGGAGGCGAAGAGGAGGAAGTATTAAGCTAGTCACCAAACCAACTATCCCCTATTATTCTTTTTTAATCTTTCACGGGTAGCGTAGTGCGAGGCTCTAGCGGTTGGTAACAGTAAGAGAGAGAGAGCCAAAAAAAAGGGTTTCCTGGTTCATGAATTCCGATGAAGCAATGTTTTTTCTTCTTTGCTTTTGGGCGCTTTACTTTGCTTTGCTTGTATGCATATATCTTTTTTTTCTTTAACGGCTTGGTTAGTGGGAATTTTTCTTCGTGTGTAAAAATGTGTGTGTGTGTGTGTTTTGGGGGGGGTAGAAGGTGTAACGGAATCTCAACTCGCTATTTTAAATGCTTGCCGCAAACGTTCTTTGTTCCACTCCGAATCATGGAGTATCACTCGACCCAGATTTGTAGGCAAAACGATCATTTCCGTTTTTGCGCTCCCAAAAGAGGGTAACCAAACTCAACGTGAGTGGCACTCTAGGCGTGACAGGGGGGGATTAAGTTCGGACCAAAGTATACAGTATGTGCTTCTATATATGTAAGGCTATATGGTGGGAGAGCTCTGTAAGGAGGTACTTGTGTATCATTATTGTGAAATCGAGGATATCCAGTACTAGGCTAGGTAGCTTAATTTAGCCGAAAACAAAATACGCCATATATATAAAGTGTATATGTATATGCGCGTGTATAACGCGCGCAGGAGTTGAAATATAGCTCATGAGCAGGAAACATTCTTGTGACATGGTACTGGCCGCACTGGTGTGCCGTCGCGAACCCCTATCTTTATCGATATCTACCACCAGCAAATATGCACCAACTATAGGGTCGGAAATCTTTTCTTTCTAGGCCCGCTTCCACCATTACTTCCTTTCTTTTCGTTCTTTCTTCTTGATCAATTAAGTCTAGTGTGCATGCATCTAGTCGCGCCGATCAACCACACGAATACAACATCCCGTACGTACGCGTATAGACTGGTCGATCCAACCAATTCTAGTCTCGACTAGATATTAAGAGGCCGAAAAGTTAGGCATCAGGGATCTCATTCCAGCATCTTCCGCAAGAATCTCATGGGCCGGAAGTCAGTGACAAAAGTAAATGATTCCAATCACGGTATATCACTCGTCAGAACGATCTGCAGAGAAATGCTTTTATAAATATGCAGCTTAAGGTCACCGGACTTTTTATTCTTTTCACTATCGCCTCCCGACAGGATCCCGGTTCCGCTCATACCGCACTCCCGGCCGCTCGTGCGCTCTTGTATATCCCTCCTACACACATGTAGCGAGCCAACGGCTAAAACCTCTCAGACGAAAAGAGCCAGTCCTTTAGTCAAGTCCTGTGGTTCTATCTAAGCGTATAATCGGGTGATCTGGTGAGCAGGCGTAGAACCCAACGCAGGAATGCTTAACGAAGGCCTGCCGTGTAGAACCAATCAAATATGAGAGCCTATTAGTAATACTTCCTTGGTTGAAGCCTTGTGCAATATTATACTGTGACGGAGCTGTATATCCACTCATCACATCTGAATAGATGCCATATGAAGCAAGGCCAAAGCCAGCCCCGCACCGTCCCCATCTGAGCAACTTGATCCACCGCACTACCCGCCGTTATCAACCCAGAGACCATGTTCGAGCCTGCGCACCCAAGTTGGAGCATTAGCTGGCCAAATCTTTCGCCTTCTAGATTATCATCTTGGTAACGGCCGGTCATTCTTACCCTTCTCGTACGTTTGCGATCATAAACCCAGGCCGCGGGCTTTCCCCTGCTTTGGAAGCAGAGCATACGCAATTCTCCTGAAACAGATGGGGCAGGCCAAGCAAATGGCTTTGGCAAACCGGAGGTATTCTTGTCCTGTAGCTACGAGTGAGACGCATGCACATTCAGCTGCGCGTGGTAAGATTATAATTATTCATGTAGGTATATGGGAGGGGTCTTATTTGCCAAACCAGCCATACAAACCCTGTTTCTAAATAATTTTACCTCTGGGTATATGTGGAGTAGGTGCAATGTCAATCCCTGGCAGATCTCTGTCTTGGGCAGGGGTGTCGCGTGTATTGTATGGGACGAAGCTTTGGTCCGATAGATGTGCTTCAGACTTGGATAGAGTGCGGAGGGCGAGCTAACTGCTGGTAAATATATCTGTGGCATACAAGCTGGGGGAGAACCAAAGAATCCATTATGATGGGAGAGAGTCCAGTTGTGGCAAGCCGGCGATGTATGTAGGTACATCCTGGTCTTTAGGTAAAGTGTACATGTAGGCTAAAGGACCTGAACGGAGCTTGCCACTGAGACGCCCCCACCTTGTCAGGAACCACACGAGCAGAGTGGGTCTGAGGTACTATGTTTGTGTAACAACGGTGTTCCTGTTCTCTCTCGATACTTGCTAGTTCTTACACTCGGAAGCCCCGCATATAGTTATTTAAAAGCTAGATCTATCAAAGCGCCTACCTATGTTTGCTCATAGTATTTCTCCACCCCCGCCGCCACCAAGGAATATAGCTGCATGCATAGAGAGAATTTTATGTTGATACTGGAATACTCTACGCATGGAAGGGAAGCAAGTTCCCCAAAGCGAAACACTGCAGCTGTGCGTTGACGTGCATCGAACCCGGTCAGACCCCGGTCCCCCGTCAACTGCTAAAACATCAACCGAAACTGTAATGAAACCGCACGTTACCAGCATTATCTACCGCTCTTCGATATTTAATATACCGTACGTGAAAGTAGGGAGAGATAGAGAGATGGAAAAATGCAATACAAATACCTCTTCTATCCGCACGCATGTGGAGATGTGTGGGGACGTTAATGATGCTGCTGGCCATGCTGAATGCATACTATATTATTCACCTCGTCATTCTTTTACAGCTACTGATCGCTTGCGGTTGCAATGGGGAGAGGTTGTTTGTGGTGATGGTGGGGAGGGAGGGCAACGACTTGAAGTTGAGGTTCAGTCCGGAACAGGTGTTTGCGGATGCGGGTGATAGGGTGCAGTTCCAGTTCTATCCGTTGGTATGTTGGCTTTTCTTTTTTTGGGCCTTTTCCTTTTGACTGCTGTATGTATAATAGTGGGATTTATGCTGACAACAGATGAACGCGTAGAATCACTCGGCGGTACAGGCGGACTTTAATAACCCATGCATACCAATCAATAATTCAACTGGAAAGGGCTTCTTCTCTGGTTTTCATCCCCTTCCTCTCAATACAGAGATAGTTGAGTATTCCTATATACTTGTTCGTTAGTACTTATTAGCTATTTTTTTCTAACATCAGTAACACATTTAGTTGACTACATTTACCATCAACGTTACCAGCCCTGATCCCATATTTTTCTACTGTTCGCAAGGCCGCCACTGCCAGCAAGGTTTTGTTGGCGCCATCAACCCGTGAGCATGAGTTTCACTTAATTCCTTAAATAACTCTACCCTAACGCCTTCAAGAACTGCCGAGCAATCACTTGAAAGATTCCGCGATGCAGCCTCAAAAGCGCCCGAGAGTCTCTCGCCGGGCGAGGTCTCTTCTCTCCGTACCGAAACCACCCCTCCACAGCGAGGCTTCCCCACCGGCTTCAACTTCACAAATGCCGACAACGACAAAACCATCACGAACGTTGGCGCCATCGTTGGTGGGGTCCTTGGTGGCGTGGCGTTCTTTGTTATTCTGGTTACGTTTGGGGTGTTTTTGCTTGCGAGGAGGAGAAACGGAAGCGGGCCCCCGGCGGCGAAGGTTAAATATAAAATTAGTAAGCCCGAGATAGTGCGGAATATATAATGTCAAAGGGAGTTTTGGTAAGCTTACTTTCTGAGTTGTTTAGCTTGGTTTTCGTCGGCCTAGGGCTGTAAGAGTAGGATTGAATCAACCTGGTCTGGATAGGATCGGTGGATGTATAATTATAAAAGAATCGGCTGCTGCATATATATATAAGGATGGGTTGTATACTATATCTATATGAAGATACCTAAATCTAGATTCCGTACTAATTTCAACTGGTTTGAGGAATTGGGTTTGTATATTTAACAAAGCTATTCCAGCCAGTTATAGCCTTCCTTATTCTGTAGAGCATCCAGTAGTATCGTGGGTCTGTGTTGAAAAAGGAGAACGGGATTGTTAAGTGACTTGGTTAATTAATGGAGAAAGACAAATACATGTAACCATGATCTTCTGTAGATTTCTCAGAAATAACCGTCTCATGATAGGTAAGACATCGCTCCCGGACTCGCGCCGATAATCTCAATAATCTACATGTAACCCTTCGAATCGAGTGATTATTCATGAGTTATGTATATATCGCGTCATGCTCGGTCACTCGATTAAGTAGAGTATTGTGATAGATGTAGAACGAGATCTTGATGTAAAAATTCTATGAAATAGAAGAGTGGGAGACTACATGTAATTACATATGTACTCGACCAACAGATACGAGGTCACTTTGACTACTTATAGTTATATATACAGTTGCGGATTATCGGGAGGAGGAAAGTGTCGAGATGCATTGACAAAATACACGGTTTCGTTATCAGTCAGATATGCAAAGTAAAGCTGGCCTACTTGTTGAAAATGAACGTGGTTCTTTCCTATCCGGTATTTTAGCTATAGAGCTATTCCTGAATGGAGTATACTCTTTAGTCGGTTTGGTTTGTCGGCGTAGTATTATGTGGATCCAAGGATAACAAGGAAATCAAACACTGACCTATCTCTGGGTTCTTTGCGGTTTATTTTATTCATATCATACATACATGCATACATGTAGTAGTTCCAGGTACCACGCAGACTCCAGTATGCTCGGTAGGTAATCTTTTTCCAAAACCCCGACCCGTCGTGTCCGGCGCGGCGCCCATAGGCACAACTTCAATCAACTTACCTGGCTATAGCTATGATATTGTACTACATGCATTAAATCATTTTTACCCCTCCTTTCATCTCGCTAAGAACGGCCAATAACCAGCCTCACATCCATCTCAAATATATATAATAAACGAAAAATTAAAACTATATCATAATTAGACGACTATATAATATGAACTGGTACTAATTAATCACCATGCATTGTCCAGCTGTCAGTGAACAGATCCTAAGTTCCTATTACCTGTGCCACCAATTCGCTGCAGGTACATATAGGATTAATTATGGTGCGCACCACGATAAAGGTGACACATTGGGACGACATTTCAAAAGCCTAAGGCTTTTCAACGAAAAATGTTAAAAGAAATGTAGAAAAATAGAACTCTAGTACAAAAGCTAAATATTAGTTCTATTTTTCTCGATTTTTAATATCTATCTTGGATAAAAAGCCTTAGGCTTTTGAAATTGCGGATTTTTGTATGTAAAATGCGCCAAGCATTCACAGAATGGAACAGGCTTGGCAGGAGGTAGACAACAACATTCCAAATATGCAGGCCAATATTGTAGATAATAAATCGTTATTTTAGGGAAGAATATTTGACTAGGCTCAGAATATATAGAAAATTTAAAACCAATTTTTTCTAAATATTCATAGGCTAGTCAATTATTCTGCCCTAAAATAACGATTTATTATCTACAATATTTGGGTAATTCCTGCCAAGCCTGTTCCACCCGCCAAACCTGACTTGTCACCTTTATGATGGTGCGCACCATACATCAATAATAGACACGTAATATTCGATCCTGTCGGTACTGATGGGATAAGGTATTAGTCCGCGCCATCGGCGTTTCTATCACCGATGAACTGCATTGATATAGAGTACTCCACGTATATGTACCCCTCAATTGCAACCCAATCAAAAATGCGTGCACATTTTGATGTAGGAGATATGTTTCCGGTGGTGGGAGAAAATGAGCAGAAGGGGGTAAAGGCAGTTAGGTAGAAGGGGTGGAGAGAAGGTGTGCTGTAACACTCATGTACCCCACGTTAGCACTGACCATGTAAATTAATTCGGCTTGGGTTTCCGGTATTCCCTGTTGCTGTGCTTAGTCAATTTTGTACTGGCTGGGCGGGGAGGACAATTGATCCCTGACCCTAACATTGGGTCTAGATGTAGACGCTTATGAAATATCAATGCAGGTACCGTATGTGATATTGAGCAGTACAGCTGTGAGATATAGGGAAATAAGGTTGAGGATTATATTTGGAAATCAGATCGCTGCAGGGTTTTGTTAATGTCGCTGAGGGCAGAAATTTTGCTTGGTACATGTTTTCGGTGAACATATAATTCCTGAATATATATCTAGTGGAATATCGGAGATTAGTTCTGCGCAGATGAAACGTTAACCTTTGAAGTGTTAATATGAATTGAGTCATTGAATATCACTCGGTACGTGGTAGTAACAACCTTAAAAAGGGCTAGTGAGTAAATCATGCCCAGCCATACCACAGATAGTATTCTACATGTAGATATATCGGAATTCATGTGGTTGGTTGCTCAATAAGCACTTACGTTCATTTATTCAAACCCACATTTAGTATGTAGTGCGCCAGTGGAATATGGTGTTTTATCTCACTACATGTATACGTATGGTGGGTACATGTATAGTATGAGGTCAATTTCACGATAGGACTACAGCGCCATCAATATTGCCAAGATCTAGGGGCTAAGGGGCACAGCACCTGCCAATCACAGGAACATAAAGTACAGCTGCGGCGTGAAGCCTGTACATATTGTAGGGGCCAAGATCCACGTGATTAAAAGACTTGAGATATATAAGAGGTGGTTTGATGAAATGGCTTAATGTAGCTAGACTAGTTCCGTGCCTACGGAACTTCTGACCGTTGAAGAAATATATGGCTGCAATAGGGTGGATGCATGTAGCACAATGTTCCTTATGGTATCAGTTCACGTATACATTAACTAGGGCTATGCAGGTGAGGCTTGCTTTCTAAGTATTGTACAGCACGCTAGAGAATAACACGGTAATGGTCACTTTGGCTCATGAGCTCAAGGACATATTGCATGCAGCACTCGACGCTACCCATGGGGTTATCGAAATCCAACGACAGCGTCGGAATGCTTCGGGGCGCTCAGGTGGGGGGTTAAACTCTACTCTATACGCCCTGAATCCTACCATACTAGATCTATACAGGAGGAAATCACTATCTTGTGTCTGTTAATACCGACAAGAACAATAGGAGCGCGCCGCAATGCAATACAGCGCAAAATAAACGCATTTGAGTTTTCAGGCGACACCTATACAGCAATTCCTACATAGCACGCTATTGAGACGGCTGGAAGCACCCTGGGTGTCACTCTGATGAGATATTAAATACATTGAAGATCAGATGACAGGTATATCTACGCTACTACTGTACTTTCCTAGATTTCCAGCAACGGGTGCACCTACTGAACTACGAGAGTACATCGTCAATAGTATACTCTACATATGGGAACCTCCACTATCTTGTGCTCAGTTCAGCTTATTATGGGCCGAAGAACTAAGAGATCTTGTGATGCGACATCAAATTTGCGTTCATGATCAAACACCAGCCAAGCTATCCTAACTAGGGATCCTCATCTATACTTGCACCTAAACAAATAGAATTTTCACACTCGTGATCTCCGGGATATCACGAGAAGCTTAGCCTTCAACGTCGTTCAAGTACGATAAATATGTGTGTCACGAAAGCCACAATCACAAGCTCAAAACTCGAAAGATCCGATACCAGGAACCAAAATCGGAATAATCAACCGATCAACTTATTTCTGATATTAAAACAACCCCACCTGCAAAGAAATTGGGTCCCAGGAATTTGTAACCTAAGAGTTTGGGCCCACAAGTCTCTGGCGCCAAGTGGCAACCTGCACCGCATGAAAATAATTTTTACAGGCTTTAGCCGAAATTTGGAAAAAATTCAATATATTTCGCATAGTGGTACCGTACCCATGGCGCAGCTGGAAACGCGTGATTACTGTGCTTTCACGTATGGTTGTCAACCAATCTTTTCCCAGTTGACCCCATGTAGGTACTTTGCTAGTGCTGAGTCGTCTCTACGATATTATGACCGATCTCGCGGGGAAAGACTAATCGTTTTTCGAACTCTATTCTCCCCACAATCCCCAGCTTTCCCACCAAGTAATAAGTGGTTCTGCGGCTCTCTGTGTGGCGACTCTACTATAGTATCAAATAAAAATGGTCCAACAAACGTTACCAACAGTTTGAATGCCATATGCCATCAATTTTGGAGCGGTTCATATCATAAAACCACCTTCATTGAGATAAGGTTGCAGTTTTTTGCTATCTAACTGCTAATAGAGGTGTGATCAGACTTTTTTAAAAATATATCACAGCATGCTTATCTTGAGGGACAAAAATATATGAGTTTGGCCTAGATACTGGATACGAAATCACAACACTGGCTATACGTACTGGCGTGGCCTGACCGATAAATTGCGGCGAAGGTGATCATTAGGAAATCATAACTAAACCTAGATATATCTGGGGGCAAAAAGAGAAGTTGATCACTACAACGCATAATGTATGTGCTTGTTATACCAGTTGGCATTAAAGTTAATCCTATTTCATTGGTGAATAACTGATTTGCAGGCATATGTATGCCTACACGAAGTGTTCTAGAAAGAAAAACAAATGTGAAATTCCCGGCTTTGAGGCCCGCAAAAATGGACCCCACAAAATCGTAAAGCAATTCAAGCCACAGAAGAGATTTTGTGCAACATTTAGCCTCAGCAAGCGGCTCAAAAATAAAGGAAAACCGCCTGACCTGGAAATAAACTTGGAGGCTAATTCTTCCGGTACCTTTATGTAACAGCTGCCTTGCATGGGAGACGGAATAACGGGCCTCAATCCCGACGGACCGTCGATGTACGGCATGGCCTGGCCTATGGTAACATACAAACCCCACG